CACGCCCTACACGGCCACAGGGAACGCGCTGCCGGCGGCGGCGGGGCGCATGGCGTTCACGCTGGGGTGCAAGGGGCCAGCGCTGGTGGTGGACGCGGCGTGCTCGTCGTCGCTGGTGGCGCTGGGCAGCGCGCGCAGCGGGACACTGGGCGGCCGGCGTGGCAGTGCGCGGGTGGCGGGCTTGAACGCAACGCTGGTGGCGCAGACAACGGGGGATGTTTGCGCGGGCCGGGATGATCGCCCCCGACGGCCGGTGCAAGACGTTGGACGCGAGCGCGGACGGACACGTGCGTGCGGAGGCGTGCGCGGTGGGCATAGACTTCCGCGACGTGCCGGGTGCACCCGGGCGCCCGGGGGCGACATGGCCGGTGTGGTGGGGGCTGGTGCGGGGGCGGCGAGGGCGCGGGTGTACGGGCTGGCGGTGGGGTCGCTGGGGACGCCGAGGCGTGCGGACGCGCGGTGCGTGGCGGCGGTGCCTGGGACGGTGACGCTGGAGGAGGCGGCGAGCCGTCCGACGGCTGCTGGTGACGGCGGAGGTGGCGCTGGAGCGGGCGGGGGGCGTGCGGTGCGGGGAGGTGGTGCTGGTGCACGCGGCGGCGGGCGGCAGGCGGCGTGGTCGCGGCGGCGCGCGATGTGCTGGCGGGAACGGGAGCGTTGGTGGTGGGGACGAGCCTGAGGACGGCGGGGAACGTCGCGGGGTTGGCCGCGCGAGGTCGGTCAGGAGATATCGGGAAGCGCGACGCGTGGAGCGGGTGGCGCAGGGGCTGGCGGACGTGCGGGACGTGGTGGCGGTGGACCGCTTTCCTGCCAACGGCAGTGGCGGTGCGGGAGCGGCGAGAGTCGCGGGCGCCTGGGGCTGGGGAAGAGGTGGCGCTGCTGGGGCGCACGGGGCGTGCGGGCGGCGCTTGGGCGGGCGGTGGGGTCTGGGAGCGAGCGTGCAGAGGTACGCGATGGTGATGAGCGAGGCGGCGTGAGCGTCGGACGCGTGCGAGAAGCACGGGCGCGTGGGGTCGACGGATGCCCACGGCGAACTTCTGCTGGCGATCGGAGTGGCGGGGGCGCCGTGCGCAGAGGAGATGGGTGCCAAGGCGGTGGTGGGTGCGAAGGCGGGCGCGGGTGGTGGCGGATGTCCCGCCGGGCGACGCGCAGCCGGAGGCGTCGCACGGAGGCGTGGCGGCGGGCTGCTGTGCTTGGCGGGTGGGAAGGCCGTTGCCGGCGCTGCAGCCGCGGAAGGGAGAGGGACTGCCGTGGCAGGTGCAGCGGGGCTGCCGCACGTGCGGCGCACACCGCGGCGACGAGGGCCGCCGGACGCGCTGGATGCGATCGTTCTGCGACTTGGGCTGGAGACGCGGTGGGACGAGGAGCCCGGGCGCGCAGCTGGGACGGTGGCCACGGGGTTCGACTGTCCGGGTCGGCGACGCGATCACCGCGGTGCCGCGGACGCCGCGGGATCCGGCGAGGCGAAGAGCGTGGCTGTGGGGACTGCAGCTCGTTTCGGCCGGCTGCGGGAGTGCCGGGTGAGGCTGGGCGTCTGATGTGGCGCTAGCTATAGCACGATGTGTCGACGGCGGAGGCGGCGCTGACGGGCGCGCAGGGCCGGCCGCTGCTGACGGACGACACGGAGGCGGTGCAGGGTGGCACGCGGTCGGCGCCGAGACCGGATGAGCACACGCGGCCTCTCACACGTCATGCCGTTGATGCCTTTGGGGCTGCGTGGCACCTGCCTCGGAGTTGCCACGCGGGGCTGAGATGACGTCAGCTCAGGTCTCTGTGAATTCGCTTCGAGCTCGGAGCCCTCCCGTCGCACCACTCGTCCTGTGTGCTGATCTGATCTTGTGCTGTGTCATCCAGTCCGTTCGCCCCCTGCGCGTCTCGGCCTGCACCTGCAGCCTCCCATAGCGCGCCCCTGCCCCGCCCTCCACCGTCTGCTCGGCGGCCTCCTCGACGAACCGCCCCCCACACACGCCTCCTTCCCTGTTGAACTTGGCAACCACTCCCAAGTCGCCATCCGCTCCCCCGAGCTGTGGAGTCGGTGTCGCTCAGTGCCGGCCACCGACGCCGAAGTGCCGCCCGATCGACACCGCCCGGGCGCCCCATGCAGCGCAGCGGCCCGAGGAGGGCTCTGAGCATGTGGCAACTTTGAGCCGCCGGGATCGCCTGTGGATGCGTCAGATCGGGTTTTTTGACGCGAATCGCGAGGAATAACATCGGAGACCGGTCACACACGCCTCGTGCCCGCGGTCGCGGCGCTGGCGATGCCTGGAAATCGACCCAGTAGAAGTGGCACTGTGAGTGTCCGCAGCCCCCACGCCCCCGTCTGGGCCCGTCCGCGCCCGAAGAGTGGTGCGTCGAGCTGCAACGCACGTGCACTCCGCCACCGCCGCCATGCCGCGCCCACCGCCGCGCGGAGCCTGCGGGGGCGCCGCCCCGGGCCCCCGGCATGTCGCCGAGCTGTGGCGGAGGCGCGGGCAGCATGACGCGGCGAGAAGACCTCCCGTTCCGACGCGGCCTGGACGTCCTGTCGCGCGTAGCGGCGAAGCGCGGTCGTGCAGCCGTCGAAGTCGCCGTGAGGGCGGCGCGGCCTCCCCATGAGAGGGAAGCACATCGGCACCTGCGCGACGCCGTCGAGCTCGTGCTCGCAGGTGAGCGCTTGGCCCCGCCCGCGCGAATGAGGCACGGCGGACGGCGCTGCTCGACCGCCATTGTTGGCGCAGCCGCTCCCGCTCGTGCGGGAGCGCCCTGCGGCCCGGCTCGAAGTGGGTTTCGAAGGGCAAATCTCCCTACCCCAGCGACGTGCGACCTCCCACGCTGCATCTCCTGGCCGCAGACGGTGTGGATCTGCGCAGCAGGGCGGCGCAGCCGCGCAGCAGGCCCCGGATGACCGCCACGCGCGACCGGGGCTGTGCCGCCGCCTCCCCGCGCGCTTCTCGCCCGCCCACGCCGATGCGCTGCCGCTCCGTGGGCGGGAGATGACGGGTTAGGTGTCGAGGCCCGCGTTCTCCCCCGGGCGGGGAGCGGCGTCCCTCGGCGCGCACCCCTCCTGAGCTGGCGCAGTTGGCCGGCAGCGCGTGCGTCGCTTCAGCCGCCGCGGCGTCGAAGGCGCAGCGCGTGCAGCGGCCAGGTGCGCTGCGCCCGCGCATCGGTCGCGCCATAGCAGCCCGCGCTCTGACACACGTTGCCGGGCATGCCCTGCGTGGCGAGGACGCAGAGCCACACCCCGGCGCGACCGCCCTGCTGCCCTGGCACGTGCAGGACGCGGACGGCGCGCGAGCACGGCGACCGGGGAGCGCTCGTGCCCGCCGTGGCCGCGTGAGCGCGGTCTGACGCCCGCGCGGGCTGCAGGCGTCGCGGGGTGCGCGTGGCCCTCCGCGCCCGGCAGAGCTCGCGGCGCTGGCGAGTCGAGATCCGCGCGTCGCGGCGGGGCCGGGCGAGAGTCGCACGCCGTCGTTCGACGGCGCGCGAGGGGCTTGCTGCACGTGGCGCCACCGCCTGCAAGTGGCACACAGGGGGCGGGGTGGAGGACGTCCGGCGGGATCCGCGGGTCGCGCAGCGGTCGGCACGGGGCCTTCAAGCCGGCCCCTCGGTGCGGGAGATTTCTGTCGCGGCGGAAGCACACCCTCAGGCAAGCGCCCCTGGGTCACATCAACGCACACCCAGCGCGCGCCATGTCGCATGCGGTGCCCCCGGAAGCAGATCAGGGGTCGCACCTCGACACAGTCTCGTTTCCGCGAGCACGAGGGTCGTGCTCAGCGTCGCATGCGGCAGGCCGGGACCAAAGCATGGTGGAACAAACGATGGTCCTCCGTGTGCCGTTCATGCAGGGAGCGGGGCCCTGAGCGCCATCCCACGACGCCATCGATGTCCAGCGGCCTCGCCGGCCCGCTCGCTGGCGCTGGGGAGGTCGTACGGGCGCGAAAATGCGTTCGAAGCTCAGCGCGCAAGCTGCGCGGGGCGCGCGGACCGCAACGCGTCCTCCGTCCGCCCGGAGCTCCGCAAAGCGGTCCACCTGGCTCCACACTTCTCGAGCAAGGCGTGAGGTCAGTTGCCAGAGCATATGCGCGGCGCCGCGGATCCCTCGCGGGCCACGGTGTTCGACGCCGCTCTCGCTGCATCGTCGGCGCGCTCGAGCGTTCTGGCCGCGCTGCACGGCGTCCGACGCTGCACGTCGCACAGCGATTGTGCAGTCGCTCGTGTCGCGGCGCTGATGAGCACAGGTCGGCCGCGCCCGCGGTGCTGACGGTCGTGTGTCTCTGCAATCGCTCCGTCATACCCAGCCGCTTTATACACGACGCGCCTGGCTCGATGTACGTCAGCGCCCGCCGCGGCGGCAGCAAACCGGCCGAAGACGCCAGGCTGGGCGGCACGCCAGACATCAGGAGGCCACGGGCCGTCGGCATCGGGAGGAGGCAGCTTCACAAACAAGAGCGGGTGCGTGAATCCTCGTGCCGCGATGCCGCGCTCGCGGCCGGCGGCAGCGACTCCCCATGGCGCACTGCTTTCACCCTGGTGCAGCGCTGGCTCTGCACGCGGGCCCTCGGGCCACCGCAGCCCCATGCCATGTGCTCGCTGTGCATGCTGCGGGGGCAGAGCTCGCACAGGGCGCCGTCCCGCCCCGCGCTGTGACGACGTACTCGCACTGCGTCGTCGCGTGCTCAGCACGTATATTTTACGCCGTTGCGCCCACCAGCGGTGCACTGTAATGCCTCTCTGTCTCTCCCACCAGCAACGGGTCCTCGCAGCGCCTCGAGACGCGCCACGCGGGCTTCCGCTGCGCTTCATACATTGCTAGTTGACGATCGCGCCGCACCGTCGCGCCAGCGCAACACCCACGCGGCCTGTCTCGACTCGACCTTTGCGATGCAGCAAGGGACAGCCGCGTTCCCGCAACGTGGTCGAGCGGTCCTCTCTGCGCCTCCAGCGGTCCTCTGCGGATGCCTCCGTCACTCGAGGCGGAGCTGGCAGCACGCGGGCTCGCGGAGCGCTGACAACACCCGCACATCATGCAGGTGCTGTCGCTTAACCTGCCCTTGCGGCTGGGACGGGGGAAGCGTAAAAAGGTGAGACACCACCGAGAGCGCTCGTCGAGCCCTCTCGCGCGCGCGCGGCTCGAGTCGTCACGCGCCACTCACTCGACGTCAGGGATGCCGACACCCCGACGTGTCACACGACGTCCTTGCGTCGGACTGACGGCCACGTGTCTCTGCGCATCGTCTGCAGCGTACGCCCCCGGTGGCCAACAGCAAAGGCGCGGAGCAGGCGCAGCCGAACGAGGCGCTCGGGCGCGGCGGGCCTGCCGCTGCCCCTAGGGGCAGACAGCACGACCAGCCCCTGAAGCGCCGAAAGGTGAGACGCCAGCGAGAGCGCTCGTCGATCCCTCTCGCGCGCGCGCGGCTCGAGTCGTCACGTGCCACTCACTCGACGTCAGGGATGCCGACACCCCATGACGGACACCCCCGACGTCCTTGCGTCGCACTGACGGACACGCGTCTCTGCGCATCGTCTGCAGCGGGAGCGCGCGGTGGCCAACAGCGGCGCCGGCTGGGCCGAGGACGGTGGTGACGCAGCGGCCGGCGCGGCCTCAAAAACCGCCGGCGCGTCCGAGCCGGATCGATTCCTGTGGGACCTCCCAAGTAGCGACGTGAACGTGCCGCAAGGGAGCATCCTCAGGAGCATGCTCGACCTCTGCTGCCACAACCTAGACGATCCTGACAGGCTCCAGAAGAAGATAGACGAGGTGCGGAGCGCACACCGGCCACCGCTCACACATCGGATTCCCGCGCACGTTGATGCGCGGCGGGCAATGTCATCATCGACGCGCGCCGACGGCATGCTCGCTTGCATTGCAGGTCAAGGACATCGTCGAGAAGATCAACACGATGTTGGCGAAGCACGGCGCGAGCCTCGGTGCCGCCGCCGATCCGCACGCCGACGACGCGGACAAGCGGCTGTCCGGTAACGCGTCGCCGCTGCTTCTCCTGCTGGTGAAGGTGTTGTGCGGCGCCAAGCTCAGCGGGATCGCCGTCTACAAGGGGGGGGAGCTGATTGCCGGCAAGATCCCGAACAAGCCCGGCAGCTATTCCCATTTCGCCAGCCAGGTGGAGGACAGCGACATCCTCGGCGCTGTCTACGACGGCGAATCTCAGGACGTGGGCACACGAACTGGGCAGCACGCCAATGACACTGCCGATGGGAAGATCTGGCCGGACCGCAAATCTCCCGACCGGCTTCGCGTGGTGCGCGGCCACGACCTGCGCGCTCACGCTGTCCTGAGCACCCTGCAGCCGCCCGACGCGCCCGCACAGCGCACCACCACCATGAACTGATCAGGCACCTCGACTCGTACTCGCGCTCGTGCGCAGGTCGTGAGCTTCGACTCACTCACAGTCGATGGCAGGCAGTGCCATAGGGAAATGGAGGCCGTGGTGCTGGGCACGATCGCCATGTGCCAAAACCAGCAGGACAACGCCGTGCACGACCACGGCGTCAGTGCCGCTCCGACGTGGCAGCGGTTGCAGCAACAGCTGGAGGACGTGGGCGAGGTCGTGGAGGCCTACCGCCTCGCCGAGCGCGTCGTGGCCGCCTGCGAGGCGGCACACGCGCAGAAGAATCGTCCACTGACCAAGACGGAGAAACAACACTCCACCAAGGTCGTGGCAGAGGTCGTCGCAAGCGTCCTGGCGGGCACGCCTGGGGCAGTGAGGGACGCCTGCACCAGGTATGCCGCATCGCTGCATCGGAGTCGCGCTGCGAGAAGCACGTCTGGTCGATGCTATGCCCACGCACTGCGTCCGGCTGCCGCCGTCGCGCACGTCTCAGCGTTCGACGTTCGAGGCGCGGGCCCCTCGGCATGCGCTGCAGGGTGCAGCGTCTGAGGCTCGTGCTGAAAATGAAGCACGAGCTGCAGCTGCTTGGCAAAGAGGTGTCGAGGAACGGCAAACACGCCAAGCTGCCCGACCTGAAGGCTGTGCGCGAGGAGCTGCGCAAGAAGGTCGATTCGATCGAGAAGGCGCAGAAGAGCCGCCAAGAGCTGCACCTCGAAGCCGCCCGGGCCTTCGTCGCGTGCCTCAAGCCCGCGGGCGGCGGCGACAACGTCGTTCACGCCGCCCCCGCGGACCAGCAGCCCTCGGGCGGAGGCGGCCGAGACGACCTGTCCGGCGGCGGCGGCGACGGCGCGCCCGCGCCGTCGGCTCCCGAGCCATCGGCGGACGAGCGACTGCAGTGGCCGTGGCCGGACACCACATATTACGACCGCTTCAGCCGCCTGATGCGCTTCTACGCTCGGCGAGCAGAGAGCACCCCGGCCTACCCGACCTACCCGGAGGTACAGACGTACCTGGACCAGCAGCTGGGGCCTGACTGGGGCAAGGTCTGGGAGGCCCGCCGGCATGAAATCCGGATCAAAAAGGCCCGCAGCGCCCTTCTCCACAATGTCGAACACGCCTGCGCCTTCGTCAAAGGGCTGCCGCTGACTGCGTTGGAGCAGCTCGACCTCGACTGGGACCGCTGGGCTGACGAAGGCGAGACGGATGACACGACCAAACAGAGGGAGCGGGCCAGGAACTGCCTGTACACACACATGCAGCGTCAGCGGGGGATGTTGCCCCTACCTCAGGGCAACTACGCTGATGTGGAGGAAGTTCTGGCCAGGGAGCTCGGCCCGGGGTGGATCGATGACCACTTTGCGCAGGTGGAGCTGCGAGCCCACAACAGGAAAGAGGAGCGCGCGGAGGAGGCAATGGAGGAGATGCGCGCTGCCATGGCCACGTGCATCGTCACCAAGACCGGCACCGACGTCACAGCCATCGAGTTCCCGAGCGGCGGGAAGAATCACTCAAAGGAGTACACAGACAGACAGCGCACGTTGCTCAAGACGTACGCCGAGTATGAGTATTCGAACGGCATCACTTCCCCCCAAGGTCAAAGAACCATTCGCGACGACGTGCGGAACCTGATCAACAACGAGTGGGGGGTAGGTTGGCATCGGTACTGGACCGCGGCCGCCCAGTTCCCGGACGAGACGAAGAGCTCACAGTGGACGGGCGTGTGCTGGAGCAAGCAGTATGGCAAGTGGCAAGCGAAGATCAGGGCGTGCGGGAAGTCTCACATGTTGGGTGTGTACGAATGCGAGGACACGGCCGCGCTGGCGTACAACGAGGCGTGCGAGATCGTCGGGAAGCAGGTGGTCAACGACGTGGGGGAAGCGCGCGCCGCGGAGCTGGCGGCGCCCGAGGGCGGGTCACACATCCGGTCGAAGATCTTGGCGGAGCTGCGCGAAGCTGCGGTCGCACTGTACGCCGAGTATGAGGATTCGAACGGCAGCACTCCCCCTCAACGCCCGGACGAGACGAAGCGCTCACGGTGGCGGTACGTGAGCTGGAGCAAGCAGTATGGCAAGTGGACGGCGCAGATCGAGGTGCGCGGGAAGCGTCACGTGTTGGGTGTGTACGAATGCGAGGACACGGCCGCGCTGGCGCACAACGAGGCGTGCGAGATCGTCGGGAAGCAGGTGGTCAACGACGTGGGGGAAGCGCGCGCCGCGGAGCTGGCGGCGCCCGAGGGCGGGTCACACATCCGGTCGAAGATCTTGGCGAAGCTGCGCTCGCTGTCGCACAAGCGCCGCCCGAGGGCGGTGTAGAACCTGCCTTGGCGATGCGACCCGTTCTTCGGGGTGTGAACAAGTCAAGTCACTGAATGTGTGACCTTCGCTGCCGCGCCATGACCGCGCCATGACCATGTACCGCGCCATGACGTGCCTGCTGTGCCGAGGACCTCCCCGCCCCCCTCGCGCTCCCCTAGCGCTCCCCTCGCGCTCCCTCTCCACTCGCTTCGCCCGTCGCCCCGGTCCCGTCTCGGACCGATCCCGTCGCTGCCTGCCTGGACATGCCTGTGCACGTCACTGCTCTCTGTGCCGAGCGCGAAGAGCTCCTCCAGGTCCTCGTCGCCCTGCGCTTGCTTCTCGCGCGCCGCGTCCCTCTCGACAGCTTCTTCGTCGCCTTCCCTGTGGCCCCGCACCTGCAGCACATGTGTTGCAGCGTCGATCGACGCTCGCGAGGGGCTGTCGCGTCGCGCTTGCTGCTCGGGCGCGGCTGCACACGCGCGCCGACGCTCGCCAGGCGCAGGGAGGACGAGGGCGCGCGCGGGACGACGAGCGCGCGTGCACACACCTGCTGCGCGCAAGCTTCGAAGCTTCGACCCCGCCGACGCGGAGCACGTACGGGTCCCGCTCCCGCGCGACCGCTCGCACGCGCCGTTCCCGCTGCACCCGCGCGGCCGCCCATCACCCCGTTCCGGTCGTGGTTCGACGCTGCGCAGACTAACTACGTTGCTTGGCTGGAGGAAATAGATCACGCGTGCATGGTGGCGCACGAAGAGGGCGAGGACGAGGACACCGGAATGTCGTACGCCGTGAAGGTGCTCCTGACCGGCGAGTGGGAGGCGGTCGACGTGGCGTGGCCGCGGAAGGGGCCGGGCACAACGGGCGACTACGCCAAGGTGCCCGCGGCCACAGGGGGTCGCGGGAGGCGGGCCGCTCCCTGACGGACGTACTAGGGGCGCGAGCGCACTGTGAATGAGTTTCACACGCGTCGCAGGGCTGATCAGCGTCGCCGGAGCGTCACATCATGGGCATCAGACCCTGCTTGCCCGCACACACGGGAATGCCCATGAACAGCGTCAGGTACTGCCGACGTGGCCGGCTCCCCCCGCCCGCTGCCTCGCCGACGTGGTCATCGCCCCGCAGGCCTGGCGCCTCCGCCAGCTGGTTGCGACCATCGCCGGTGCGGAATGACTCCGGGTCGCTGGCAGGCTCCCGAAGGTGGGCCACGCCGTGCACGAGGTTGCCCGGCTGACAGTACACGTCCCCCGAACGCAGCACAGCCCCCCAGACGTCGTCAGTGACGGTGCCGTCTGCCTCCTGGGCCGGCGCGATGCTGAGGCCCGCACACCCCGGGTGGCTCCGCGCCATCCCGTGCGTGCTCAGGCCCAGCGGAAACCGCTGCACGCGCGCGCCGGGCGTGGGGCGCAGGGGGCGGTGGCTCGAGAACAGGAACTCGCAGCCGCCCCACTCCTCACCAGGGAGCGTTGGCAGGACGGCGCAAATCGTCCAGGCGCTGGTGTCGACGTGCGGGCCCATGCCTGCGTGGCCCGCGACATCGGGGTAGTCGTTGAAGTGCGCGTCCGTCACGTGTTCGAGGCGCAGCTGCGACGAAGCTGCGTTGATGCACGCCGCGTACGGCTGGATCACCGTCTCCATGATGTCCTTCCGGAACCCCCGGACCGCAGCCTGCAGCGCCTTCAGCGTGCGCTGGACCTGCCGCCGCTCCGCCGCAGTCGGGTCCCGCCTCAGCTCGGCCCGCATACCGCTCACTACGTGCTGGTCCAGCCAGTTGTTCCCATCGGGAGTGAGCTCGGTCTCCAGACCGCGCTCGTGCGTGACGACCCACAACTGCTGCCCCACGGCGTACCCGAGGTCCTGCAGCGCCCGCACGCGGCGGATCAGGTCCAACGAGAAGTGCTTGTGCACGACGCCGCTGCGCGCAGTCCCCTCGGCGCCGCTCTCCTTGAGCTGCGGGAAGATCACGAGCGGCGAACGCAGGCCCACGTCGTAGACTTCCGGGGCGGGCGACTCGGGCGCCTCCGGCGCGCGAAACGGCGCGGCAGGTGCGTTCCCCCAGCCGGCGCCGGCGCGCAGCCCACCCCGCTCCGCGAAGTACCGGAGCTCGAGGCCGAGCTTCTTGGCGTAGTCCGCCAGCCTGATGGGGCCCGCCCGCCTGCCGCGACGAGTGGCCGGCAGCACTGCCCGTGCGATGTCGATGGTGGCGCCTGTTCCCGCCAGCGTCTTCATGTGCTGGCGGGTCGGCTCGCACCGGTGGTGGCGGTACACATAAGTTACCGCCTTCGCGACCTCCGCCTCCGTGACTCGCACCGGCGGCTCCGGCACGTGGTCGAGGTCCCGGTGGTCGTCGCAGACAGCGTACGCGCGCTTCTTGGGCACGCCGTACAGCACCACCTCCCTGTGGACGAGTTCCCCCACCGCGGGCGCGTTGCACGGGCGGTAGCGCGTCCGATCTAGTCTCTGCGGGTCGGTCGCCAGGTGCCATTCGCACAGCAGCCGGCCGTGCCCGTCGGTGCGGCGCTGGCGCTTGCGCTTGCCGGCAGGGGCCGGAGCGTCCACCGCCTGCAGGGCGGACGCACATGCCGCACGCGCTCGTTCAGCGAGGTACACGCGGGCTGGTGCTAGCGCGGGCGTCATCGGTGGCCCGGCGGCAGTCCCGCGGGCGGGGCGACTCACCGCAGGCTTCCGCCCTCCCGCGCGACGTCTCGACGTCCGGGTCGGGCCCGCGCCCATCGTCGTCCTCTTCCGACTTCCTGATGTGTTCACCTGCATCTCGCAGTCCACGAGGGCCCGGCAGCGTCGACTGCGGGGGCTGTGCGGCGCGCGAGAAGCAAGAAGGGCACGCCCGCCGTGCGAGCGCGCCCGGCGTGGCAGCTTGGGGGCGAGGAATGCACGCCCGTGGCTCCGGAACCGCACGGTCAGTCACGAGACACACATCGCGGCATGTGCGGACGCACCGTTGCGACGTCAGAGCTTTTTCCTAGTCCTGCGAACCGTCAGACCTCCGTGGCGCCGTGCGCCTTCCGCAGAGAGGCGCGGGCCCCGGCGGGCCGCCTCACGATGCCAACGCCCAGATCGCGGCGCCACGCGCGCCGCCTGTGGACGCGCTCCGCGCGGAGAATTCGTGCACCAGCGCAGGCGAACGAGGGAAGAGCCTCAAACTCCCGGCCTGTGCGCGCGGCGTGATCTGGTGCAGCGCCCTCGGCGCCCAAGCGTACGTGCAGAGGCCTGAGAACTGCGCGAGGGCCACAATTCGCGGCGGCGGCGGCGCAGCTGGGGGGCTGGGAAGCCAATTGGTCTCAGGCCAGCAGGCGACAGGCACCGACGGCGGCACGCGACCTGTGACGCGGACGCGACGCTGCTTCGCACATGCTCGCCTGCGCGCGCCTGCCCGACCGCAATATTGCCGGAGTGGGCCTGCAGCGGGACAACACCCCCACGCTGCGTCCGTTGACCGCTACCGGCACCGTCCCGTTCGTTGATCGCGTGCGCGGCCTCGTCGAGTGCTTCCTCCGCTGCTGCATGCTGTACTCGAGGGCCCTGTGGCAGCGTGTCGCCCCCCCCGTGCCGCGTCACCGCGGTGGAGCCTGCACCGAGACGGGGCGCCAGCACGGGGCGTCCCGGGCGGGTGCGCGCGTGCACGCTGCTGCCGCGGGTGGGCCGCACATTGTCGTCCGCGCACCTCCTGTCACGAGCAGCGAGCCTTGACGCCGCTGGCGAGCAGAAGTCGCCCTTCCGGCGCCAACCACGTGCTAAAAGGCAACACAGAAGTCAGGTGATCCCAGAGCGATGGAGAAACGCGACCTGGAGCCCTGATGCGCGCCGTACTAGGCTGCGTGCCCCTTGCGAGTGTGCCGTCTCTGACTGCGCGTCCGCTGAGATGCAGCACGTTCTGCGGAACGCACCGAAGGAAGCAATCTGCTCGTGTCGCGCGCTGGAGCCCGGCAACGCCGCACCAAGCGAACCCCAGTCGCGTCAGCGGGGCGTCTGTCACACCATGACTCGCCACCTAGTCGAATGACCTTTTCAGGTCCCAAAGCCTTATGGCTGACGACGCGAAGAACGTGACACCTCACGTCACCTCACCTCACCCGCCCGACGCGTCCACGCAGCCAGACAGGACCAGGAATTCCAGGGATTCGTTCACCTCACATGCGTCTAACTTTCAACCGCCAGCAGGCACGAGCGCACCGTGCCTCCCTACCACCCGCCCCCGCCGCCGCCGCCGCCCCCGCCCTGGGCGCGCCGCAGGTGAGGGGGCACAAACTTCCCCCCGCCCGGGCGCGGCGGCGGCGGCCCGTCCGCCGCGGGCCCCGGCGGCGCACCCGGCCCGCGCCCGCCCGCCCGGCCCGGCGGCGGCGCCCGCCCATCCTGCGCGACGGCGGCACGTACCCGCCGCCGCCCGCGGGTGCCGGCGGCCCGTCCCGCGCCCGCCCGGCGGGCCCCACCGGTCCGCCGCGTCCGCGGCCGCAAGCCGCCGGCGCCGCCCAGGCGGCCCGCCCATGCCCACCGCCCCGCGCTTCGACGGCGGCACGTACCCGCCGCCGCCAGCGCTCCCCGGCGCCGCACCCCGCGCGCCAGGCGGACGGTACCCGCCCGCGCCCGCCGGCGGCGCCGCCGCCGCCGCAGCGCTGGCCCGCTCCTCCTCCTCCTTCCTGCGGCGCTCCTCCTCCGCGCGCTGCTTCGCGGCCATCTCCTCCCGCGCCTCCCTGCGCAGCTGCTCCAGGTACCGCAGCTTGCGCTGCATGACGATCTCCTCCTTGCGGGCCGCGCGGCGCTCCTGCAGCACGGCCTGGCGCTTCCTCCGCAGCGCCTCGAACTCCGCCTCGCGCCGCTGCATGATGTCGGCCTTGAGCTGCTCCGCGTCGCCCTCGATGCGCGCCAGGCGGCGCTTGTGCTGGAGGTCGATCTCCCACGCCTTGCGGTGGTTCGCGAGGAAGGCCTCCTGCTCGGCCTTGAAGGCCTCGGCGTTCCGCGAGTGCCGCTCGCGGTAGTGCGCGACGATCTTCTCGCGCTCGAAGTCCCGGCGCGCGCGCTCGAGGTGGTCGATGGTAGTCTCCATGCGCGCAATCTTCTTCATGAAGTCCTGCAGCTTCTCCTGCTTCTCCCGCATGACCTCGCGCACGATCTCGTCCTTGTCGAGCCGCTCCCCGCCGCGCACCTTGATGCCGCGCTCCGCCGCCAGCTGCCGCGCCTCCTCCTGCTCCTTGGCCTCGAGCTCCGCGAGAATCTTCTCCTGCTCGCGCCGCGCGCGCTCCTGCGCCAGGCGCTTCGCCTCGGCCTCGCGCTCGGCCGCCTCCTGCTCCAGCCGCCGCGCCTCGGCCTCGCGCTCCTGCTCCGCCGCCATCCGCTCCGTCTCCTCCTTGCGCTTCTCCACGAGCATCTTCCGCGCGTTCATGAGGTTGTTCGTCATCTCCGCGCGCTCGCGGTACTCGGCCACGGCGCGGCGGCGCGCCTCCTCGAGCTCGGGCTTCGGCTCCGGCCAGATCATCTTCGAGGCCGTCTGCAGCCCGCGCGCCAGCGTCTGCACGAAGCCGTTCACGTCGTCGATGTGCCGGATCGCGGAGCGGAACTCCACGACGCCGCGGCGGTGGTCCACGCGGCACGTGAGGTGCCCCGCGCGCGACGCGTCGACGACCACGCGCTCCAGCTCGCGGAACTCCATGAAGGGCACCATGGCGTCGAGCGTGGAGATCTTCACCACGCTGTACACGCGCTGGAGCTGCGAGAGCATCCGCAGCACCGCGGCCTCCTTGAGCGGCTGGCAGAACGGCCCGAGCTCGACCTTGGGCATCGGGCACGCGTCGCTGAGGTCCCACTGGAGCGCGGGGAGGCGCTCGATGAGCGGCTGCAGGCGCTTGCAGATGTCGAGCGGCATGAAGGGGCCCTCGAGGAGCGCGAAGATGTCGGCGATCTCCTTCGGGACGATCGAGAGGAGGTTCTTCGCCGCGATGGCGTTGACCAGCGTGGCGCGGCTCAGGGTGCGGTGCACGGCGTCCTTGCTGTCGACGGCGACGCCGAGGAGGTTGGCCATGCGGAGCATGCGGTCGCGGTCCTGCGTCACGTCCGGGCCGGACGTCTCCAGGCGCTTGTCGTAGGGTGCCACGGCGAGCGCGGAGCACACCATGGCGGCCGCGAGCGCCGTCTTGTCGGCCTGGGGGAGGGACTCGATCGAGGAGACGAGGAGCGAGAAGAGCTTGTACCACGCGAAGGCGAGGTAGAGGGGGGAGTCCGACATGGTGAAGATCTGCGTCAGGCGCATGTAGTACACCCCCATCATGCGGGGCTGCGGGCGCTGCCGCCCGGCGCGCGTGCCCGTCTCGATGAGCGAGTAGATGTCCTCGATCGACCGGAACGCCTCCTGCCACATCGACAGCTCGGCGGCCACGCGCAGCTGCTCGAAGCGCGTGTCGAGGTAGCGCTGCAGCGACTCGGCCTGCGTCAGGTCGGGCCGGTCGATGCGGTCGCGCTGGCGCTGCTGGGGGTCGTGGAGGTTCTTGAGGTGGTTGCGCAGGATGTCGCACAGCCGCCGGAACTCCGTCGCGCGCTGGTACTTGAGGCAGAAGGCCAGCGCGCGGTGCGACGTCATGGCGTACAGCGACTCGAGGCGGGCGTTGTTGCGCAGGATCTCGAGGATGGAGCGGTACGTCTCCCAGAGGAACTTGAACCACGGCGCGACGAGCTCGCGGTCGGTGCGGTCCTTGGACTGGTCGCCCGTGACGTACGACAGCGTGAGGTCCTCCGGCGTGGCGTCCTGCTCGAGGTCCTCGATGTCCGCGAGCGCGATCTCGGCCTGGGTCTGCGGGAACAGGGTTGCGCGGCGGGGAGGGGGTCGGTGGGCGGCGGGGCGCGGCGCGGGGCGCGGGGGGAGGGTGGGCGGGGAGGCGCGCGCGGTGGCTTGCCTGGGCTTCCGCGGCCTTGGCGCTGGCGAGGTCGAGGAGGTGCTTGATGATCTCCTCGAGGGACCGCACGTTGTCGTGCTGGCAGACGTTCCTGCGGGGCGGGGGGCGGCAACGAAATTGGCTCAGTGCGCCGAAACGAGGGGGCGGAACCTGGGGGCAGGGCGGGCCGGGCGATGCGCGAAGCGATCGCGCCGAGGTCTGTACGAGTACAGGCGACCGCCGTGGGGCGCGACCTCCGACGCGGGGGCGTCGGTGGGTGCGGACGGAGGCGGGCCTGGGTGCGGGAGAGAGGGCCGCGCGTGAACGGCGCCAGGGGCTCGCGCGCGATGCGTCGGCGGTGCATCCGCCGCATCAGTAGCATGGGAGCGAGCCGGGGAGGGCGGCTGCTGTTCGGACGGGGGCGTGCAGGGCGGTGGAAACATGGCGGCCTGAGTGGGAGCGGAAAGGAGCTGAGAACTTCCCGCCGCCGCACTGGGCGGCGCCGGGACGCCGCTGGTGCGGTCGTGAAATTCAAGTGCGCGACGTGAGGTGCTGGGGGCCGCCAGCGATCTCGCGCACAGCGCGAACGGGACGGCCGTCGACCAGACCGTCACGCTTTGCCACCGAAATCGGCGCGGTCGGGGGCCTCAGCCAATCCACATCGGGTGGGCCACTATTCAGGCTGTCCGAGAGCGCGGGATCTCCGCGGACGGCGCACGGCGCGCACCTGTACTGCATCAGCCCCTCCTTTGCCAGGCGCCCGCGCTTGAGCTCGACGCAGAGCTCGACGTGCTTGCGCATGATGTCCTCGAGGGCCTTCTGCCACGTGCGGTTGTGGCGCCGGTTCGTGAGAACATCGTGGAGGACCTTGAGCGCGCTCTCCTTCTGGTCCACTGCCAAGAGCTCCTGGGCGCGCTTGAGCGCGTTCTCAGGCCGCGGCACCGACGGCCGGTGGAACATGTTTCCGCGATAAATGATGGGCGACCGCCTGTCCGCAGGCTACGGAGCTGCCCGGTGTCGGGGTCGGCGTCGCTCGCCACGCTCTCGGGCTAGACGTCACGAACGTCCGTCGTGAGGCCCGGTGTTGCTTCGCCTGTGACGGGACGGTTGAAAGGGCCGACTCGGCGCGCTGTGACGCGGGTATAGCGCCGGCACGAGCCAGGGAGCGCGCAAGACTGAGCACCGTCCCAGTCGTACAGGCCGGAAGCGGCCCGGGAGGGCATCAGGGCGCCCGACATCGCGCCTGACGCACAGCGCACGCCTTGCTGGCACGACACAGTGGGTTTGGTGACATCTGCCGCAGGGAACAGCACACGAGGGAGCGGAGCACTGCGTTAGATTTAGGCTGGCGGGTTCGTAGCAGGGGGGGAGTCAGGTGGCTGGCGTGGGCGCAGGGGCGAGATGGCTGGAGGAGCAGGACCGAGCGGGCAGGTGCGTGGCGCCGCGGACTCCCTGCCCTCGGCTCCTGCGATGCAACCTGCTGAGCTCATGCTCGGCCTCGTCCTCGGCCGCTGGCCGCCGCCCCGACCGCGCCGTCCGCCAGGAGACAGCCGCGCTGTGCGAGAACGCTTGCAGGGTGGGAGCGCGGCGGGAGCGGCACGGAGAGCGAGCGGAGGGGCGCAGCAAGCTGCGGGTGCAGGGAGACGGGGGCGGGAACAGCAGCAAGCGGTGATCTCGCTGGCCTCCGACGACGACAGCAGCGACATCGAGATCGTCGCCGAGACGCGGGCGCCCAAACGCCGCCGGATCCAGTCGCAGGACGGTGCGAACCCCGAACAGAGGCACGCGACGGTGTTGAATCCTCAGGGCCGCCGAACGGGCAGCCAGGCCCGCGCGGGAGCCGCTCCCTGCGCCTGGATTGTCGCTCGTACCGTCACAGACACGCCTGGACGCGATTCTGCGGGCGAAAGTGCCGGGCGGGCGCGCAGAGCGAGCCGGAATCTCTCTGGCAGCGGCCCGGGACGCGCGCCCGCCGTCGCCGGGGCTGGGCTCCACCGTTCTCGAGGCGACGCTCCGTTCGTGCAGGTGACGACGAGCCCGTGGTGGTCTGCGCGACGCGAGCGCCGGCGCCGGCGCCCCGGGCGCGAGCACCACCAGCTCCTACCCCGCCCTCGCCGCCGAAGCGCAAGGGCCTCGAGTGCGTCATCTGCATGGACGAGATGAAGGACGCGTGCGTGACGCCGTGCGGGCACATGTTCTGCCACCCGTGCATCCAGGACTGGTTGCGGCGCCAACCCACTGCCGGGGCAGAACAGTGCCCGCAGTGCCGGAAGCAGGTGCCGCGGGAGCCCAAGACCGGCGCCCGGGGCTACAACAAGAAGCACGCAGGCCTTCCGTATATGCAGCGCAAGACCCCGACCGTCTCCTGGAAGCTCACGCGCGTTTTCATCCCCACATGAACCAGCACGCGCGGGGCCGCGACGGCCAGCTCCGCTTCCCTAGGCCGCGCGTCGCGGTACCTTGGAGCGAGTCGCAACACCACGCTTGCCTTGTGCCCGCGTAGCGGCCCCCGCGGGCCGCTGCCGCAGCCAACCACACCCCGCGCCCCCAACAGTGGCGCGGCAACGGCTCTCGACCGACGCTTCCCTGCAGGGCCGCATCTGCGGCCCCCGTGTAACAGAGCAGGGCGACGCGTGCCGTTGCAGCTGTCGCCAACGCCACCGGTGAACGCTGTGCCGAGGCGCGTTGACGCAACAGACACATTGCAGCGCGTTGCTCACAGCGTCAGCTCGGCTCCGCCTTGACAGGCGACCGCACGCGCGGGGACCGCCTGCCCGTGCCCGTCGTCCGCCCGGGCGCGGCCCGGTAGTACTGCACCACGTCAGTCGGGTACAACTTGTGGATGTCAGACATGACTTCGAGACTGGCCAGCCCGAGGTCCCCCTCCATCTGCTGCAGCCGCTGCAGCGCGCCGGACGTCAGGAACGACTGCCGCGCCTCCGGGGAGTGCTGCATCAGCCGCAGCAGCACGCGCAGAACGTGCTTGATGATCCGGGACGGCGTCTCCGGCGTCACCAGCGGCTCCAGCGCCGACGGCGTCGCGCAGTTCCGAATGATCGCCTTCAGCGCCTCCTTCGCGTTCAGCTGCGCCTGCACACGCACCGCGCGCACGCAACGCGGCCGGCGCGTCGGCACCCGGCGACGCGCCGCACGCGCGGCAGAGACAGAGAGAGGCGAGCAGGGGGGGGGAGCTGCGTGTTGGGGCCGCACCTCGCTGCCTTCATGGGCCTTGGAGTACACCCCCAGGAGCACCGTGAGCATGCCGCGCATCGCGAGGGGCAGCGCGGTCTCCTTGCCGTGCTGCGCGACGCAGTGCAGCGCCCAGCACGCCGCGCTGAGGACCTCCATGTCGTTGCCCTGGAGGTACACCGTGACCTCCTCGAGCGCGCCGCAGTCGCACACGGCCTTCCCCAGGCTCGCCTCCTCGCGCGCGATGTACCCGAGGGACAGCACGCCCGTCATGCCCTCGTTCGGCGTCGCGCGCTCGAGCTGGATGAAGCGCACGAGGCCCGCGAGGTCGCCGGACTCGACGATGTTGTAGCAAAAGTCCCCCCCGTACTTGAGCATCTGGAGGACCAGCGCCGACGCCGCGCGCCGCAGGGGCGCCGCGGGGTCCTTCAGGAACGCCGAGGGGAGCTGGAGCGCGCGGGCCTGCTTCTTCACGACGCTCGCGAGCTCCTCGCTGCACACGGCGCGGAGCGGGAGCGCCGGTTCGGCTCGCACGCACGCACGACAGCAACGACAGCGCAGCCACGAACCTGCCCACGTGCGCGCGACGCGCCGCACCCGCGCCCCGCGCCGCCACGGCCATGCACAGTACATGTTGATGCACGCACTGCAGCTGCGATCGCTGTTCCGCGGGGAACGGGGCCTCACTTGTAGTAGCAGATGTGTCCGAGGCACTTGAACAGCTCCGCGAGCACCTTCGGCTCGGCCTCGCTGAGCGTCGTCACGTGCCAGATCGTCGGCACGCACCCCGCGTTCACGATCGCCTGCGCGAACGGCTCCCCGTGCGAGCACGTGTCCGCGAGCGTGCTGGCGATGGCAACCTTATACCCCCCCTGCACCTCCTTCACCGCCAACAGGCCCACGAGCACCTCGAGCATGTCCCCGCCCATCACGTCCGACGCCAGGTCCGCGTTCGCGGCCACCAGCACGTTCAGCGTCTTCACGCCGGCCTCCTTGAGGGAGTGGTCCTGCATGTCTAGCTGCCCACGGATGATCTCGACGACGCCGGCCTCGATGACGGCCTGCGCGGCGCTCACGGACTCGTGCGCGATGGCCTGCAGGGCGCCGTGCGCGGCCTGCGTCACCGTGCCCTGCCCGTGCTGCGCCGAGTCTACGACGTCGGCGAGGCTCCCGCGCTCGATGAGCGCCTCGCCCATGCCGTTCGTGCCGCGGACGCACTTCGCGAGCGTTCGCAGGGCCCCGGCCTGCGAGCGGGCGGCGCGGGAGGCCGGAGTCGGGGCCGGTTCGCGTGTGCGCGGGGGCCGTGGAGGTGCGCGGCATGCACTGGCGGAAGTGCGGGGCGCGGGCGCGGCCGAGGCGGACCTGGACACCCGGGATCGCGTCGCAGATCAGAGGGTTGCAGAGCAGCTTGGTGATCTGGTTGCGGTGGAGCTCCTTGAGCGCTGTGTGCCACAGGTTTTGCTCGAGAAGACTGTGCACCTCCTCGACGAAGCGCGTTCGCTGCACCTGGAAGTCCTTCACCACCTTGGACACCTGCGCAGTGATGTAGGGCACCCGGGGGGCCGGTCGCGCAGCCGTGCGGGGCGCGCAGCGCCGTGGAAACCGCCGTCTGTCGTGCCACAGGTTGGTGCAGGCGCAGGGTCGAAAACGACGGCGCTGGCGCGCGACGGGCCGGCGGGGAGCCCGCGCGAGCGGACTCGGACAATGTGCACGCGGGAAACAGCGCGGCGGGCGCCTCAGGGCGCTCGGCGCGGCCCTGGGCGGCGAGCACGGCCCGGCGAGGCGCGGTGCTGCTCACCTGCCCCGCGAGGAAGAATGACTTCATCGCGTCCTTCGCCTTGGTCGTCTCATCCTTGATGGTGAGGTTCGCCGAGTGCTCGACCTTCCCAACCGCCACCATCCTGCCCCACGCGCCTGCAACCCCTCCAAACGCACTCCGCGCTGGCCGCTAGACAGCGTTCCTTGTTTGGCGCGGCGTTCTAGCGACCCTATCTCAGCGACGTGACCGGCGGCCGCCCGGCAGCACGCCCGAGTCCCACTCTACCCAGCTATGTGGACGCGAAGCCGCGTCTGGCGTTCTCCGCGGCAGGAGGAAAGCTCCTGGCCTGCCAAACGCTCGCAGGCCGAATTCCAGCGTACTTACTGAGCGAATAACGGTGCACCGATCCCTATTTGTCGCCGAGTGCCGCTCAGGGCCCCGTGCGCCGGCAATGCCGACGAGCAGCACCCGTCGCGCGGCCTGACACCCTGCTCGGAAGAAACCAGCGACGCGTTTTCATTCCACGACGGGCGGAGGCGCTCTTTGCCGCACGCAACAGTGCCTTCAGCGCACCAGGGCCTCGGAGGCGATCCCCGCGCATCGACAGGCATCGGTTCCGCGGCACACGGGCCGCATTCAAGTTCGGGCGCAGCGCACGCGCGGCCACAGTGGCGAGTGAGCCGCGTGCGGGCCGGCCGCGATTCCCAGCGGAACCCGCTATCGATAAGGAGCCGCCCGACCGTCCGCGCCCCTGGAACGCCCCTTGCGCGGCCCGTGTCAGCGGCGTGTTGAGCGGCGGTTCCTGCCAACTCATTCAGTCGCGTGGCCGACATGGGAAGGTCACGGCAGCCAGGCGGTCGACGAGAGTGTTCCTTGGAAGCGACAGCGTACTGCAGGTGAGCTCCAAGGCCGCGGTGCGGCCCCGGCGCGGCAGCAGCGCCCTGGGGCCCAGGACAACCGCCCGCCGCTCCACGCGCCCACCTGCGTCGAGCGCCTGCGCGAGTGGACCGCTGCCCGCATGTTCCGAACTAGAGGTCGCGCACGCACCACACTTGGGGCTACATTATCGCCAGTTCGGCACCTGCGGCCAAGGAAGTGGTTGCCCTACAGCCACATTCGCCGTGTCCCGTCGCCGCGAAACGCACCCACCGTGCCGACACCCCCCCAGCACGCCACCCAGCTCCCCGCTGCAGCCGCGCGTCATTTCCCCGCCACCGAACCCCGCACTCGCTCTCTTTTGTTTTGTAATCGCAGCTGCGGCTACTGCTGCAACTGGGAGTGGGGCATCAGCCTGGGCCCGCTCCCGGCCTACATCGCCCTGCAGCCGCGCTTCCCGCCGGTCTGGGTCCGCAAGATCGACGCCGGGTGCCCGCTGACGCGCCGACGCGCCACCGTGTTCGATAAGTTCTGGACGGCGACGGAGGCGCGCGGGTGCCGCTACGAGGGCCTCACCGCGAGCGGCACGCAGCCGCGGCAAGCGCGCCGGGGACTGCTGCATCCGTCGGTGTGGAGCAAGCCGAAGAAGCTGGCCGCGCGGCTGATGCAGCCGTGGACGTGGCTGGGGCGGCAGGGCACCGCGGCGGCCGACACGGCGTACTACCCGTTCGGGACGCAGGTGCGCAGAGCGGGCGCGGGGCGGCCCTGCCGCGTCGGGCGAACGTCGCGGACAGATCGGGCGCGTGGAAACGTTGTTTTCTCCTCCCACTACGTTTTGTTTGATTGCATTCGTCGCGTGTCGATCTGCGTGCGCAGATCTTCGTGCCCGAGCACGGCTGGGTGAAGGTGGAGGACACGGGCGGGGCGATCAAGACGCCGCGGCGGCTGGACCTGTACTACCGCTCGCACAAGGAGGCTCTGCGGTGGGGGCGGAGAGAGGTGCGCGTGTCGGTGATCGAGCCCGGGGAGGCCGCCATCGACCGCGCGCTGATGCCGGCGCCGTTCAAGAGCCTCCTGTGGGGCATGGACGCCGTCAAGCACGCCCTGTTCTGACGACGCAAACGGCACTTAGGATTCGCCGTCTTGCGACGCGCAGCTGTGAACCTGACGGTGCAGGGAAAGGCCCGCAGGCGCGTATCGCGCGCCCTGACCTCACAAGCGCCCAGACGAAATCCTGCGTCGCACCCCCGGGGCCTCCTCAGCAGTCCCCCCTAGGCCCGTGCGTCGCGCAGCACCGCGGAACGTTCCAGCTCTGGCCGCGAGCAGCGCTGCAAAGTGCAACGAGCCGTGTGTACCTGCCCCTAGCTGCGCCAGCGTCGAGGTTGACGCTCCGGGAGGTCATTCAACACGTGTTTGGCAGCGAAGATCTCACGGAACGGCACACCGTCACAGCCGTACACGCCGCCGCTCTGAGAACAGCGCCGGGTCGACACGCCTCGCCCCTCAGCCGCACGAACCCCCCAGGCCCCGCAGCCTTGTGGCCGCCCAACCACCGTGCGTCAACGACGGCCTCACAGACCAGCTCGCGTCACCGCAAGCCGCGCACGGCGCCCGCAAGGCCGCGTCTCAGTCAGCTTGCGAGGCGGAGGAAGTGGGGCGGTTCGCTTTTGGGCCACGTCAGGCGCGGCACCCCTGGAACACCCTGTCGACGCACTCTTCGAGGCGCATGTCGATCCCGGCGCCCTCGAACGACGTCACGCCGAGCTTCGAGAGCACCTCCTTGGGCTGCCCCGCGGCCCCGGCGATGCCCAGCGCGACGTTGGACTTGTGCGCGCGCGACACGAGCTCCTCGACGGCGAGGGCGACGCTCGAGTCGATGGACTCGACCTTCGACAGGTCCAGGACCGCACCCTTGCGCGACTCCAGGTCCGGCAGGATCGAGCGGACGATCGGCGTGGCTGCGTGACAACGAAACAAGGGGGGGGGGGGGGTCAAAAGTGAAATAACAGGCCGTGTCTGTCTGGGGGCCTGCGTTTGGTCGCCACCCCGTGCCAGACTATGAAAGGCACGCCAGGTGCGTGTCAGAGGCCCATCGTCTGATCCAAGCGCGCAGAACCGGAGTGTCGGGGCCGGCGGCAGTGCAACGCAAAGCATATGAAGGGGCGCTTGGCGGCGCAGTGCTGCGCCGTGCGCGGCTTGGGGCGCTCACCTCCGGCATAGTCCAGGTCGCCGCGCAGCGAGTACACCGCGAGGCCCTTCTCGGCGCCCAGGCGCTCGGCAACGCGGAGCGGGCAGCGCCCGTTGTCAATGTCGGCCATCGACACGCTCTTGCCCGTGAGCACGCGCACGCTGTTCACCTGGCGCTTCTGCGACGACGCGATGCCGAGCAGCATCGTCAGCGCCGTGCCGGCCACCACAGCCTGGATCAGGTCGACAAACACGGTCAGCAGCACCGTGGTGGCGAACGCGGCCACGGCCTCGAACGTCAGCCGCTGCCAGCGCTTCAGGAAGGTCCAGTCGATCACGTCGAGGCCCGTCTTGATCAGAATGCCCGCGAGCGCCGCGTGCGGGATGGCGCCGGCCTGCTGCGAGAAGCAGAGGACGATCCCGAGCAGGAACACCGAGTGCATGGCGCCGGAGATGGGCGTGCGGCCGCCCGCGCGCACGTTCACGACCGTGCGCATCGTGGCGCCCGCGCCCGCCACGCCGCCGAAGAGCCCGGCCACGAAGTTGCCCACACCCTGCCCGATGAGCTCGCGGTTGGGCTTGTGGTACGTCCCGGTGATGGAGTCCGCGACGAGGGAGGTCAGGAGCGAGTCGATCGTGCCGAGGATCGCGAGCGTCACGGCCGGCGCGAGCACGGCGAGGGAGAACACCGGCATGGACACCGAGGGCAGGCCCGAGGGGAGGGCGCCGAGGGTCGGGGCGCCGGCGAGGACGCCGGTCGCGGAGAGCGTGGTCGTGATGATGAGCGCGGCGAGCGGGCCCGGGACGAACTTCCGGAGCTTCGCAGGCCAGTACAGGCAGCACGCCAGCGACAGAGCGCCGAGGGCCGCCGCGGACGGGTTCACGTTCTTGATCGCCGTGGGGAGCGACGCGAGCGCGGCGGGGACGTTGCCCTTCGCCGCGCTGCCCAGGATGACTGCGCGGGAGGGCGGCCGGGGCACGGGCGCGCGTGAGAAGGTGCGCAGCGCGGAGCGCAGCGCCTGCGCGGGCGGGGGCGCGGGGAGCCGCACCTGCGCTCTGCAGCGAGATGATGATGCTGCCGATGCCGGTCATGAACCCGGACGTCACCGACTTGGGGACCAGGAAGATGAGACCCCCCAAGCGCAGAGCGCCAAAGACCACCTGGAGCACTCCCGCGAGCGCGACGACGGTGAAGGCCGTGGCGGTGCTCCCGGAGTTCGCCGCGATGATGCTGGCCATGATGACGGTCATCGGGCCCGTCGGGCCGGACACCTGCGACGGCGTCCCCCCAAGGAGCGCTGCGAAGAATCCGACGAAGATCGCGCCGTAGAGGCCGGCGAGGGCGCCGGCGCCGGACGCGACGCCGAAGGCGAGCGCGAGGGGGAGCGCGACGACGGCGGTCGTGAGGCCTGCGGGGCGGGGCGGCGGGGGGGCGTGCCGTTGACTGTTGACAGTGGGGCCAAGGGGCGGGGCGGGCGGGCGCGGCCGGTGGGGGTCGGGAGGGGCGGCGCACCGGCGAACACCTCGTCCTGGACGCTCTTCATGTCGCTGATGCCGTTGATGAGCTCGAACTTCTCCTTGGGTGCCGCGGGGAGCTGGGCGGTTGCAGCGACGTCGTCAGCGGAGCCGACGGGCCCGGGCGTCGACGACGACGGACGGTAGCTGCGCCCGACGCGGCGCGGCGCGGTCTCCGTGCGCAGGCCCTGCGTGCGAGGCGGGGCCGTGGCAATTGGGGTCCTGGCTCCTCTAAACAGGAGCCTGCCATTAACCGCTGCTGCATCGAAACGCGCGAACGTGGCGGACGAGCGCTGCGATGGCGCGTGTCGGCTACGCGTAGGCGAGCACTGACGCAGGCATTCGTGCTAGGGTGACGGGCCGCGACGGGTGGGCTGTGCGACGGCGCACGGCGGCAGAACAGGAGGGACGTTGCTCCTTGCGACGACCGCGTGTGAGGCCGCCTGAGAGCCTCCGGGCGGGGCGGGCGCGCAGCGGCGGACGTGGGAGGCGTGTGGTGCGGCGGGTGCGTGGGCCGCGGGCTTGCCTTGGGCCCGAGGGGGCGCAGCGCGCGGTGTGCGGGCGCAGGAGCAGGCGCGTTCCTGCGGTGCAGCCGCGGCGCCGCGGACAGCGCCGGGACCGCGTGACGGACGGCGTTCATCTTGAGACTGAGGCGCGAGCGCTGCCGTGGAGCGAAACCCTCGGACAGTGCGGTGGGGGCGCCGCGGTAGCAGTGAACAACCGCTCCAGGTACTGGGGCACCTGACTCGCGCAGGAGGGTGTTCCGAACCGACGGGTGGCCGTCGTGCCTGCTGCCGGGAGAATGTGCGAGCCGCGTGCGTCACCGCGTGGATTCGGGGCCGGGGCTGCGCGCACCGGGACGTGAAAGTCGACTACCCCCAACATGCCCCGAGAGGGCACCACGTCATCGTTGCGCGGCTCCGAACACGACCTGGCGGAGACCTGCGGCTCTGAGACGGCGACGTAATGTCGCGGAGCGCTGCCCGCCGCCGCTGAGAGCTGCGTTGAGGCGTTGAAGTGCATGCGCGGGGAGAGGCCGGACACTTCGCGTTGGTGCTGCCGGCGCGGCCTCGCATGCGAGCGCCTGAGCCGTCATCGAGATGTCGCTTGAGGCAGTGAGGGACCAGGCGTGGCAGTCCCGGGTCCTCGTGGCGCTGACGCTCGGACCAGAGGAAGTGGCTGCCGCCGATGTGCAGACGTTCCCGTTCTACACCCTCTTGCCATACAACTGCCCAATCATAGCAGGTGCGCTCACGTTGAGCCAGAGAGCACCCGTGCGCCCAACACAGACCTCCCACACGCCTACGCAGGGTCCGTGCCTCCACTCGCACGCACCGAGCGCCCTCGCCACGCGCGTGTTTCGTCCGCAGCCGCCCAAGAAGCCCTCGCGACGTTCGAGTCCGTTCTCCTCGACGGCCCCCGCCAGCCGTGGCTCGAGTTCCACGGCGACTACCTGCCGTGGCACGTCCCAGCAGGAGTCGTCCACAGGTGCGCGCCACGACGGACCGCCTCTTCCAGCTCCCTCGCGGCGGCAGTCCGGCCCGTCGCGCCTAGACACGCGCGATGTGCAGTGACCGTCATTGCGCACCTTGTGTGTTGTGCGGCGCCTGACGGTCTGCGGCGCGGTCATGTCGTATCGCAGGGCGCTCACGGGAGGCCGCGCGTACCCTTGGTCACTCACGGTCAGGTTCCGCAGTCCCCCGCCGGGACAGCTGCCGCAGTTTGGCAATGACCCACTGCTAACTTCGACGCTGAATGCGCTGAAGGAGGCATCGATGACCCTCACAGGTCCGCGCACACGACGCCTCCTGTCCGTGTTTGATCTGTCGTGCCGCCGGGGATGAGATCGCGCGTCGTGTGCGAGAGGGGGACTGGTGAGAATTTGGGAGGTGTCTGTGGGGGGGTGTTGCAGGTACAGCGCGGCCCGTCATGGCGCTGCCGGTGGCAAGCAAGGCGCCGCTGGCGGCGGCGACGCGGGAGGGGCAGCGGGCGAAGTACGACGAGCTGACGTCAAGTTTTGTGTGGGAGCCAAAGAGCTGGGGGTCTCGGCCGGCGTCCGTGCCGGTGCACGCGTACGTCGTCGCAGGGTACGCGCAGCTTCGCCGCCCAGCCGCTCATGCGGCGCGCGTGCCACTGCCTGTCCTGGGAGCGCTCGCAATGTCATTAAAAGCGTATTGTTCCGCGAATCATTCGCGGCGTTCGTCTGGCGAATCATCCGCGCAGATCTGGTGGGGTGGGCCCCGCGGACTGCTGGTCCGACGTCAGGCTGGCGTCGCGGCCTTTCGCGATCGAGCACGCCCCGGACACGGACCGCGAACAGTCAGACACAGAAGGGGCTGACTCAGGGCACGACGCGGGGCAGGGGGCGCGAGAACGGACGGTGGGGGACGTGGCGCTTGCGCTGTGCGAGGAGTTCGGGCTGCAGGCGTCTCGCGGGGCCGACGGGAGCGACGCGGCGGTGCAGGTCGTGGTGTGCGGGGTGGAGCTGCCGCTGTCGACGACCTTGGAGTTCGCTTGGGCGGCGCTGCGGAGCCCGTCGGGCTTCCTGGATCTCGTCATCATAGGGCAGAGACAGCGGCATCGAGAACCGCCGCCATGACGGGCGGGTAGGCCTCTAGTGCCCGCGCAGCAGACCTGACGAGCGCGGGGCCTCTCTTCGCGGAGAGAAGTAATCATGGTTGCATGCGTGTCGCGCATGGAACTAATCTGTCGTCTCAAGTACGTGAGGTGCAGCGTCACAGTCGAAATTGCCCATCTGAGGTCAACTTGCGATGAGAGAGCTTGTCCTCAGTCGCCCTTCCTGCCGCCGGCTCACCTGCCGTGCAGTGCTGCACGGCCAGGGTCACCCGACACGCACGGCACCCGTCCTGCTCCGGGCGCGGGCCTCTATCTGATTCCTTGATTCGCACAATCATATTTCCCAAGCGCGATCGTCAAATGCCATCACGCCATCCCCCGGACGCCACCGCGCGCTCCGATCACGCCAGCAGCAGCTCCCGCAGTCGCTCCGGAGCCACCGCGGTCGTCTCCGCCGCGTGCCACGCCACCAGCCCGTCCACACCCTTGCCGAGCGTCTGCAGGTGATGTGGCGGCGGCACTGCTGCCAACACCTCCGGCTGCGGCTTCTTCTGCGGCGCGCCCCCCCGCTTCCGCGGCGACGGCGGCCGCGTCAGCGCGCGCAGCGTCGCCGACTGCGGGCGAATGCGCTGCTGCGCGGCCCTGCTCGGCAGATCTTGGTCTGGCGTGTGCGGCGCCCCCACGCGGTTCGATGCGTCGTACCCGAGCCAACGCGGCTGGCACGCCGCGAGTGCCGCAGGCCGCTGGCGGCTGAGGTTCCGGATCTGCGCCAGCATCGTCGCGCCGGTCCCGCCCGCCAGCCCCAGCGCCTGGGCGAGCTGCGCGACGGCCATGAGCTTCGCCTGCTCCCGCGCGCGGTACCGCTGCCCGCCGCCGCCGAGCGCGACGGCCGCGTAGTTCGCGCCGGACCGCGGACCGCCCGCGACGGGCTCCCCGAGGTTGCCCTCGAGGTGAGTGATGAAACGACTGTCAACCTGCTCGCGCATCTCGACCGCCCGCTGCTCGATCCACCCGGCGCCCTGGACGTAGATCAGGAACTCCTCGCGGTGCGCGCCGGGGTTCCGGTGGTCGGTGAGCTGCACGCGCGGCCGCGGGCGCAGGTACGCCGAACCCGCAGTCTCCATCCCCGAACGCCGCCTCGACTGCCGCGCGTGCGCGTTCCCGCCGCTGCCGAGCTCCGCGAGCGTGCGATGGTACTCCGTACGCCGAGCCTCGGCCTGTTCGAGCAGCTCCCCCGTCCGCGCCATCCTGGCTCTGCTCTCCTCTGACTGCGGGTGCTCCGCCTCGTCCTTCTTCGCAGGAGGCCGCTGCTCCACCGCGCTGTTCCTGTATTCGTGCGCGTTCACCTCCATCAGCGGCGGCTCCTCCAGCACGCGCTTCGGCCCCGGTCTCAGCGCCTCGACCTGCCCCGGCATGAAGGCGCCCTTGTGCGGGACATGCGCGGCGCCTGCGCCGCGCGCCCGGAGCCGCGCGGTCGTCCCCGCGATCGACAGCGCGCCCATCGTGCCCGCGAGCTCCGGCCGCAGCGTCCCCGCCGTGCCGGGCCGCCGCAGCGCGGACGCCGCCAGCGTCGTCGCCGACCACGGCCGCGTCGTCTCTTGCCCGCGCCGCGCCGACACCCCACGCCGCCACCGCGCAACGTCCGACGCAGCACCCGTCCCCTCCCCGATCCCCGTCCCCGCCCCGACCCCACCGCCACCCTTCGCCCCCGCCGCCATGGCGGTCTCGTCCTCCGCGTCGAAACACACCATCGCGATCCGTATGAGGACGTCGACGAACTCCGGGAACCGCAGCGCGTCCTTCGGGCTCGGGAACAGCCCCGGAGCGGCCCCCGGCGTCAGCGAGTGCATCGTCACGGCTTCAGTAGGCCGTACAACCTTGTTGTGCGGCCCCGCGGGGGTGCCGAGGCACGTCGTGCGCGTCCCGGCCATCGATGCCGCGCCGAGGGTCTTCCCGAGGCGCCCGCCCGCGGGGGCCGTCGTCGGGCGCGGGCCGAGCGTGCGCGCGGTCGGAGCGCGCGGGTTGAGGAGGGATGCACCGGCGACAGTTCCGAGCTGGGGGGCGCCCGCCGCGTCGCCGCCGGAGCGGTCGCGCGCGTCCCCGCGGGCAGCGACCATCATCTCCGCGGTCGTGAGCGTCCGCGCGCGCGCGGCGTGCCCCGTGACGCCCGCGCGCGGGCTCCGGGAATACGCCCCCGGGGGCGCCAGCGTTGGGTCGGGCCGCGCCACGCGCGCGTGCCGCGGCGCGGTCCCCGCGAGCGCGTCCCGGCGGCTCCGCACGAGCGTGTCCTTCCCCGTCTCCACGCGGTTCTCCTTGGAGAGCTCGCGCTGCGCGGCGGCGTACGCGGCTTTGGCCGCCCCAAAACACAGCGCGATCTCACGCTGCCCAATCAGCTGCGGCGACACGCCGAAGTCCTCGCAGAGCGTCACGAGGTCGTCCACGGTCATCACGGGGTCCTGCGCGCGGCACAGCACGCTCTCGACCTTCGTGTCCGTCCGCTTGGGCATCTCCGGCAGCGCGGGGGCGTCCTGCGGCACCCCGGGGTTCACCCATTCGGGGTACGGCTGGTTCACCGACCCGCTGTCCCGGGGCACCTTGGCCGCGAAGTGCGGGTTCTCCCTCGACGCGTAGTACCGGAAGAGCACCGGCGCCGCCGCGACCTGCCGCAGCGCGCGCGTGGTGCTTGTCATGGACGCGGCGGACCCGCCAAACATCGTCGCGAAGCCGGGGCCGCCCGCGCGGCGCGTGCCGGTCGTCGCGGTGTGCGGGCGCGGCCCGAGCGACGCGCGGAGGTGCCGCGGGAGCGCGCCGGGCGGCGTCGCGTGCCGACCGGGCGACTGCGGGCCGTCCGTTGGAAAGGTGGCGTTGAATAGCGAGTCGATGGTGCGCCCGGCCTGCGTCGTGCCCGTCACGCGCGGAGGAGGCGGCGAGCGCCGCTGCTGCGCCGCGTGCAGCGCCACGGAACCCTCTGCGTCGAGCTGCGAGCTCCCGGAGTGCTCCGGCGACGGCAAAAGGCTCTCCGAGCCCCTGCTCTCGCTGAACTCCTTGCTCCTCTGCGCGGGGGAGGGTCACGGTGCGCGGGTGTTTGGGGCGGCTGTTGGGCGGCGGCGGGGCGCGTGGCGGGCGCGGGAGGGTGCTGAGTGCCGCACCTGAAGCCAACTCTCCACCTTGACGATGGCGGACGAGCTGGAGGACGCGTCGGGCCGCGGGGCGCGCTGCGCGGTCTTCTCGGGCTCCGCCGCGTCCGCCGCGTTGTCCGTGCCCGCGGCGTCCTCCTGTGCGGAGCCGGCCACTTGGTACATCTCGCTCCCAGACGGAGGGTCGTTCGCGGCGTCGTCCTGGGTCGCGAACGACGGGGAGTCATCCAGCTGGCTCCGGGACGCCAGCAGCGAGTCGTCCGTGGGCCGGTCAACCCTCGGTGGGTCCGCGTCGTCCGCGGAAAGCTGTGCAAACCTCGAGGGCCTGGACTGAGAGTCGCGGCGCGGACTCGTCGGGCCCGCACCGACGGTGGCTGTGCTGGACAAGAAAGGTCTACGGACCACAGTGCGCGGCCCGCCAGTTGGCGACCGCGGTCCTGCCTCGAAGAGGCTCTCGTGACGGCTGGCATGCCTTCCCCTCGGCCCTGCACACGCAACATCGCCCCGTGCTGCGCGTTCCGAGCGAAACGAACGCGTCTGCCGCGGTGCGGATGTACCCATGGCTCAGATGCGATCGCGCGTGCGGTCGCTCGCTCACCTGCGCGCTGCGAGCTTGCGCTCTGCGGCCGTGACATCGCCCGAGATGCACCAGCCGCGCTCCCAGCCAGTACCGGCCCTGCGCCTCGCTACAACGCCGCGGAACCGCGACTCCCGACACTTATCGACAGCCCTACGCGTACCCGCGCGGCATTCTGTTCGGATTCGCGGCTCCCAGGGTCCCCCCTCACAGTGCCTTCAAGGGCGCGGTCCGCCTCCCACGGGCGACGCCAGCGCTCCGCCTCACGCGAACGGACAGTCAACCGATCGCTGCCGCTGCAGAGTGCGTCCCGCGGACCAGCGCGCGCCCCGTCGTCGCCAACAGCTGCCCACCTCCCTAGATCCTACTGACGCAGGCTGCTGGACGTCACAACCGCCCACGTGACGCCCGCACGGGCCCGGACCGCCCGTCGCCCGCCCCCGCGCGCCACGGCAGACCCAGCGCGAGGTCGGCGGCCGCGAACCGACCGGGCCGGGGCGCGCGTCGCGCCGTGCGCTGCGGCTGTGTTGCGCGACGCAGCCAGGTGCCGTGACGCGGGCGTGCGGGGGCGTGGGCGCGAGCGCAGGTGGCGAGGGGACGCGGAGCGCGGGGTGCTGCGTGGGCGGCTGCGGGCCGGCAGGGCCGTGCGCGTTGTGGGCGCTGACGGCGGAGTGTGTACACAGTCTCACAGGCGGTGGTGCAGGGGGGGTGTTGAGGGGTCGAGGCCAGCGCCGTCACCCGAACTTTTTCCTCATCTCGCGGAACCACTCGGAGGGGCTTGGGAGGTGGCCCGAGGCCGCCTGCGACGCGGGGGCGCGCGCGCGTGTGTGCGTGGGTGCGAGGCGGGCGCCTCCGTCGCCGCGGGCGCGCGGAGGTCGTGTCCGGACGACGAGCCGCGCGGGAATGGATGGATACGCAGTGTGAACGCGTCGCGCAGGCGGTTCGCGCAGTCACGGCTCGGAGGCGCCTCTCAGGCCGGGAGCAGGTGCAGGAGTGGGGGTGTCCTCTAGCGGATCTAGGCCCGCCGGCGCCGTTCCGAAGCACGCCGTGGACGCGTCAGGGCGTTTGTGGCCGGGGCGCGTACCTTGGCCTCCCAAGTCTCCATGATGGTGTCGTGGCGGGCGGCCTCCTTGTCGCGGTGGAGGCACTCTAGGTAGTCGTTGTACCACGACTTGCACTCCTCCTCAGTCTTGGCCTGGGTCATGCAATAGTTGAAGTCCATCCAGTGCGCGAAGCATCTGCGCGGGGGAGGCGCGCAACCCCGGTGTGAGGCTGAAACTGCTGCAAAGAGGGCTTGCTTGGCGAGCGCGCCGCCGGGTTGCCACATCTCGCGGGTGGCTCGGTGCGGAGCGGAGGGAACGATTGAGGAGGAGCCGGAGCGGCCGGCGGTAGCGTCCGCAGCGCCGGGCGCTGCGCTGGAAGAGCAGCGGTGTAACTCCGGCCGCGCTCACCTGCTCTGGACGCCCTTGCGACCGAAACCGGAAGACATCTTGGAGTCCTCGGGTCACCGATAGCGCTCAGCGTGAGAGAAAACGCCCGTCTCGGGCCGCGAAGCCGGGCGAACCAACAGCAGCGACACCCTTCCTTTCACGTCCGCGCGGGCCGCAACCGTCGCACAGACGACGTCCGACGCCGACGAAAACCCGAACAACTCAATAGACCACACCAACAAGCCGCGCCATCTGGCACGCGAGGCCCAGGACGCCGCGCAATCCGGTGCGGGGAGGTCGCCTGTCGTCAGTGCGACCCGCCCCCCCTCCAGGCCGCGACACACCACCTCATCACGCCCGTCCGGCAGCTCCCCGCGCACTCCACCGCACGCGCAATGTCCAACCGCGTCGAAGTGACGCGGTCCCGCCTCGCGGGCGCCTCAGCGCAGCTCCGCGCCTCCCCGTCGCGGCAATACCTGCCACCACTGAGCCCGCCCGCGCAGCAGGACGCGCAGGCAGACTCGTCGCACCAGCCGGTCGGGCGCGGCCAGGCCGGCGCGGCGTCGCCCGGGAAACTGGACGGGGAATTTCAGCGGGCCCGCGGTGCCAGCAAACGGCCGGTCCGCGTGCACCCGGGGCAAGATGCAGGCCTGGTCGATATGCCGGGCACGCTCGTCCTCAGAGGCGGAACCATGCCGCGCACCGCCGGGGCGCACCGCGCGGCCCCCCCCCGCGGAGAGGCCCCGTCCTGCCGTCTGCTCTCAAACTACGCATCGCGTTTTTTTACATTAGGTGCGCCGCCGACCTCTTTCGAGGACCTTCCCGCGCAGAAACGCTCCCAGAGGCCCCGCGGCGGGCGGCCGCGCGCCGCCCGACGCCCGCCGCTGCGCGCACCGGCGCGGTGCTCCCTCCGCCCCCCACCGCCAACACACACGCCTGCGCGCGCGCATCGACGGTCGCTGCCGGCCCCAGCGCCCTCACCGCGCCGCCGCGCCCGCCCCCCGCCGCAGCATTCTGTTCGGGCTGATCGTCGAGGGGTTCGGGGCGCTGGTGCGCACCGACGCGGGCGTGTGCTCGGGCTGCAACGAAATCGAGCGGATCCTCGCGGTGCTGGTCCCGGGCGCCGTCCAGATCGCGACGCTCATCGTGTCGACGCTGCTCTTCCTCGTCGTCTGCAAGGACACCGTGTTTCTGCGGCTCGGAGTCTACCATGCCTTCCACGCGGAATTCTGGCCCGTCCTGTACTCCTTCGTCCTCGCCTTCGTCTGCTCGAGCGGCTTCATGGTGTTCCGGATCTTCCGCGCCGGTGCGCCCCCGCGCCCACGCCGCCCCGTGCTCATACAACACATGTTGGCGTGTCGCATGTGCAGCGGCTCACGGCGGCGGGCCCGGGCGTTCGTGCAGGCGTCGACGCGGAGAGCTACAAGGACGAGTGGCAGGACCCGCTGTACGTCGTGGCGTTCGTCCTGGAGCGCGTCTCGATCATGGTGTACTGCTCGGCGGCGAGTGTTGGGGTGTTCCGTGCGCTCTCGCCGCCGCTGTACACGAAGGCGTGCCTGCTGCGGGAGCTCAGGGACGCGGAGGAGGCCGGGGAGGACGGGGGCGAGGCGCTGGTGCGGGGGGCGTCGTGAGGCGGACGGGTGTGACGCTGGTGACGTGCCGAGCTGTCGCGTTGCTGCTTGCGCCGGGCCGCCGCGTCGGGGGCAGCGGGGCGGTGGCGGCGCGTGCGTGGTGGGCGGGTTGTGGAGAGGGAGGCGGTGGCGCGTGACGCGGCGTCTTTTGCGCGGCGCGGCGTGAGCGGCGGGAGCTGCGTGCGTGGGGCGTGAAATGAGCGAGGCGGGAGGGCGTGTGTGGGCCGCGTGGTGGGGCCTGCGGCTATGTTGGGGCGGCTGTTGGCGCGTCGTGGATATATGTGCGTGCACAACGCGTTGATTTGGCGTTGAGGGCACTGTGGACGTGCGAGGCGGAGGCGACAGTCTCCGAGCGCGGCTGGGCTGCTGAGCGCGCACGGAAGCCGCTCTCAGGCGTGACGGCCCGGTATCCTGCGGATAATCAGGCTGGGCTGCGATAGTCGGCAGCGGTTACACGGCATCGTCGCCCGAGCAGCGCGCGCAGCGGCGTTTTCGTTGCCGAGCAGTGCATCGGCCGGTCTGCCGGGCTGTCCCGGCCTCCATCTCTGAATCCGTCGATTTCTCGTCGATAATCAGCATGAATAGGTTCGCAGCGGCGCGTGCGACGCCCACGACGATGCTCAGCAACGCGCTGAGCCAGGTGAATCTCAGCAACGAGGCTCCCGGCGCCTCCCAGTCCCAGGGCATCGGGATGTTCGGGGGAGAGGAGGCGGGCGTCACCTTCACTCAGGTAAGCTCCCAGCCGCGACCGCGAACGGCCACGCAACGCCACCAGCGCCCCGCAAGCGCCACAAGCGAGTAGCAAAATAACAACATCGCCCCGCTCGCGCACCAGGCAACATATTACCGCCGTCTCGCCGCCCGCACGTTCCCACTTTTCGTCCAACATGCCATCTTCGCATCGAGGCTCCTCCGTGAGGCCCCGTACAGGCACGTTCGCACCACTCGTGCTGCGACACACACACAGCCATGTGCGTCCCGCCGCCCCCGCTCGCCGCGCAGGAGCTCGGGACCCAGGACTTCATGACCCCGAAGGACGCCGTCTTCGAGACCGGCGTCCCGCTCTCGCAGCCCGGCGCCCGCAGCGGCCCGGGCGGCCCCGCACTCCCCGGCGCCCCCACGCCCGCCGCGCCGCGCCACGGCAGCCAGCAGGCCGGCCCGAGCGGCATCTGCCTCACCCCTCCCTCCTGCCCGCGGAAGCTGCCGCCCGCCCCGGCCTTCCACAACGTCACCAACAGCCACAAGCGGTCCGACGTGTCGCCGAAGCTCATGTCTCCGCCGGTGAAGCCGAAGAAGCACCGCAGCGACGTGTTCCCGGAGCCCGGGTCCGGCGCGGGCTCGCAGATGGACACCAGCCAGCCCAGCACCGGCGGCGCGGGCCTGGCGTTCATGAGTCAGGACTCGCAGGGGGTGTCGCAGCACCCCCCCCTCCACGCCGGGCCGAGCCGGCTCGCGTTCGGCTCGCAGCCGCCCGCGACGCCCGCGGGCGCGCAGCCGCCCGACGACGTCTCGGCGCGTCTGCAGTTCGGCGGAGACAGCCAGCCGGGCCCTGACAGCCAGCCTGGGTTCGACCCGCAGCACGCCTTCGCGGCCGGCGCGCGGCCGCCCATTGACCCCGCCCGGCCGTTCCGCAACATCGCGCTGCGGCCACCGGCGCCGCCGCCCCGCCAGGTGCGCACCGGCCACGCAGCGCTGCGCGCACTCCTGCTGACGCCGCGCCGCTTGGTCGTTTCGTTTTGTCTTCGCTGCTGAGGCGCCCAGCGCGCGCGGTGCGGTGCAGGCGGACTGCGCGGAGCCTGCGGGCGAGGACACGCGGGCCCCGAACGGCGTGGCCAAGGGCACGCGCGTGCGGCGCCCGGGGCAGTCGATGGCGCCCCCGTGCACGAGCAACATGTTCCTGGGGGGCGGCACGATCGACAGCAAGGTCGCGGAGGCGGTGGACTGGTGGCTGAAGGTACGGTGCACGCGCGTGCGCGGCCCTGCGCGTCGCGGGCCGTGGATGCCGGAGAGTCCTCGAGCTCGAAAAACATTGAGACCTGATTTCTCGATTGTTTTTCAAGCGTTGGCCGGCTGACGCTGCGACTGCGCGCGCATCGAACAGCCAGTGCCGATCGAGCGCGTCCCCGCCGCCCCGCCCCTGCCGCCCCTGCACCTGCGTCAACACTCCCCCGCGGAAAGCAGCCCGGAACTCCCCCGCGCTGACGCAGGTCGGGCGGACGTCGAAGAACGCCGGATTCCACCGCGACGCGTTCGCGTTCCACGACCGGCTCGGGCGCGGCTCGTTCGGGACGGTCCACCGCGTAGTGCACCGCCTGGACGGCGCGGAGTACGCGCTGAAGGAGCTGTGCCACAACAACACGCGCGGGCAGCTCACGGCGCTCCTGCGCGAGGCGCACGCGATGTCTGCGGCGGGGCGGCACCCGGGGCTGGTCGGGTACCACTTCTCGTGGCTCGAGAGCGACCGCATGTACATCCAGATGGAGCTGTGCGTGTCGACGCTGGAGAGCGAGGCGCGCGCGGGGGTGTTCCGCGAGGCGCAGGCGCTCGAGGTGTACCGGGACCTGTCCAGCGCGCTCGAGCATCTGCACATGCGCGGCATGGCGCACATGGACGTTAAGCCGGCCAACATCTACCGCGGCAAGGTGCGCCAAACCACAAGAGTAGAAAAGAAAAGAACACAGCGCCCGACGTCCGCGCGGTGTGCGCTGCTGTTGCTGACCGGTGTGGACTGACGAGGGCCCTTGCGGCGGCTGTGTGCGCAGGACGGGCGGTGGAAGCTCGGGGACTTCGGGCGCGTGGCCTCGCTCGACGGGGACGCGTCCGCGGAGGAGGGCGACGCGGTCTACATGGCGCCCGAGCTCCTCAAGGAGGACTTCACGCACCTGACCAAGTCAGACATTTGGTCCCTCGGCGCCACCCTGTACGAGATCGTGCGCGGCGCCCCGCTCCCGCGCGGCGGGCAGCCGTACCAGGACCTCCGCGCCGGGAAGCTCTCCCTGCTCACCGCGAACACGTCGAGCTTCCGGCGCCTCCTGGAGACGCTGCTGCGCCCAGACCCGCAGGAGCGCGCGATGCCGCACACGACGGGCGCGCTCGCGGTGGCGGGCCCGGCGGGCGGGCTGCTGTCGCCGGCGGGGGCGGGCACGCCGATGACGGCGGAGCTGTCGCTCGGGGGCGCGAGCGCCGGGACGGAGAAGGGGGGGTCCGTGTCGAAACCCCCCGGGGGCACTACGCCGTCCCCGGGCGCGAGCGGCGGGCAGCGCGGCGGGCAGCGGCGCGGGTGGGGCGGCGCGTTCGGCAGCCCGTCGACGGAGTGCCAAATGGTGATCAACCTCGCGACCACGGAGTGAGCAACGGCGCGGCGCGGCGACAGCGTCTGCGCGATCTGTGTGAGCCTAGGAAACAGCTCGCGGCGAGCCGCGCCCTTGCCTGCGCCTGCCGCGGCCGCTGCGCGGCCGTCCAGCCGTGGTGGTGGGGCCGGGCGGTCGTGAGTCGTGCCCTAGTTGCGGAAGAGAGGGGGTGTGTTGCGCGGGGTGGAGGTGGGCGCGGTGCGTCCGCGGGCGGGGACCGGCGCTGGTGGGCCAGGGGAGCGCGGGCGTGTGGTGCGTGGCGGGGTGGCGGGCGGGCGTGGCTTGGGGGGTGGTTGCTGCGCGTGTGCGTGACCCTCCGGTGGCGGGTTGCAGGCGCAAGGTGCACTGAGGTGGAGCTGGAGGTGCTGAGTGACGGCAGGTGTCGCGCCGTGGCCGGTCGGCGCGCCTGCCCGCCGCTCGGGGACGTGCCCTCGGCGGCGTCACGTTGCAGCTGGTGCATCCCCCCCAGGTGCCCGCCAAGGGGCCCGCGTGCGGCCTCGCGCGGCAGTTTCGACGGACCAGCTGCTGCGACGTGATCGAAGAACGCTAGTGTGCTATCGGGGATGGGTGTTGGTCCGCGACGACGACGCTGTCGTTCGGAGCGCGCTCAGGCATAGGTACTGCGGCCGGCTGCCGTTCGGGGCAGCTGGGCGTTGTTAGCGCGCCTCGGCTGGCGTGGGCGGGAGGCAGGAACAGGTTGACCGGTTGAGACGCAGGGCTGGACGCGCGCGCCATGCCACCCGTGCCGGTGACGGGTGCGACGGCACCGCTAGTGAAATGCTCGTTCATGAATAGTAGTTCGAAGGGGGAGGACGCGAACATCGTGAAAATGGACCTCGACTTTCCCGAGCCGCGCAACGAGGCGGAGAAGGTGCGCGATCCCGCAGCCCGGCCACCAGCAGAGCCGAGATGCTGCAGTGCGCTGCATTCGGACGCCCGCTCGCGCATTTTACTTCAACCCGCCCTTCCCCTGGCGCATGGCGCGCGCCACCGTCGGGCCCGGGCCCCGAACATGCCTCCTCCTGCCGCGGCACGGCGCCAGCAGCTGCGCTCCGCGCAGGTGCCTCCCGCGCGGCCGGGGGGCGCCGCGGAGGCAATTGCCTGCCGGCCCTGCTGCCTGCGCCTTTGAAAGGCGCTGCTCGCTATTGCACCCGCCGGATTTTCCCGTCCGTCATGGAAGCACCGGGCTCACGTCGAGAAGACTTGTTCTTTCGTTGGCCCGCCGCGCGTCATGTCGCGCGCGATGCTCGGCGCCCCCGGCCCCGCACATGCCCGCTCGTGCAGCCTGCGTTGCCGGCCTCGGGACCGCCCTCGCGGGCTCGCCCAGGGCGGGCTGCACGGCACGTGTCGTGAGAGCCCCATGTTGAACGTCCTCGCGCTGCCGCTCACGGACGCAGCGGCCGCAGTTCGAGCGCTCGTTGGGTGGCGACATTAGCGCACACACCTGCGGCGGACCCCTGGCGGCCCGCGAGGGCTCCAGCGGCCGCGAACGGCCGCCACTCACCACGCGCCACCGCCCCGCGACTCTGCCCGCCGCCGCAGGAGACGTTTGGATACGACAAGGACGTCCTCCCGAAGAAGTGGCATCTGTTCTGCGTGTTCGACGGCCACAACGGGAACAAGGCGTCGTACTTCCTAGCAGATCGGCTCGGCCCGCGCTTGCAGAAACACATGCCCGGCGGGGTGCCGCCGCCCCGCGGGACCGCGGAGGCCGCAAACTACCTCCGAGATATCCGCAGAGCCATCTGCGAGGTGCGCCCGCCCCCGCACTCCCCCCCCACGCACACGCCGTCGGTCGTGCACACAGACGCCCGACCCGCACCCGCCCGGCCCCGTCCCTGCCCGCAGGCGCTCGAGGAGCTCGAGGTCGAGTTCGCCGAGTTCGCCGAGCGCTCCGGGTCCACCGTCACGATCTGCGTCGTGATGGGCTGGCTGGTCACCGTCGCCAACGCAGGCGACTCCACGTGCCTGGTCGACACGGGCTTCGCGATCGAGCAGCTCTCGGTGGACCACCGCGTCGGCGGCAACGCGGACGAGCGCGCCCGCCTCCAGGCCGCCGGCGGCATGCTCGCCAAGCTGGACGTGCACGGCCTGGGCCCGAACTTCGAAGGCGGGCTGGACGCGGGGTACGGCCCGGTGCGCGTGTGGCCGGGCGGGCTCGCGCTGAGCCGGTCGTTCGGGGACTTCGACGTCGGCGAGTTCATCATCTGCAGCCCGTACATCCAGCAGCTGGTGCTGCCGTCGACGGGCGCCCGGCTGGTGCTGTGCTCGGACGGGATCTGGGACTCGTTCCCGACGTACCGCCAGGCGGTGTACTTCACGCGCGAGTTTACGCACGCGTCGGCCGCGCAGCGGCTGAACAAGAAGGCCATCGCGATGCGAGGGCTGCTGGACGACAACACGGCCATCGTGGTCGACGTGCTGCCGGGGCACGAGACCTGGCCGCAGATCTGCGGGCTCGTCAAGGTCACGGGCTTCGCGAAGCTGTGCATGTGCGGGAAGGCCGTCTACGACGAGGGCGCGTCCATGGCGCACTCCACCATGGCCAAGGGGGAGTATCTGCACTCGGTCGACACAGCCCCGGGGCTCGCCGAGTCGTCCGGCAAGGCGCCGACCGAGGCCTGGGGCGCGTCCTCCGAGGCCACGCAGCGCGCCGCGCAGCCCGACGCGGCCCCGGAGGACGACGTCGCCGTGGCGTACCACAAGGCCATGGAGCTGCGCGACGACGAGACGGAGGGGGAGTCGTCGTTGGGCGGCGAGAAGTCCGGAGCGATCGCGCGGCCGCAAGGGGACCCGACCGTGCGGGCCGGCAACGTGTTCGCCGACCCCAGCGTGCGCGGAGGCGCGCTCTTCAGCGGGAGCAGCGAGGCGAGCGACAAGCGGGACTCGGGCGAGGAGGCGGCGGCGCACGATGCGGAGGGCGGCTCGAGGCGCGCGTTCTCGCCCGAGCTGCCGCGCCTGGACGAGGACCAGGCGACTGGGCCGACGCAGGAGGCGGCGCGCCACAAGATCACGCACTTCGAGCGCGAGCAGCGCGCAGCACGCGCGGCGGTCAAGGCGCTGAAGTCGAAGGTGCCGTCGAAGCGCACGCGGATCGCGCGGACGTCGATGGGACACCCCACGGAGGTGCACGAGGTGGAGGTGCCGCGCCCAACTGCAGATGCCGGGCCGCGGGTGTCGCTCCAGGGGGTCGCCGCGAAGCCCATCAAGTCGATGACCTCGCCCGTCTCAGAGGGCCTGCCGGCGCGAACGGCGCCGAAGAAGGCGTCCACGATGACGAAGTTCAGCTCCGTGGGCGCGACTGTTGATAAGGATGCTGAGTTGTCCGTCCACGCGATCGAGCTGCCGAACACGGTCGACGAGGAGCGGTTGACGGAGGAGGGTATGATCGCCGACAGCAACGGGCACTAGGAAGGAAGCGCGGCCGGGGGCGTCGGGTCGGGCAGAGCAGGATGCATTTGCGCGAGGGATGCTGCTTGAGATGTTGCCTCGCGGCACCTGAGTGGGTTTTGATCAGCCAGGAACGCGCTCGGGACGATGTGTGATGCAGGCGATCTCGGGCCTCGTTCGTGCGGCGAACTCGCACGCGCGTGTTGACGAGCTGCTGCCCGCGTGCCACTCGGCGGCGAGTTGCTGCCCTCGGGCAGCGTGAACAGCACGCCGAAGCCGCCGGCGGAGGTAGTCACACTTGACACGTCTCGTCATCCTGATAATTCATTACGCTGATAGTTCATTACAGCCGCTCCCAGTCTTGCTGCAAAGCATCATCACAGCGCGGCAGCCAAGCGGCCTTCCGCTGCCGACAGCTCGAGCGGCGACGCGCGGCGCCTGCGCGGACAGCTAGCTGCGGGCGGCCTTCTCCGCCTCGGCCCTCATGCGCTCCATGAAGTCCGCATTGATGTCGTGACACATCTTCTCCTCCTCGCCCCCCACGCGCTCCACCTGGATGCCGGCGCGCCGCAGCGTCTGCACGCCCTGCCCACCAACCAGGGGGTTCGGGTCGACGATGCCCACGACGACGCGCGCGACCTTGGCGGCGACGAGCGCGCGACTGCAAGGCGGGGTGCGCCCAAAGTGGTTGCACGGCTCCAACGTGACGTAGGCTGTGGCGCCCTCGGCCTTGTTGCCCGCGGCACGCAGCGCGTACACCTCGGCGTGGGGCTTGCCTGCGGGGGCGCCGCGGCCGGGCGTCACGGCTCAGCTGCACAGACATTCAGTGCAGGGGGCGACAAAAGGAAATCCTCGATTGATTGGGGATTTCTGTGATGTCTCTGAGCGCGATGATCCTGGCAAGAGTCTGCGCCGCGGTGCATGCACGTGAGCGATGTTGCTGGTCAGGAAGGACGTGGCTGGGCTTGAGGGGGGGGGAGAGTAGCACCTGCCATGGGATGGAATCCCTCGCCCACGACCTCGCCGTCGGGGGACACCAGGACGCAGCCGACGAGCGGGTTCGGGTAGGTCTTGCCCTCTGCAACGCGGATCAGCCCCGCAGTTCGTACGTCAACACCACGTGCACGTTCGCCCCGTGCCGGGAGGCCGAGGCGAAGTGGGCTGCCGACCGGACTGGCTCGGCGGGCGGGGCCGCTGGCGGGCTGTCGGGCTGTGGCGTCATCATGGACGCAGGCGCTGGGCGGCTGACGTGCAGGACGGTTGCACACCTGCCGTGCGAGCGAGCTCGAGGGCGCGCCGGACGTGAGCGCGGTCCGCGTCCGTGATGTGCTCATCGGACGGAAGCTCCACTTGTTCCGGAGTCGCCGCGAGACGCTGAACCCTGCCCGTGCGCGCGAGCACCGGCGCGGAAGGCAGCGGGGTGCGCGCAGCACCCGTGGCGCGTGTGGGCCTGGCCACGGGCCGCGCGCAGCACATCGGACGGACCGAGGCCATCCTCGATACGTGCACGTTTGCGGGCATGGGTCCCGCGGCGCACAGCGCGGCGCTCGTGCGCTTTCGAGCGGAGGATTCCAACCAGAGCTGGCGCCGTATGATGCCTGCTTGCGTCGTGCTCTTTGCTCAGACGCGACTAGCGAGCAGCTTTCAGAATACCTCAGAAGCGGATGTGCCCTCGGGCGATAGAGATCGGCCGCCTTAACCACTCAGGCACGCGCCCGGGCACCTTCTTGGCCCGACCACGGCGCTGTTTCATGCCTCCCCCCACCCTCCCCCCCTGCGCTTGGCCGCATCGCGACAAGGCGACGCGTCCCGCACGGGCGGGTGCAGGCGTGTTGTTGCATGTGGCATATCTGGGCCACGTTTGTTCACACGACGTAGCGCAAGGAACGCAGCGCTCTGTGGGGGAGACGAAGTCGCTGGAAGCGGCCAAGGGGTGCCGCGCGAACCTCCTTGTCGGGACGAGCGGAGAGCGCGGTGTCTGTGCGAGGGGCGCGGCATGGGCGCGCTTTCGGGAAGCGGAGGGCTGGGAGGCAAGCTGGGGAGGCTGCTGTCCTTGGGAGGCAAGACGAACGGCTGGGAGACGAGCGGCGTGCTCATGTTGTACGCCTGGATGGGAGGGATGCTCGTCTACTTGAGGTGCGCGTCGCGGCCTGAGTTATATCGCGTGCCGCCTGCGCCACCCACCTCGCGAGCGGTGCGACCGCTGAGCAGCCCTGGAACGCACGCGCCGCGCTCTCGGTGATGATCCGCAGCTACGGCGACCAAGAGGGTATTCTAGAGAAGCAGCTCGACCAGACGTTGCAGGCTGATCCGGGCGCTTTCTGCGGCAGGCACGCTTCCCCTTTCTTCCGCGCTGCTGCCCACGCGCGCGCCGGCCCGGCACACAGGGCGAGGAGACGACCCTCCGCGCACGCCCCCCGTGCCCGCAGAGCCATGGCGAAGTTCGCGGACCAGCACCTGGGCGACCACGAGTGGTACCGCAAACTCAAAGACCACGTAGCAAGCCACTACTCCTCCGGCCCGTTCAAGGCCGACCCGAGGGGCCGCTCCGACGCGAATTAGTCACACTATACATATCCCACCCTTCCCGGCACCGCCCCGCCTGTGACGCGGCCGCCACGCACGCACCACGCAGAGTCACTGCTGGTTCTTTGGGTTCTCCGGCGACCGCTGCCAGGCGTTCCACGCGAGGTCCTTGTACTGCGTCAGCTTCAACCCCGGCTTCTCGGCCTTGAGCTCCTCAATCTTGCGGGGGTAGTACAGCTTGAATGTCATGGCAACCTTGGGGCTGGACGTGCTGCCGCGGAGCTCCATGGCCTCGAGCTGCCTGACCGCGTCCGCGAGGTTGCTCGCGTCCACGAAGTCGTCGCGCTTGTTGTTGATCACCACGTCCACCAGCCTGCGGCGGAGCAACGAACAGATCACGACGCGCCCATGGTCGGCTCCTCGCCGCGGCGCGACTCGCGGCGCACGTGGCCGCCCGGGTGCGGCGCCGCGCAGCCGCGCGGAGCCGGCGCGCCGCGATGCGCGCGCGCGCGCGGCGACCAGCCGCATCGGCGGTGCGGCCCAGCACGGGGCCGGCCGCGCGTCCCCGCGAGGCCCCGGCGCGCACCTGGCGTAGTCCCGTTCGCTCATTTCGCGCCGCTGCGCCTTGACCCACTCCTCGCGCTTCCGCATCTTCTCTGCGTGATCCGCCTCCTTGGCTTTGAGGATCTCGTGCGCCGTGGGCTTGTCGTACCGCCACTTCTCCTTCTGCTTCTTCGCAGTGGCCTCCTCGATCTCCTCGTCGTGCAGCGCTTGCTTCTCCTGCCGGATGGGCGCGGGCGGGACGGTGCGTGCGTCATGGAGCAGGAGCGGCGACGATGCGCTTGTAGGCGTGGGCGGCGCGGTGTGACGTAGGCGGGGTGCGGCGAGCGAGGAAGGCCGGGCGTGGGGGCGGTGTTTTGCGCGGGGGGAGCCGGGGCGGGGCGGGGCGCGCAGTTGGTCCATGCGCTGGTGAAAAACAATCGAGGAATCGTGGTTCCGACATTCGCGCTGTTTGTGGCTCACGGAGATGGCGCCTCAGTCCAAAATCTGGGAGTGCGCGGCGGGAAACGCCGCATCGAGCCCCGTAGCGCGCTCGCGGAGGCAGGCCCCTGTTGGACAGCTCCGGCCTTGTGGCTGGTCGTCGCACCTGCTTCTTCTCAAGCTTCTCCATACGCTTCCGTTCAGCTTCCAGCTTCTTCGCCTGCCCTTTCGTCAACGCACCGTCGCCTGCGAGCCCCCGGAACGCGCCGCGCGGGACAGGTGTGCGTCGAGGCGGTTGGGAGCGCTGGCGGCTGCCAGCCCAGCCCCGGCCACGCAAAACGAGCTCCGCCACGCCCCGTCCGACCCTGTGAACGGGTGCCTCCGCATACAAGCGTGCCGGCAGCTCGCTGCGGCGACGTATCCGGCCGCCCGCGCGACGCACGGAGCGACTTCGCGCTACGGTGGTGCACGAGCGCCGAGCCCGTGCGGTGCCGCGGTGGCCACGACAATGCGGAGTCAACGCGGTCCTCCTCCGCCGAGACGGGAGAAGCTCCACGTCCCGCGGCGTTCCGCCGGCGATCGTGTCTGTGTATTGAGGAACCCACCTGCTTGTGCCCACTCCATGTCTTCCTTCTCTTTCGCCTTCAATTCCGACATGGCCGCGTCCTTCTCGGCCTTCCTGGCCTTCGCGGACACATTGCCCTTCCCGCCCATCGCGCACAGCACGCGGTCCCCACGAACGACGTCCAACGCTGCGTGTCCTGCGCGCCACACTATGCGCAAGCGCGTGTCGCGGGCCTCCGGTGCCCCGCCCGCTCAACTTGAACGCCGAGACTGCGCACCCGTCGCGGCACGCGTCCGCCACGAGCCACGCTGCTCAGTCGTGGCCCACGCACTCCTCCCCCGCTCTCACCACAGACTCCACCCGGCTCTACGCCGTCGACATAGGCCGCGGCTGCGCCGTAGCGCGCACGGAAGCGCAGCAGATCAGCTGCTGCTCGAACGTCGGGAGAACTCGCGAGGACTGCCCCGCGCTGCGCGGTAACGAGACGTGCTGCCACTCAGTGCTTGACCGCGCAGCTGGGCGCCGGGCTAGCTCCGAGCAGTCGTTGCCATTGGGGAGCGAGGTTGGACAGGATGCCTGGCGGAGACGGAGAGCAGCACCCGCCCTCCAGGCACGCCCACGCGAGATCGGAGATCCCCCAGGTTAATGAGGAGGTGCGCACCGACACCCCCGGGCACCCGACGCGCAAGCACAAGCCTGTCCTGCAGCTGTACGATCTGTTCATCGCCTTGCGGCGCAACATTCCGGACGGGCTGCCGCTCGCGGCCCGGCAGAGCGAGGTAGCAGCCTGCAACGGAGTGAGCGGCCTGCGGGCGTGCTGGCTGGTTCGGTTGGGCCATCTCCGAGTGTATCGGGTGCAAAACGGGGTCATATGCGTCGCGCGTGGTGAACGCTGGCGCCTCGTGCCTCGCCGGGCAGCCTCTCGGCCACAACGCCTTCTGATGCTCGCGGCACGAGATCCTGCCGCGGCCTCGCTCGGGGGCGGAAAGCACGGAACCCCCGCTCCCGCAGCGCCAGACCCTGACCAGTGCGTGCTTGTCCCGGCCTCGCTGCAGCGCGATGCCGACCCGTCGGACGCGGAGGACGTTCCTGACCGCGTCCCTCTGTCCGAGCAGCGCCGCGAGCTGTCCTCCGGCGCGCTCGGCGGCCAGAGCCAGCGCCACGGGTACCGCACGAAGAACGACTTCTACCGCCTCAAGGTCCGACGCCCCCTCGGCCTCCCGCTCCCCGCCGCCCCGCGCCCCGCCTCCAACCGCGCCTACCACCACCGCCGCGCCGCGCCCACCCCGCCGCCCCGCGCCCCGGCCCGCACAGGCGCACCTCCGCCGCTCGCGGTCCGCCACGGAGATGGTCAAGCGCGACAAGGCCCTGCCGAACATCAAGCTCCTCGTTGTCGCCATGAGCAAGAAGAGCCGCTCGAAGCCCATGACGCAGATCCTCGAGCGCCTGCGCGCGTTCAACGAGTTCGACATCGAGATCCTCGACGACCAGACCATCCTGGACGTGCCCCAGGAGGACTGGCCTGACTCAGACTGCCTCATCTCCTTCTTCTCGACGGGCTTCCCGCTCGCCAAGGCGCAGGCCTACGCGCGCCGGGTCGGGCCGTACCTGATCAACGACCTGCACATGCAGAACCACCTCCTCGACCGCCGCGCGGTGTACCGCCGCCTGCTCGAGGTCGGCATTCCGATCCCGCGCCACATCGTCGTCAATCGGGACCCGAACAAGCCCGTGAAGGACCAGCCGGCGGAGCCGCCGGGGGGGTTCTCGGGGAGCGCGGGGGAGGAGTACGTCGAGCTCGAGGACCCGGAGGGGTTCGTGGAGACCGAGGACTACGTGGAGTTCAAGGTGCGCTCCAACACGTAACACCCCCGGGGGTGTTTCGTTGGTCGGCGCGCGGCAGCGGGGCGCGGGGCTGCCGGAGTCGTGGGGCGCGGCTGTGTGCGCGCAGCGCGGCTCTGTGCGGCGTCGATGCGTGGTGGCGTGTGTTGATATGAGAGATGAGATGAGTTTGAGTGATCGGTGTGCGTGTGTGTGGGCTTGGTTGTGCGCAGGGCGAGCGGGTGTTCAAGCCGTTCGTTGAGAAGCCCGTGTCCGGCGAGGACCACAACATCTACATTTACTACCCGCACTCGATGGGCGGCGGCGTCAAGCGCCTCTTCCGCAAAGTCGCGGACAAGAGCGCGGACTACGACTCGACGCACCCGGGCACCGTCCGCCGCGACGGCTCCTACATCTACGAGGCCTTCCTCGCCACGAGCGGCACGGACGTCAAGGTCTACACCGTCGGGCCGCGGTACGCGCACGCCGAGGCCCGCAAGAGCCCCGTGGTCGACGGGCGCGTCGTGCGCACGCCGGAGGGCAAGGAGGTGCGCTTTCCGGTGCTGCTGTCGCCGCAAGAGAAGGAGATCGCGCGGATCGTGTCGCTGGCGTTCGGGCAGAAGGTGTGTGGGTTCGATCTGCTGCGGAGCGACAAGGGCCGCTCGTACGTGTGCGACGTGAACGGGTGGTCCTTCGTCAAGTCCTCGAAGAAGTACTACGACGACTGCGCGGGCATCCTGAGGTCCATCATCCTCTCCGCGCTCGCCCCGCACCGCCTCATCATGTCGCCTCCGCGACCCCTCGCCTCCCAGGTGCCGCCCCCGCCCGCGCACGCATCGACACCAGCGCCGCCCGCGCGTGGGGCTGCTCGACGCGGCCGCGCGTCAGTCGGACCCGCGTCTCACGCCCGGCGTCCCCGCTGCCCTTTTGTTGCGCCGCAGATCGAGGAAGAGTCCGCGTCGGCGTACAACGACGACGCCGTCCCGCGGCCCGACGACGACGAGCCGGACCGGGCGTCGTACGAGGAGCTCCGGTGCGTCCTCGCAGTGGTGCGGCACGGCGACCGCACGCCGAAGCAGAAGGTCAAGGTGAAGGTGTCTCACCCGCTGTTCCTGGAGCTGCTCCGGCAGCACATGGACATCGAGGGCGGGAAGGCCAAGCAGGCCAAGCTGAAGACGCCGCAGCAGATGCAGGACCTGCTGGACGCCACGCGCCAGGTCGTGGTGGAGTACGAGACGCTCCTGACCGCCGACTCGCGGAACAACAGCAGCGCGATGCCGTCCAGCCCCGCGGAGACGCCGACGGGCAAGTCGGGCACCGTGCGGCTGGCGACGGCGTACAGCGACGCGCCGAACTCCCCCTCGACCAACTCCGCCAAGGCAAGTCACACCCCCTCCGAACGCCCCCACACGCGCCTTCCGAACACGCCCACGCGCGCGCCGTGCTGCACCTATGCGCCGTGGCAGACTGCTGCTCTGTGCGCTGCGTGCGGCTCGCAGGCGAAGAAGAGCGACGCCGACGACGTCCAGGACAAGCTGGACAAGCTGCGCATCGTCAAGGCGGTCCTCGAGCAGGGCGGGTACTTCAGCGGGGTGAACCGGAAGGCGCAGATGAAGCCGACGGCGTGGGAGTATCGCGAGGGCGAGCTCCCGCGGTGCACGGAGCTCCTGCTCATCGTCAAGCACGGCGGTGTGCTCACCCACGCCGGGCGGCAGCAGGCGGAGCGCCTCGGCGTGCAGTTCCGCTCCCTCATGTATCCGCGGTTCGGTCCGATGGGCGGCGGTCTCCTGCGGCTGCACTCGACGTACCGGCACGACATGAAGATCTACTGCTCCGACGAGGGGCGCGTGCAGTGCTCCGCGGCCGCGTTCACCAAGGGCTTGCTGGACCTCGAGGGCAACTCGCTCACGCCGATTCTCGTGTCGCTGGTGAAGAAGGACGCGCGGATGCTCGACGTGTTCGACAAGGGGGCCTCGATGGACATCCGCACCGCCAAGCACGTGCTGTACACGCAGATGACGTACGACGCGCTGCGCGACAGCAGCTGCAACGTCCCGCTGCCCCGCGTGACGCCCATGCCGACCCCCGGCGCGAACTCCCCCCCGCACTCCCCCCGCGACGACGACGGCAAGGGAACCCCGGTCCACAAACGTACGCTCTTCCTTCGCCCCCTCCGCGTCGCCCGCCCTGCCGCCAGCGGCCCCCCCTGGGTTTCCCGCGTCCCTCCCGACACCCCCCGTCCTCTCCCCGGCCCGCAGAGAGGAAGCAGAACTCCTTCGTAGGCCCGGCGATGTCCCCGACGTCCCCGGTGCCGCCCGACGGCGGCGACGTGCCGGTCAACCCGCGCGCGTCCCTCACGGAGCAGGCGCGGATGTCTGTCCCGGACGGCGTGGACAAGATGGTCGCGGAGGCGCAGGGCATCCGCATGGACACGGCGATCAACATGATGCCCGAGGCGCCGCTGCAGAAGCTGCACATGCTGTACGACCTGCTGACGAAGCTCATGGACGACCTGCGGAAGCTGTGCCAGAACCCGGAGGTGGTCGTCGCGGACCCCCACCCGGCCTACTCTGCGATGACGCAGAGCCCGCAGGAGTGGGTTGAGGCGTACGGCGAGGGGAAGCCCTGCGGCGGGGAGCGGATGCTCCTGATGTACGACCGCTGGCGGAAGCTGCACAAGGCGCTGTACAAGTGCGCGCGCCCGGCCTGCCGCCTGACTCGGGCCTCGCTGATGTCGGTTTGCGGTGGCCGCCGGCCCTTGCAGCGCTTGATTGCCGCGGACGCGACGCGGCGAGCCGTTGTGTGTTTCGTGCTCCTGCAGTCCGAAGAAGCGCCTGTTCGACATTTCGAAGATTCCGGACGTGTACGACTCGGCCAAGTTTGACGCCATCCACAACCACTCCCTGCACCTCCCCCACCTCGAGGAGGTGTACAACCTCTCGAAGACGCTCGCGGACTGCGTCATTCCCAACGAGTACGGCGTGTCCACGGACCAGAAGCTGCGCATCGGCCAGAAGGTGTGCGACACTCTGCTGGGCAAGCTGCTGTCGGACCTCGCGAACGTCAAGGAGGAGTCCTTCAAGACGGCGGAGCAGGAGGGGTCGACGACGGGCCTGCGCGACGAGATGACGGGGTACCAGCTGAGCCTCGCGAGCCGCCTGGACGAGGGCGCGGTGGAGCCGCCGCGCTTCTTGTACGGCGGGATCGGCGGGCTGATGGACGAGGAGGAGGACGACGACATGGGCAACGAGCCCGACATGGTGCACCGGCTGTGCCCGACGTACGCCGACGACGTGAACTCGCCGCTCCGGCACGTCCGCACCCGGGTGTACTTCACCAGCGAGTCGCACCTGCACGCCCTCATCAACGTCCTGCGCTTCTGCGACCTCCCCGGCGACGAGTAAGCCCCCTGCGCGCCCGCGCAACCACGCAACGCCGCGTCAGCAGCACCGCACCATCGCTCTGTGCGTCCCGCGCTGCGGTATCGATCGGATTGCGTGCGATCGCTGGTCTGACGACCCGACGCCTCTGTGCGCGGTGATGCGCAGGCAGGGCGGCGTCGTGAGCGAGGACGCGCGCCAGATCCTGTGCGAGAACGTGCACGAGCTCGACTACCTCAGTCAAATCGTGTTCCGCATGTACGAGAACAAACGCGTGCCGCTCGAGTCCCCCAAGCGCTTCCGCGTCGAGATCCTCTTCTCCTCCGGCGCCTCCTTCAACCCGTTTAAGGCACGCGGCCGCCCCGGCACCCGCCCGCACGACCCGCGCAGCACGCACGTCTGTTCTTCTTTTCGGCACCGCGCCGCCGGCCCGGCGCGACGCCGGGGCGCCCGAGACCCCGTCTGTGCAGGTGCGGCCCGTGGAGAGCGACCACGTGCTCCCCGTGGCCGGGCGCATCCCGCTGCACGCCGGCGACGGCATCATTCTGGAGAAGCTCGCCGCGGCGCTGCGGCCGCTCGCGACGGAGTACCCGATCAAGGCCAAGGTCGGGCAGGGGCGGGGGAAGGCGGCGTTCCGGCGCGTGGTCAACGCGGTGATCGCCAAGAACCGCATGCAGCGATTGTACAACATCACCTGCCAGGAGAAGATCGAGGGGGCGTCCCCGCCGGAGACCCCCACGCTGGCGGCCGCGGCGTCGACGGCGCAGGAGATGCTCCCGGGTGCGTCGGGGTCGCTGTCCGGGTCGGACCAGCAGCAGCGCGTGCCGCAGAAACCCCGGGGGGGTATTTCCGGGGGCCTCCGCGCGGCGATGGGCGGCGGGCGGCCGTCGCGGACGTACGCGCCCGGCGTGGCCGGCGGGAGCGACCGCGAGGTCGAGGGGCACTCGTCGGCGGCTGCCGCGGCCGTGAGCGTGCCCACGTCGAGCCCCGTGTACGGGCTGCTCGAGGCGCGGGCGTCTGGGCGTGGGGTCGCGGTGGGGCAGCTGCTGCGCGTGGACTCGTCGTCGTCGAAGTCGCTGAGGAGGGATGCGATGAGGAGCCACGACCTGGGGGAGGATTCGCCTGGTATGTCTGCGGTGGAGGACATACTGACCCCTATTGAGCAGTCTGACGCAGAGGGGGAAGAGGACGAGGGGTGATGTGAGGCGGGCGTGGCGTGCTGCGCTGTGGCTGGGGCGGACGTCGTGTCGCGCCTGCTGGAGGGTGCCGTGCGGGCGTCTTACTGTCAGACTGAGGAGCTCTGACGGGCGCAGCGATCGCTAGGGGACATTGCTGTGCTTCGTGGCGCGCGAAAGCATCCTCATGACCAACAATTTGTCGTGACGTACGCATTTCTCGAAGAGTCTGACTGAGCTCCCGCACAGAGAGCGATCTGTCCTTGCATCAAACCAGGGGCTATCCAGGCCGCTGCGTCCGTTGCAAGTTTGGTCTTTCGTGAGCTTCTCCCGCATCGAATAGACACAGATCTTGGCATCGAGGGCCAGAATCGCCCTTGAATCGACCCATCTAAGACCCTATCAGGCCACGTTGGCCTCACTGCAAGCGGCGACACCCTGTGCCGGTCAAGGCGAGAGTCCCCGGCGGTCGCGCAAGGACTAGTGTCTATTGGATAGAGGAATCGCCATGTCGCACGTCGGGCGGCAATTCGCGTGCGTGCGACCGGCCTGTGGACCGCGCACTCCACCGGCAGCGCAACCTCATCACCCCGTCGCGGCAGCTCGTCACGGAGGCCGTCGTCGGCTCGCGCCGACTCAAGCCGTCAGCGGCACAGCCCTCGCCCTCGCCGGCGTCGCGGTCTCCGTCCCGGCCCTCGCTGCAGCCGCGAAGGCAAAGAACGTCATCTTTGAGGTGTACGAGGGCGCGGTTTATGTCACAGTAGGTGCGCTCCCCCGCCACTGAGTCGCATATATGCACAGTTGCCAGGCCACGGCGTCACCCGCGAGTCGGTTCCGTGCGGAACAATGCATGTCGACGTTGGTTTCGCAGCGCAACGCATGTCTGGCCCCAGACATGCCCGCTGCACGTGACTTGGGCCTCGCAGGCGTCCCTGCGGACGGGCCACCCTTGCCCGAGGGTGCCGTCGAGCTGCGACCGGTCCCTGGGATGGGTCGCGGTGCATTCGCAACGCAGCGCATTCCCAAGGGCACGAAGATAGGGGTGTACGAGGGGGAGTTCTTGACGAACGAGGAATACGACGCCAGGTACCCGCGGTCCGGCCCGCCGCCCGAGTACGGCATGACGCTGGACAGGAACACCCTCATCGATGCACGGGACGTTGCGAAGCGCGACACGTTCTCCTGCTGCCACATCAACCACTCCAGGGTGCGACCCCACGCTCACGAGCGCTACGCCAGAGCGCCCTCGTTTGACGCCGCGCGGGAAGGGAAGGAGCGCGACCAGTGCGCTGTGCGTTTGGTCACAAGAAGTGTTTTTGGCCGCTTCACGAACACGACGGTATCTGTTGGGCACGGACTGGAAACGCTGCACACGGCGCTTGTGTCCTCTTGCAACGCAGAGCCGGGCGAACGTGATCCGTCGGGCTGCGCGCAATTTGAGGGAGGTGCAGTTTTATGCGTCGCGCGATATCGAGGCGGACGAAGAGCTCTTGTTCGACTACGGAAAGAATTACTGGCAGGGGCGGGAGCACATCGTGGTCGACTGAGCACCTGCGCAGCACGCCACACCCCGTGTCTGTCCGCGACGCTCACGCCGCCGTCACCACAACAGGGAGCGCCAGGCAGGCGGCCGCGAGGATCGCGGCCAGCTGGACACCCGACGACGAGGCTGCAGCTGTTGCCTTGAGTTTCTGCCGTTCTCCCGACACGATGTGGCTTGGCAGGAGCGCCGTTTGCACGATAGGATCCTGAACGACAAACACATCGTGCACTTGCGGAGCCCCCGTGCCGAGCAGCGCTCTGTCAAGTGCGGCCGCGAAACCGCCATCCTCGAGCGCCATGCGGGCCGCAGCGAGCGCCTCCTGGGCGGCGACGCCATCCCACGAGAGCAGCGAGACCGTGACGCGGTAGCGGCTCAGGGCAGCCGCAGCCCCGGCGTTGCCCGCGAGTCGGCGCGCTGTGACCGCGATGTCGGAAATCACCGATGCAGCGCGACGTGCGAGCGTTGCTTCCGGCGTCGCCAGCGGCTCGACGAGTGCCGATGCGTCAGCTGCAGCGGGCCCGAGCGTCGACGCTGCCACCGCGGCGACGACATTTCTCTGCAACGGCGTCAGCGTCGTGGATCCGGCGCCAAGCTCGCCGATGCTGCGCGCGACGAAGGTGATGTCTGCGACATAGGAGACTTTGAAGTACCCAGACTTCCCTGAGTGACTTGCTGCAGGGAGGGCGGGCTGGCTCTGGCGTGTGCGGTTGAGCGCACGCTCGACGAGGCTCTCGAATTGTGCGAAGCCTTCGGGCGCGGTTGGCGCCTCTGCGTCGGACAGGATCTCCGGGTACGTGGCAGGAAGGGGCGCGAGTCCAGATCCGATCACTGCGCTGGCGACCGCGACGAGGAGGGACCCGACGGGCGCTGTTTCGGTGATCGCGACTGGTGTGGCCGAGGTGACCTGGTCGAAGGCGTAGGCGGCTGTCTGGATAGCCCCTGAGGTTGCGTTATTGTATCGATGTAATCGGATCACGACCTCTTTCGTGGCGGAGCCGCTCTCCGGCGGACCTGGATTCGCTGCGACGCGGGGCCACGAGCAGCTCGATAGTGCGCGGACCTCTCCAGGCTGAGCACGGTCCTGCAAGGAAACGAATGCCCGAATGACACACAATGAAACCACACGTATATTTGATTATGTATTTTATTGCATGAGCTCACGATTCGACAGGGCGGCGAGCCCTCCGCGCTCTCGAGAAGGGCCAGGCGCCTCACCGAGATCTCGATGCGATCGAGCAGGTTCGAGCACGGCAGCTGCTCCCGGAGGGGAGCGCGCAGGGCGGCCAGCAGGGGGTGTTGGTCCTCGAGGCCCAGGACGGCGTCGCACCCGACACCGCCGCCGGGAAAGGCCGACGACGAGACGCGCACGAAGCTGTCGACCGCCTGCACGAGGTCATGACGCCGGATCCTGCTCAGATGCTGCTTTGAATGGGGCTCTTTCTTTGCGCAACACGTCTCATTGCGACGCAATCTGTCCTGCCCGTCCTGCATGTCTCGTTCGGGGCCGCACCTGTGAGCTGGGGACCAGCACAGTACCGCGGGGCGCAACGAGCAGCGCGTCGAGCGCGCCGAGCTTGTCGAGACACGTGGCCGCCGCAGCCGTGTCCTCGTGCCGGAGCATCCACGCGCGCAGCTCCTGCTCGTCCCAGCGGCGCTGCTCCTCGGAGTACGAGGGCGAGAGGACCCGGGGCACGCGCACGACGGCGCCCTTGCCGTGGCAGAAGGAGCGGTGGTCCCACGAGGTGAAGGGCACGTGGGACCCCGGGGAGCGCAGGACGAAGGTGGAGGGGAGTGACGGGTGGCGCTTTGCGATCAGATCGCTCTCGGCGTACGCGAACTGGCTGCTGCGCGTCGCGCCGCTGGCGAGGGTCCTGTACACGCGCACGTCTGCGCCCTGCGACGCAACGGAAAAGGCGCTTTCCGGCAATCGTTGGAGCCGTTCGCATGTGCCGTTGCATCGCGTTTGCAGCGTCTTGAGCGGGCGGATGTCGCACCTCGCCTCCAGCGTAGTCGTCCGGGACCAGCACGTATCCTCGTCCGCCCGAGTTGTCCGTGATTGCTGTCATGTTCAGGTAATCTTCAAATATCACCGCGTGGGCAGCGACGATCTCGGCGCCTGTGACGTTCCTGGTCGTGACGAGCTCGTACAGGTAGTCGTTGATCGTGGGAGCCGCTGTGGCGTTGATCTGCAGCTGTTCTAGGTAGTGCTTGTGCACCGCTGCGTCGTCAGGAAGCAACACGAGCGCGAGGCCGTTCTGCCACCGAGGCGACCATGCCCAGCGCTGCATGAGGGGCTCCACGGCGGGAAAGCGGCGGTAGGCGCGCGGAGGCGGGTCTTCGTCGGGATCGCTCGGCGTCCAGGTCGAGAGCGGGAGCAGCGATGTGGACCCATCGTCTCCACCGACCTCTGCCAGATCTGACGAGAGCTGATACAAGACGAATGTGAAATTCGAGAAGCGGCCACTCGCCGGCACACCGGGCGCGAGGCTGTCATTGCTAGCCAGGAAATCGACCTGCAATCAGTTGCTGGGGTTCTTTTTTGCGTCGCGGATGATACTGCGCATGTCCGTCGTGCCAACTGAGCTGTCGCGCACTCACCTGTCGCAGCGTGTCGTTCCCGCAGTCGTACCACATGAAGGGGGACTGCGGTGGCGGGATCGGCCACGGCACCGCCCCCGACGCCGCGCCCCGGGCGAGACGGTTGTCCGTGTGCTCATGCTGCAAAGGAGCGGATAACGAAACGACCGCCGCGCTCACTTCTCAGCCAGGTATGGCATTGTGACATGGCACAGCATGGAGCATTATGACCATAATGGAAACCGCTTCCCAATGCACGTTCCGCGTCTGAGGTGGACCGTCGAGGCATGTGCCGCCCGCGGTGCGTTCGAGGACCCACCTTGTACGGCAACGTCTGCGCGTCGCAACATGCAGCAGGCAACAAGACGCCGCCTGCAACTCCTATTAGTGCGACAAGAGCTACGAGGGGCCGCATCGGGGGGGATCGCGAAGTGCAGCGGCGACTAAGCAGGGCCCGCGCCCGGAGCGACGCCGGATCGATCCGGCGGAGCTGGTTCCCGGCCGTGCGGCGCTGCCTTCCGGGAACGACGTCCGTTTTCCTCTGTGCTTTTATGCCATGCGCGATGAAAGGGAGGATGTGTCCGGACGGAACGCAGCGGGTGGCGCCCCTGGTGTGTTCGACGATCAGTGCGTTGCGAATGTGCGCTTCCGCGCCTCCGCGCTCGGTGACGGCGGGGGATGCGTGTCATAGGGGACTAGGGGCCCTTTGTCCTGGACGGTCCAGCCGGGGGGATGCCGCGACGCCGTGTCGGTACCGGGGCGGTTGTCAGCGGTACTTTCTGCGCGAGGTAGTAGATTCGGCCTGGCTGACACCACGGACGCGGCAGCACGATTGCACTGGCCGTGCCCCTGGTCTGCGCGATCAGGCGCCTTGGACAGCGCGAGGCATCGGGCCTTGACGGCGCCCTCGCGTTAACCCTCAGAGAGCTCTCCCGCCGGGGCGCAGAAGGTGCGTTTGGCCGCGGAACCTGCAGACGGCGAAGTGTTGCGTCCACCTGCCCTGCCAGCAGGCGACGAGTGAGCGATTCTGCTGCGCCTTTGACCCAGTGCGGTCGCACACCGGATTCACGTTGACTTCGACATGCGCATGGTAGGAGAATCGGGTGTCTGAATGTCCTCAAGGCGGCCCCCGACCGTTCTTTGTGCAGGGCTGACTTCAGCGGCCGTCCCCGCCCCTCGCCGCGACCGCGGCCCACGGAGTATCCTCCAGGAGATAGATACAGACATTGTCGTGTAGATGGCGCCGCTTGAGAGAGCTTCCTCGGCCGCGGAGCCTTTCGCGTCTCTGAGCCACTCCGAGGCAGGCGGGGGCCACATTCGGGGGCATTCCATCCTCAGCCCGGGCACGTCCTCAAGGGAAGGGTGGGGGAGACGTACGTCAGACACCACGGACGCGCCAGCAGACGGCCTTGCGGACCAGCCGTCCCGCAGGGGCTCGCATCGCCTGATGCATGCAACCTCGTCGTCTTGGAGCCAGCCCCCGGCGCGGCCCGTGGGGCTGAGCCCCGAGGAGCTTCCCCGGCACTCATCAGGCATTCCGCGGCCGCTGTCCGCGCGGAACAGCGGCCGGCTGGACCCGCACCGCGCGGAGCAGGACCATCGCCACGCGGGGCCCTTCACGCTCGACGACATCGCGAACGGCAACCTGCACATCACTCCGCATCAGTCCACGAGATCGTCAATCGCCAGCAGGGACGCTCCGCAGCACCAGCGCCTCTCGGAAGGCGTGGGGATGCCGCACGGAGGACCACCGAGGCACCATCACGCACGTCAGGAGTCCATCGGCGGCCTCGGGCCAGTGCCCGAAGGGAGCGGGACGGAGAACGCAAGCGCGAACGGCTCGGGCAAGGTCAACGGCGACGCGGGGGGGGACTTGGGCCGTGCGTCAGACTACAGCTACGTCCGCGCGTCTCTCGAGAGCTGGACCGCGGTCCCGCCGGACGCAGCGCCCCTCGCGCAGCGGACCGCGTCGGACGGCGTCGACCGGGGCGATGGGAGCCGCGCTGCGGCGCCGCGGGACGTGCACGCGCAGATGCGCGTCGCACCGGGGCTCAGCACGCAGCCGTACGGTGCCGTACTGCCCGACGCCCGCGGAGGCAGCATCGCCGCCGCCCCGGACGTCGCGACGACGCTCGCAGCGCTCTACCAGCGGCTGCAGGAGCTGCGTGTCGTGGAGGGCGCAGCCGCGAGGCGCCACGCGGCCCCTGGGGCGCAAACGGGGCCCACGCAGGGCGACGAGGACGAGGACGTGAGAGACATCGGGCGCGCGATCAGCGACGCGCTTGCGCGCCACGCAGCGGTGCCGCTTCAGCCCGCGGGCAGCGCCGCGCAGGGTGCCGACGCTGGGGAGTCGCTCGGGGCGCAGCTGGAGATTCTCGGGGTCGAAACGACGGCGACGGACTACCGCAGCCTGCTGACGTCGGCGGCTGGGCGAGAGCTTGCGGCGTACGGGCGCGTGGCGACGCTGGAGGACGAGGACTGGCGTCGGGCCGCCGACTCGGCGCAGCAGGTCAGACGGTCGCCGGTGCGCGACGTCGAGGGCGCCCTGCTGGCGCGCGTAGAGAGGTCCGCGCTCATGTCGTCGCTGGCGGAGCTCCAGGGCGCTGTCGGCAACGTCACGGCGCATCTTCCCGGCGGCCGCCTGGGAGCTGCTGCCGCCGGGGCTGCGGCGGACGCGCCGCCGGCGGACCCCGAGTTCTACACCGTCGGCCGGAGCGCGCAGGCGGCGCTGCGTGGCGATCGCAGCATGGCGGCCCACCCCATCTCGCGCTTGACTCAGGAGGGACCCGACGTCAGTCGGTTGGGGGGTGTGCCGCCGGCGGGGAGCCGCACGGAGCCACCGCGGGCGCGGAAGGGCTTGGACGACAGCATCATCGACGACTGCAACGATTTCGAGGAGGCCCTGAAGCGTGTTGCGGCTTCGGCAGGGTGCACGCGCCCACCCGCAGCCAGAGCGCCCCCGCCGCCGGCGACGGTCCCGGCCGCGGCGCGCCCCGCGCCGCCGCCGCCGTACGCGCGCCCGCCACCGGGATGGCTGCCACCGCCGACGTACGACGAACGCCCCACGTTCAACCCATATCTGGCGCCAGATGTGCCAAGTCAGACCACCAGGCAGGTCTACCATGCAACGGAGGACCACAGGGCGCACCTGCGCGCGACGCCGGGTGCCGCACGGGTGAGCACTGCCCGTCCCCCGCCCGCGTGCACGCTGACGCGTGCTTGTGTCGTGACACATGGGTTCCATAACTATGACAATTGATACGAACTCGAAGTGTTGTGCGTCGTTTGCGTCATGTGCAGTGGGCGCCTCCCGAGTACTTCTCGACGCCGTGGGACGCGGTCGCGGGCGTGGACAATCGCGTGGAGGGACGGACCACGTCGGGCGTCGTGCCGCCCTACGACGCGCTGCCGCCGAAGACGTTCCCGGGCACGCAGGCGCACATGCCCGCCGCCGCGAACCTGGCGCGCTCCTATCTGTCTGACGAGTACGCGCGGCAGTGGCCAGGCTGACGAGCCGCTGCAGGTCGTGGCAAGACTATGGAGTGCGGTCGCTGGCGGGGTGCCGGGTCACAAAACCGGGCTCCGAACTGAGACGCCAGATGTGAGGGACATCCGTGCTGCCCCCGTGCCCTTCGCGATCCGTCCCGCTCGCATCACAAGCTCCTCTCCCCCGCTACAAGCTCCTCTCCCCCGCTGTCCCCGACTACGGCGCGTTCCAACCGCAACCCCTCCCAGACCTTTCCCCCCCCCCAGCCGCCCCCGCACCCACCATGACCATTTCCGAAGCGGACGTCGCCCCGGCCCTGAAACGCCTGAACAATCGAACGTCGTCAGGCCCGGGGGGGATCATCCCCGAGCTCTTGAAGTACAGTACACCCCCAACCCCCCCCGACCACCCCCCCCATCTCGACAAACCCCCCAACCTCCTTCTTGCAACCCTCACGGCCATCTTGCGCGCTGTCGCGCGCTGCCCGCGCCTGCCTCCCAGCATGGCAGTCTCGTACCTCCGCGTGCTGCCGAAGACGAACAATGTCAACGACCACGCTGACCCCGCAAAAACGCGAGGCATTAGTGTCGCCCCTACGCTGACGCGCCTGTACGCCAAGGTCCTTGTAGCCAAGGTCGAACGCGCGGTGGCCCACAGCCGTGACGACTCCCAAATGGGATTCCGCCCCAAGCGCAACACGATCCTGGCCGCGTTTAACGTGCAGACCGCTATTGACGTTGCAACGCGGAAGCGCCTATCGGGCCTCCCAGAGGACTACCCCCGGTCCCTGTACGTTGCGCTCCTCGACATCGCCAAGGCGTACGATTCGGTGCCCCACGAGGTGCTGTGGAAGTGCCTTGAGGCCGCGGGCGTCCCCCCCGACGTGCTTTCCGCCCTGCAGGCGTACTACGCGTGCACCGAACTGCAACTCACCATCGATGGGCAGCCTTCCGGCGCCCCCATTCCACAGACCATCGGGGTCAAACAAGGCTGCCCGGCGTCCTGTACCCTGTTCACCCTCGTTATGGACGATCTAGCCCGATACCTTCATGCAAAACACCCAAACCAGGGCTTTCCCCTCCCGACCACTCCCCGCCCATCGGGCTCTGACACCTGCGGAGCCGCGACACGCAACCTCTTGATGTCCCTGTTCGCAGACGATGCGGCCCTTATCGAACGCACGGCAGAAGGCCTCCAACGACTGCTCACCAGCACTTGCCGCTGGGCGTGCTCGGCAGGCCTCCGCCTGGCCCCCAAAAAGTCCACCTTTCTCTCGTTCGGGGACACCCCCCGTACCACGACCCTGACCATGTTCACCCGTATCGACCCCGCCACCGGCCTCGTTGCCAAGCAGCACAACATTGCCCCCTGCAAAAGCAGCAAGTATCTGGGCATCACCCTTGGCCAAGACAAGGGCCGACCACCGGGTGTATCGTCGCACATGTCCACCGCGGGCGACAAGTCCCGGAAGGCAATGTACAGCCTGTCGAAACGCTGCTGGCAGACGGGAATCTTTGACCCCCTCCTGCAATCTGCCCTCTTCAAGACATACGTCACACCGGTTTCGACGTACGGCTGCGAACTCTGGTCACCACGCCTCGGCCTCAAGCCGCTGCGGGACCTTGACGGCCGCCTGACACGCATCCCGTCCCAACACCCCGCACGCGCCCAGCGTGCATTTCTCGCCTCCCTCATATCCACCGCCAACCAGCGGATCACTTCCTGCTACAAGACGCCGCCCGAGCTGCTCTTCCGCGAGTTCGGGGCGCTTCCCCTCGAAGCGACGTTGTGGGCCCGTAACTTCGACTTTTGGGACTCGTGGACGAAGCTGCTGTACACAGCGCGAACGAACCCGACCTTGCCCCCCGACTTCCCGCACATGACGGTCCGGGCGTTCACCGCGCAGCTGCTGCTCGCGGCGGAGCCCGATTCCGACGCGTTCGTCAGCCACCCTCCAGCAGGAGACACGGCGGAGGGCGACGCGACATCGTCGAGCGCCGCACGGATGGGCCGCCCCCGTGCGGCTCAGCCGGACCCGTCGGACGACACGGACGACGACGACGGAGCTGCACCGCCGGGCCAACAGCGGCGACTACGACAACTTCAACTCCCCCCGCACATGCAGCCGGGCCGGCGCGACGCAGGAGCACGGACCGCCGCGCGCCGAGACCACGCAGCTCGGACCACCCGAGGCAGGGGACGTGCAGCACGGGACGGCCGCACACCATCTCGATCGCGGCCCTCGCTACCACCGGCATCCCGCAGCACTGAATCGAACCGCTTGACTGTGCGCACGCTGGACCGGACCACGCGAGGGGGATCCCGCGCTACACCGAGGCCGAACTACTGCGAGGACTCCTCGGCTGCCACTGGCGACGACAGCGAATCAGAGTATGAGGGGTCGCACAACGCTACTGCGTCTTCAACGACCTCCCTGACGGACTCGGATGAGCCGGGCCAGCGGTCGCAGCCACGGAGCACCCGGGGACGGGGGCGAGGCGGACGATCACGGGGTCGCGGGCGGCGCGGGGGAGGCAGGAGCGGCGCGGGCCGACGGGGACTACGCACGACGTCGACAACTCGTACGAGCACAAGGCGCGCCGAACCCGCAGCCCACCGCCTCCGCAAACGCGAGCTACCGTGGGCAGCGCACATCGCGGCGGCCATCACTCAGATAGGCGGCACGCCAGGGACCCCGCGGCAGCCACACCCTGCACCTGCTGTGGGCAGGGTACGAAAGATCGCTCAGGTCGTGCTGCCGGACCACGAGCCCGCGGCAACCCCGGATCCCCGGACCGAGGTCACTCAGCACGGGCTTGGCCGCACACGGGCCAGGTACGCCTGGTGGTGCCAGCCACCACCGCACACCATCCCTCCACACCTGCTCGACACCGCGATCTACCACGCGGACCGCCGTGCCCTGTCCCGTCTGCGCGTGGGAGCTACGAGGCTGCGCACCTCCACGATGGCCATGGCGGACCAGGAGCAGCAGTGGCAACACACACCGCTGTCGCACCCGTCGAAAGTCTGCCGCTTCTGCGTGGACGTGGCGGCATCGCCCGCCCCGGAGGACCTCCGCCACCTGCTGCTGGACTGCTGCGCCCCAGCGGTACGCTCTCTCCGGGAACGAGCGGGCCTGGCCATGGACTCGTCTGGGCACCTCACGCTGCCACCCCCGCCCGCTGCCGATGCGCCCCTGTCGTCCACGGCAACTGTTGGACAGCGCCGCCGCTTCGCTCTCAACCGCCGGCTACGCCAGCACCTCGAGGACCTGTACGGCGCTGCAACACTCGACTCGGAAGCCGCTGCCAACGCTGCAGTGCGTTATCTCCTGAACCTGCCGAATCAGCGAGGCATGGCGATCTTTGCTCGTGGCATCGAGGATCTGCTCCAGGCCGACTCTGTCACAGCTGCCGAACCTGTTGCTACCATAACGGTGGGGGGTTAGCATGACTCGCCACCTAGTCGAATGATCTTTTCAGGTCCCAAAGCCTTATGGCTGACGACGCGAAGAATGTGACACCTCAAGGACAGCATTTCGAAATACGTTGATAATCACTTCAAGGTTCGGCCCTGAGTGATCGGTGACCTCGAGATTGCCACCGCACGTCGGTATGGCGCCTAGCGCCCTGCGCGTCAGAAGAACGCGCTGTGGATGGCCGTCACGGCCTCCTTGGCGCGCGACTGGTCGATCACGATGCTCACGTTGGTCTTCGAGCTGCCCTGCGAGATCATTTCCGCGTTGATGCCCTTGTCGAACAGCGTGGCGAACACGCGCTGCAGGATCTCCGACGACCGCTGCACGTTGCACACCAGAGACACGATCGCCGCGCCCCGCCGCACTCGGAATTCGGCAAACTCCGCAAACTCGCGCCCGAGGTCCTCGAGCTCGTGGTCCTCCACGGGGCGCCGCCAGATCTTCGCGGGGTCGAGCGAGACCGACACCGACACCTCGGACGTCGCGACCATGTCGACGGAGATCCCGTTTTGGCGGAACACCTCGAACACCTTGGCCAGGAACCCCACCTGCCCGAGGGAGCGCGAGCTGACGACGTCGACGATCGTGACGTCGTCCTTGAGCACGATCGACGTGAGGAGGCTCTTGCTGAGGTCGCGCTCGGCGCGGATCGCGGTCCCCGGCGCCGTGCGGTTGTAGCTGTTCATGACGCGCACCGCCATGTTGCCCGTCTGCTGCGCGGGGCGCATCGCGGCGGGGTGCAGGACCTGCGCGCCGAAGTACGCGAGCTCCGTGGCCTCCTCGTACGTCAGCTCGCGGACCGGCAGCGCGCCGGGGACCAGCCGGGGGTCGGAGGTGAGGACGCCGTCGACGTCCTTCCACACCTGGACCTCCGGGAGCCCGAGCGCGGCGCCGAGGACCGTGCACGTGAGGTCGGAGCCTCCCCGGCCCAGCGTGGTCACCGCGCCGGTGTTCTTGCCGCGTCCGAGGAAGCCCGTCACCACCTGCACGGCCCGCTGCTCGCCGGGGGAAAACGACAGGCTCTCGCGCAGCGCCGGGAGCGCCTCGGCGTACTGGACGTCGGCGTTCGTGAAGGCGTCGTCGGTGACCATGCCGGCCGCGAACGCGTCGACCTGGCGTGCGGGGATCCCGCAGCGGCGGAGGTATCCCGCAAAGATGCGCGTCGACATGCGCTCGCCGTACGAGACGAGCTGGTCGCGCGCGCGGTTGCTGAGGTGCTCCATGATCATCGCGCCGACGAGCAGCTGCTCCAGGCCCCCCAAGAGCCTCTCCACCTCCGCCCGCGTCTCCTCGTCGACCTGCGGAGGCGCGGCGTGCGGCGGTTCGGCTGGATGCAGCGCGGGCGCGGCGTCGCGGGTGCGGCTCCAACGCGCGCGGTGTAGCCCGCGGGAAGGCGCGGTGCGTGGGGGCGTTGCGGGCTCGGACGGACCTCGAGCTCGTCCATAGTCGCGCGGTGCAACTCCTTGATGTTCTCCAGTGCCGCAATCTCCGCCACCTCCGGCGCGCTCGTGCAGCGCAGCGCGGCGTCGCCGGCCTCAAGCAGCATGTTCGTCGTCTTGCCCATCGCGGAGAGCACCAGACACGGGAGGTACCCGCCCTGGGCCCCCGAGTCGCCGCCGCAGGGACATGAACACACGATCTCCGCCACCTCCCGCATGCGCTCCGCGTCCCGCACGGAGCTGCCCCCGAACTTCATCACGACCGTGGGCTGCAGGTCGGACCCCTCCGGGATCGCCAGCGTCGGCAGCGCCTCCTGCGTGGCCGCCCTGGCCCGCACCAGGCGCCGGCGGCGCTGTGCAGGCGCAGACCGCGGCGCCTGGGCCGCATGTGCGCGCCAGGACCGGCGCAGCGGCAGAGGGGCGCCATACCGCGCAGCCCAGGACCGGGACCGGGCCTGCACGTGGACGGCCCCGCCGCCGGCCGCGGCCTGAGGGCACGGCACTAGGGTGTGCACCATTCGTGACCAACGCAGGCCTGACTCAGGGAGAGGGCGGCGTGGGATGCGGCTCTGTGGTGTGGGACGGGGCGCGGAGCGCAGCGCCGTTGACCTGGAGCTCGGGGGGAGTGTCTGGCCTGACGGAGGGGGCAGTGGTGTGCTGAGCGCGGGCCAATGCTTCGGTTGGGGGTGTGGCCGCGGGGGGCAATATGAGCGCTCGGCGGAGCGGGACGGTGCAGAAGAGCGACGTTGGAACCACTTGCAGTGAGTTGAGGTCTGTAGCAATCTTGTGTTGATCGGCGCAAGCTTGGATAGGACTCGGAGACTGTTGTCCCGTCGCTCGCAGCGCACTGGCTCAGCGCGGTGTACTTGAGGCGAACGCACAGCGGGCTGTCGGCTCAGGGAAACGCAGGTGAGCGCCGGCCGCGGGCTGCCGCTGCGCAGCGCGCGCGGCCCGTGGAGAAGCTTCCACAGCGCACCCGCACTCGCACGATAGCCCCGTGGGGGCCGCGGCGGACGGCCGCGGCGCGCTCGGTGCCCCCTCTCGACTGCCCACACGGAGGGCCGTCGGGCGAGTTGCGCGTCGGGGCCTGCCGAGGCTCTGGGCGCCCGGAGTGCGCGTCGACCAAGTAGCTCCCAGAGCTCAGTAGAGGCCGCGGGCGTCCGGTTACGGGGCGCACCGTTCGTGATTTCGCCGCTGCGTGGTGCTCAATTGCAGGGTCTATCATGAGGACGTGCACGGCGTCGTTCTCCGTCCCCTCGGCCGCGCTCCGGCCACCCAGGCCAACCGCTCCCCACAATGCTGCTCCCGGGCGGGCCTCAGCGCGCCTGACCCGGCCATCCGCGCATCCCGGTGACATGAACGCGATACGTCGGCAGCAGGGGCCCGCCCCGCGCGTCGGTGTGATCACCCACGCGGCCGCGGCGGGGGGCAAGGGAGGGGGCAAGGGCGGCGGCAAGCGCATCAGTCAACAAGAGTTCACGGAAAAGGCCTGGGAGGCGGTCATCCAGGCGCCGGAGGTCGCCAAGTCGCACAGCCACCAGCTCGTCGAGACGGAGCACCTCCTCAAGACGCTGCTGGAGCAGCCCAACGGGCTGGCGCGGAGAATCGTGAGCAAGGCGGGGGGGAACCCGTCGGACATCCTCGACAAAATCGACGCGCACCTCCACTCGCAGGTGCGCAGCGCCGCGTGGCCCGGCCCGCGGGCCCGCGTCCGAGCCCCCGCGCGCCCGCGAAGCTCCCCGCCATGACGCAACATCTTCCCGCGCCCGCGTGCAGCCCAAGGTCTCCGGGAACGTCGAGCAGATCCTCGGGCGGAACCTCGAGGCGGCGGTCGTCAAGGCGCAGGAGCTGCGCGACGACTTCGGCGACGAGTACGTCTCGGTGGAGCATCTGGTCCTGGGGTTGGCGACGGACCCGCGCTACTGCGAGAAGGCGTTCAAGCAGGCGGGTCTGACGAAGGCGAAGCTCGAGGAGGCCGTGAAGCAGGTCCGCGGGGGCCAGTCCGTGGACTCGCAGGACCCCGAGGGCAAGTATGAGGCGCTGAGCAAGTACGCACGGGATCTGACGAAGGAGGCGCGCGAGGGCAAGCTGGACCCGGTGATCGGGCGCGACGACCAGATCCGGCGGTGCATTCAGATCCTCTCGCGGCGCACGAAGAACAACCCCGTGCTGATCGGGGAGCCCGGCGTGGGCAAGACGGCGGTGGCGGAGGCGCTGGCGCAGCGCATCGTCGCGGGGGACGTGCCGGCCGCGCTGCAGGGGCGCACGCTGATGAGCCTGGACATGGGCTCGCTGATCGCGGGCGCGAAGTACCGCGGCGAGTTCGAGGACCGCCTGAAGGCGGTGATCAAGGAGGTGACGGAGAGCAACGGGCGCATCATTCTGTTCATCGACGAGATCCACACCGTCGTCGGCGCCGGCGCGACGAACGGCGCGATGGACGCGGGGAACCTCCTCAAGCCCATGCTCTCGCGCGGGCAGCTCCGCACGATCGGCGCGACCACGCTGGACGAGTTCCGCAAGCACATCGAGAAGGACCCTGCGCTGGAGCGGCGGTTCCAGCAGGTGTACGTGGGCGAGCCGAGCGAGGCGGACACGGTCTCGATCCTGCGCGGCCTGAAGGAGCGGTACGAGCTGCACCACGGCGTGCGCATCTCGGACAACGCGCTGGTGGAGGCGGCGATGCTGTCGTCGCGGTACCTCGCGGACCGGTTCCTGCCGGACAAGGCGATCGACTTGATCGACGAGGCGGCCGCGAAGCTGAAGATGGAGATCACGAGCAAGCCGGTGGTGCTCGACGAGCTGGACCGGCGCATTCTGCAGCTGGAGATGGAGCGGCTCAGCTTGGAGAAGGCGGCGCGCGGGGGCGACCGGGCGGCGCAGGGGCGGCTGCGCGCGCTCGACGGCGAGCTCGGGGGGCTGAAGCGGGAGCAGCAGGAGCTCAATTCGCGGTGGGTGAAGGAGAAGGAGGAGATGGACAGCGTGCAGCGGATCAAGGCGGAAATCGACCGCGTGAACGTGGAGGTGCAGGCGGCGGAGCGCGAGTACGACTTGAGCCGGGCGGCGGAGCTCAAGTACGGGACGCTCAACTCGCTGCAGAAGCAGCTGAAGGAGGTGCAGGCCAAGCTGGAGGCGGCGCACAAGGGCCCGAACGCGAGCATGCGGCTGCTGCGCGAGGAGGTGACGGAGGAGGACGTGGCGTCGGTGATCGCGCGCTGGACGGGGATCCCCGTGGACCGGCTGCAGCAGTCGGAGCAGGAGAAGCTGTTGCAGTTGGCCGACCACCTGCACAAGCGGGTCGTGGGGCAGGACGAGGCGGTGGAGGCCGTGGCGGACGCGATCCAGCGGTCGCGCGCGGGCCTGGCGGACCCGAACCGCCCGATCGCGAGTCTGATGTTCTTGGGTCCGACTGGCGTGGGGAAGACGGAGCTGGCAAAGAGTCTGGCGGACTTCATGTTCAACAGCGAGGACGCGATGGTGCGGATCGACATGAGCGAGTACATGGAGAAGCACAGCGTCGCGCGGCTGATCGGGGCGCCGCCGGGGTACGTCGGGTTCGAGGAGGGCGGGCAGTTGACGGAGGCGGTGCGCAGACGGCCGTACGCGGTCATCTTGTTCGACGAGGTGGAGAAGGCGCACGCGGACGTGTTCAACGTGCTGCTCCAGGTGAGCACGCGCCGCGCAGAGGGCTGGCCGCCGTGCACGCGCGCGCGTCCCGTCGTGGAGTTCGATGCTCACACGCCCCGGCGTTCCGCCGCCTATGCGTCATGCGTGATTGTGGGGTCGTTGTCGAGGTTGCCCTGTGGGACGGCAGCTGACGGCCGCGTGTCCGTGCCGACGCGCGCAGGTCCTGGACGACGGCGTGGTGACGGACAGCCAGGGGCGACACGTGTCGTTCAAGAACGCGGTCATCATCATGACGTCGAACCTCGGGAGCCAGTACATCCTCGAGGCCGCCGCGACGGGCCACATCGGCGAGGAGGCCAAGGAGGGCGTCCTGGGCGCCGTGCGCAACCACTTCCGGCCAGAGTTCGTCAACCGCATCGACGAGCTGATCGTCTTCGAGCCGCTCATGCAGTCCCAGATCAACACGATCGTCGAGATGCAGGCCGTGCGCGTCAACAAGCGCCTCAGGGAGAAGAAGATGGCGCTGAAGCTGGAGCCTGACGCAGTCGAGTACCTGGGCGCCAAGGGCTTCGACCCCGTCTTCGGCGCGCGGCCAGTCAAGCGCGTCGTGCAAAAGGAGCTCGAAACCGCGCTGGTGAGCCGCCGCGTCACCTTGGCAGCGACGCGCCACGCCCTGCCCACGTTTGCTTCCCGACGGAATCGTCTCACCGAGTGCGTCGCGCTGGCGTTGTGCGTTGCAGGCCAAGGCGCTGCTGCGGAACGAGTTCGCCGAGGACGACACGATCGTGGTGTCCGCCCCGGGCGGCCGCGAGGCGACGCGGCTGGAGCTGGACCGCATCCCCAACTCGGCGGGGTTCGCGGTCACGTCCTCGAAGGAGGAGGCCGAGCTGGTCGGGTCGCGCAACGAGTAGGGGCGGACGACGCGGCCGGGCCACGCGCACCCGCCGTGGCGAGCTGTCGCGACCGCGTGCGTCGGTCGGAGGTGTTGAATGGCCTCTGGGGGAACGCCTTCGTCGCTCTCGCGACGCGGGACGACCGCGCGGGGGGTCGGAGACGGGCAGAATAGAACACGTGGATCGCTGTTCCGGTGGGGCGTAGGGGCCCTCGCTGGAGCGGCGCAGCGTGCAGTGCCATGAGGCGGCTTACTGGCAGGGGGGTGTGTGACGTGTCAGTCCAGCCGCGGCCTGGCAGCGCAGCGACGAGGGCGCGCTGCGCCGGAGTGTCGCACTCCTTGATGCGACGGGAACGGAGCGGCTGCTTGAGTTCGCAGGCGACGTTCACCGCGGAGAGACGCCTAACGAACATCAACTTGAACAGCTCTTTGTCGCGGGGGGCAAGTGAGCGTGTGTGCAGACGGGGTCATGGCGCGCGAGTCGCACCGAATAGGTCTGCGAGGTCGCGGTGCTCGGGGAGAAGATGGGTGCAGCGGGCGTCCGGGCCGCGCCGCGCGGTGGCGTCGCGCGCTTGGGAAGTGCTGCTGGCTCGCGGCGTTCCTCGCGCTCGCGGCCGGGGCTCACGCGGCGCGCGACCTGCGCGACGTCACGGCAAAAATCAAGGTGTCGACGTCGATCAACTCGGCGTCCTTCACCATGGGCCTCCAGGGCAGCAGGAGCACGCGGACGACCAGATCGCAGAGCCCACGGGGCCACAGAGTGCGCGCGGGCGGCGCCTCGTTCTCCGCTTCGCCGGGCAGTACCTTCGACATCCGTTCCATCACGCTGTCGGAGCTCGGAGTGACGGAGGACGCCCACGATGCGTCCGCGGGCGATGGCAACAGCTGTGGCAGCCACAACATGTGCATGAACCCCACGGCGGCGATCAGCGCGTTTGCCAAGTGCAGCGCTGGGGCGGAGTCGCTCATGGACGCAAGTGAGGGCCCGCCTGCCGCCAAATACGCGCACATGAACCACGCAGGAGACGCATGTGCTCTTTTCAAAAGAGGCAGCGCATTGCTGTCATTCTGGGTCGTATTTGCGGCTTCAACGCCCCCTCCGCACGCCAGCTAGACGTCTCGTTCAGTAGAGAACGACCGGCGCGTCCCGGAACCTTGCGTGCAGGCGAGCTGTGCTGCGACAGCCTGCAGGGCCTCTCTCCAGACGACCTCTCGTGCCTCTGCGGCAAGTCGACCTTCTGCCAGGCGCTCAAGCTGGCCGGGCCGCCTCACCAGGTCCTCGCTGCCTGCGAAGTCCCGGTCGTCGGGTTCGCCATGTACGGCGGGCTGTGCTGAGGTACAAAAGAAGGAAAGAAAGGGGCGCCGACGATGATGTGTTCGATTCCGTGTGAGACGCGGGGCAGATGCGCAGCGCCGCACACGTCGCGCGAAGTGCGAGCAAGCCGTCGCCTCACAATCCCCAACCGCACCCAGGGCCGTGGCAGCAGGGAACGTGCGCGACGTTGACCGCGCTCGCATCGCTGGGTGCTGTGGCGCGGCTCCAGTGGCAGCTCGAGCTAGAGCAGCTTCGACATCGCCGCGACCTTCCCGGACACGAACCCCGTCGTCCTGTACCGCGCCTTCTCGTAGAATCGGATCGCAACAACATTCAGCGTCAGCAACGTCATTTCCTTCAGTCCCTGCCGCCGCGCCCAGTCCTCCAGGTTGCGCACCAGCGCCGTCGCCACGCCCTCGCGTCGCCACGCCGGGTGCACGCTGCAGCGGCGGCGTGCGAGCGGCCCGTCGGGCGCGAGACGCTGTGGCAGATGTGCAGCGCTTGGCGGGCTGCGGCGGCGGCGAGGGGCCGGCTGCGGCGCACCTGAGCCGCGTGAGCTTGCACGTGGCCTTGATTTCCTTCTCCGTCGGCTTCGGGTCGACGCGATCGCTCTTCCCCGCCTCTCCAAAGATGCACCCGACGACCTGGACGCGGCGCTGGGATTTCACGACGGCGGCGAGCGCCATGCGGCCGGGCTTGTCCGCCCAGTCGCGCTTGATGTTGCGCATGTCGCCGTCGAGGGCGACGGCGGCGTCGAACGAGTGCTGGCAGTACCGCCGCCAGAGCGACCACCGACCCCTCCAGGACACGCTGCCGAGGGTCTGCGGCAGCCCATCGATCCACACGCGACGAACGGCGGCCTCGTGCTCCCTCCGGACCGGAACGACTTCGAACAGCGGCTCCTTTCTGCGCGGGAAGGGCAACCGCGAGGACACATCGGCTCTGACTGGGCACGCAGAGGGCTGAGGCGCGTGTTGGCGTGAAGAATCACGATGTGACGGACGTCTCCCTTGCTGTGCGCGCGCATCGCGAGGTCGGCGTCGCGACGGGCGGACGCGCGAGGGGAGTTGACTCACGATGTGTTAACGGGGAGCTTGTGGTGCTCTAGGGGGAACCAACTGAGGTAGAACGCCCGCGAGCTCTCAAAAATGAAGTGTAGAAGGAAGTGGATGAGCCGGAACGCGGCGTATGGCCTGGCGACGGCGCGCGGCCACATCACATTCGCAAGGGGGGCGGCCGGCCGCCCGGCACGGGCAGGCCGAGTTGTTTCTGAATGCAGCAGTCGAGAATGACAGGTCCTTCTGCCGCGTCCACGCAGGCCCCGACCATCTCGGCGGGCGACGGGCGCGGCCCCGAGCGGCTCGGAGCCAGACGCAAGCGCTATGAATCAAAAGACCCCCCACGACCACCAGAACGGCGATCGGGCACTACGTGAGCCGCGGATGGTTTCTCGATGCGTACTTGATCGATCTCTTGGGCGAGAAATCCCAGGTGACTCCTGTGCGGGTGATACCCGCGAGTGTGGGAGAAGAGATAGGATAGACAGGCTGCAGCGCGTCGCCTGAGAGCCTGACTGGGTCGAATCACGTCAATTCGATATTTCATCCTCGTCAGCTCGCCCGACAGGATGCGTTCTCTGCACCTCACGCGCGCGGGGCCGCCCACGCGCGCCCATCCCGGTGCCGCCACATCCACCTTGCACCCGCTCGCGCGCGCCCTGCCGCGCCCCGGGCGCCTTGGCGTCCTCGCGCCACCAACGCTACGTGAAGCGTGCAGCCCACGGGAGCCGCGGGGCGCGACCGTGCCCTGCGCCACGCCCTCAAAACAGAGCCACGCCCCCGCGTCGGCCACAAACCCGACCCCGCCCGACGCGGGCAAGGCTCCCAAGCCCGGATCGGCGAACTGGGGCGACACCGCGGGCGCCACCGCGGTTCTCCGGGACGTCACAGTCGCGGTCGGCTCCAACGAGCTGTTGAGCGACGTCGAGTGGAGCGTCATGGCCGGGGACCGGTGGGCGCTCGTTGGACCGAACGGAGCGGGCAAGAGCACGCTGGTCAAGGCCATCATCGGGCTGGAGGGCGTCCTGGTCCCGTTTGGGTCGGTCACGCTCAAGCACGGCCTCCGGCTGGGCTACCTGGAGCAGACGGCTGTGGGGGGGTCGACGCGCACTGTCAGGGAGGAGGCTGCGAGCAGAATGGACAGGCTGATGGTGCGCTCCTTGGCCTGTCGCGTCCGCACGCGCCGCACCCTCAGGCACTGTTTTTCATTTCATTTCATTTCATTTTCATGTTGTATTGTGTGCGGCGTCTGGGGGCTGATTGCGATCCCCGAGCGTTTCGGTGCGGTGTGCAGGCAGCGAAGGAACGCATGGACCGCGCGACGATGGAGGTGGAGAACGGCAACAGCACAGAGGCGGCGCTGGAGGAGCTGAGCGCGTCGATGGAGGCGTTCGAGGCCGCGGGGGGGTACAACGCGGACGAGAAAGTGAGCAAGGTCCTCAAGGGTCTCGGGTTCAGCGAGGAGGCGATGGACGGCGCGTGCTCCGAGCTGTCCCTCGGGTGGCAGATGCGGGTGGCGCTGGCCCGCCTGTTGCTGAGCGAGCCCGAGCTCCTGATCATGGACGAGCCCAGCAACCACCTGGACGCCGCGTCGCGGAAGTGGCTCGCGACGTACTTGTCGGAGTACGACGGCACCGTCCTCTTGGTCAGCCACGACGTCGAGCTGTTGCGCGGAGCGGCGACGTCCATCGCCGAGGTGCGCGCGGGGACGCTGGAGACGTACCGGTCGCGGCCGTACGACAAGTGGGTCGTCGAGCGCGAGGAGCGCATGGCGCAGCAGCAGGCGGAGTACGAGAAGACGCAGGCGGAGATCGAGAGGCTGCAGGGCTTTGTTGACAGGTTTGGCGCCAAGGCGACCAAGGCGTCGCAGGCGGCGTCGCGGCAGAAGATGATCGAGCGGCTTGAGAAGTCGTCCCCGGACGCGCCCGTGGGGACGCTGAGGACCAGGGCTCCGAAACTGGACTTGCCGAAACCGCCCCCCTGCAACAAGGAGATGCTCTTCCTGGACGACGCGAGCTTCGGATGGGACGCGGAGGGCGACCCCGTGGTGAGTTCTGGAGAGTGCGTTGACGTGCTGGTCGCCGTGGACGCGTCGTCGAGATGCTTGGAGGTGTGTGGATGACACGAACATATGGTTTCTCGATCTGCGTTGCTTTCGCAGGTCAGCGGGGCGAATTTGAAGGTCACGCGCGGCGACCGGGTCGTCGTTCGTGGACCGAACGGCGCGGGCAAGAGTACCCTCCTCGCCGCGGTGTCGGGGCGGCTGCCGCTCGCGTCTGGCAAGCGTCGCAAGGGAGAGGGGGTGTCACTGGGGTACTTCACGCAGGACCTCGCACAGGACCTGGACCAGAGCGCCGTGGCCGTCGAACTGGTCCTGGCCGAGGCGCGGCAGCATGACCCGCTCATCACGCAGGGTACGCAACCCGACAACACGATGCGCAGCACACATGTGCGCCCCCGTCGTGATGCTGACGTGCGCACTGGGCTGCCGTATTTGCAGAGCGTGCCCGGAGCGTCATGGGCGCCCTCGGGCTGTCTGCTGACAAGGCGCTGCGCACGGTGGGGATGCTCAGCGGGGGGGAGAAGGCACGCGTGGTGCTGGCGATGTTCGCGCTGGTGCCGCGCAACATTCTGCTGCTGGACGAGCCCACGAACCATCTCGACGTCCAGGTGCGGGGCAGCTTTCCCGCGCATTGCCAGGACGTCGTTGCCAATGAGCAGCTGTGCAATTTCGACCGTGCGTCTGTCTAAACGATGTCCTTTCGCGTTACCGCAGACCATCGAGACGCTCGTACAGTCTCTCAAGGACTACCCGGGAGCACTCATGGTGCGGACCTCGCCCACGAGCACCACACGCCCCCTTGGGGGTTCGTGCATGGCCATCCCGCCGGAAAGCTTCTGCCCGCACACCCACTCCACGGGGCGCGCTTCGTGCAACGCAGGTCGTCAGCCACGACAAGCCCTTCTGCATGGCCCTCGGGGCGTCGCACGTCGCGACCGTCCAGGAGGGCAAGCTGACTGTCGAGCAGCGCGACCTGCGTGACTCCGACTTCGAAATCGCATCCCTCGAGCACTCCGTTGCTCAGAGCACGAACGGTGCGCCGTCATCGAACGGCTCGAAGGCGCGCGCGCCCGCGGCCAAGGGGCCTGCGCCGCCGCAGGAGATGACCAAGGAAGAGAGGCGCGCTGCGGAAAAGCGACGGAAACTCAAGCTCGACGCGCCGAAGCTGGTCGGGAAGGTAAGAGCGCGAGGAAGAGGGCCGTCTCGATCCGGCCCGCCTGTCTCTGCTCGGCGAGGAGGCGATCGGCAGCGTGGGTGACCGTTGTGATTCCCTTGTCGTGCAGGTTGAGGGTAAGATCGAGGCGGCCGAGGAGGAGATGGCGGAGCTGGAGGCTGCTTCGATCGAGGCAGGTTCGGACGTCGCGAAGCTCGCGAAGCTCGAGGACGACAGGGCGAAGCTGCAGGGCAAGCTGGACGACCTGTACGCGCAGTACGAGGAGCTGTTGGAGGTCCTCGAGGAGGCGTGACGACTGTGACGACCCCCAGGAGTCGCGTGCCTTGGCGTGTGTGCTGCGGCGCTCGGCGGAACGACACGTTGTAGTGCGTCAGGCTGCAAGGGGGACTGTACCCTGCAGTCTGTCCGCGTCATTGGCAGTGAGAGGCTCGAGGGGCGACGCGGACGCGGCAGTTCCGGCGGCCGCGAGGTGCTGGCTGGCTCTGCAGGACCGTCCTGGCCACCCGGCCATCGCGGCCATCGCTTCGCTTGGTGCGTCAAGGAGGTGCTCAGCGCGCCGTTCTCTGAGGCAGCGACCAGCGTTTGTGCGAGTGCGTAGCGCATCCCTATGGGACGATAGCGGAGGCTGCTTCCAGCCACAGCGATGTGCGATGCAGTCGCGGGCGTGACTGGGAGCGGCGAAGGAGGAGGAGGAGGAGCGCGATGCTGGGGGTGCGGGGACTCGTTCGACGTGACGTTGGATAGGGCGGAGCGGCATTTTCGTGATGGGGAAGAGATGATGTGCATGTGAGTGCGCTGCTTGACGCGCCGACGTGCCGACGTGCCCCCTATCCGGCGAGCGTCCCGCATCGACAGGACCATTGCCACCACCCCCCATCCCTCGTTCTCCTCACAGGCAATGCGGCGCCACCACAGAGCGCATGGAGGACATCGTGCTCGCCCTGAAATCAACCGCTGATGACGGAAACGGATGCGCGTCGACGCCGCAGCGGCGAAAATGGACCCTGAAGCTCGCATACTGCAAGTGCCGCGATGTGTGCCTGGTCCTGATGGGGGCCGCGCTGATCATCTCGCTCGCGGCGATCACGACAGAGCAGACGGTGCCGCTCGCGGTGTGGCAGGTCGGCGAGACCGAGCTCAGGCACGACGGCACGATCGCGCCCGTCAAGTGGTTTTGCTACGCGCTGAGCGTCGCCATCGTCCTCAGCCAGGTCCTCGCGATCGCGGGCTGCTCCCCCATCGAGCCCCGGGCGTGCCAGCCCCCCCCCGACCCTTGGCCCCCCTGCGTCGCTCGCGGTGCGTCGCACGAACAAGTTCTACCCGACTCGCTGTCAGGGTACCGCTGGTGCCACCCGTGTGGGTTCCTCAAACCGCCCGGGACGCACCACTGCTCGACGTGCGGGCTCTGCGCGCTCGGCATGGACCACCACTGCCCCTTTCTCGGCCAGTGCGTGGCGCGGGGGACCCTGGGGCCATTTCTGCGGTTCTGCGCCGCGGTGCTGGCCGGGTGCGTCGTCGCCACCGTCGCGGGGGAGAGGGCGGTGCGCAGGTACGTGTGCGCGACACGCGCCGCCGCGTCGCCGCGATGCCTTGCCTGACAGGGGGTATAAGTCACTGCGTGGTGCTGAGTGGGCCATCAACCGACGTGGAATCCGCAGGCACTGGCGCGAGATCGTCGGGGAGCTCGCCGACGTGTGGCAGGGCCACTGGGGCGCTGGGCCGCCGGGGGGTTCGGCCGGGAGCGCGGCGTTGCGGGCAGCGAGGGTTGCGTGGTGGCTGGCGGTGTCGGGGAGCATCCCAGGATTCGTCGCGTGCCCCGTCCTGAGCGCGCTGGGCGGGCTGCTTTTCGGCCTGTTCGCCGGCGCCCTGATCGTCGCGTCCGTCGCGCGCGCCGCGACCGGCGGCAGCGCGGTGGACGCCCTGCGCCGCTCTGCATCAGGGGGGGGGAGCGTTCCGCTGGTCCTGGGGTACATCCCGTGGCACGCACAGCATCTTGCGGCCATCCGCGAAGCGCTCGGGTCCGGGCCGGGCCTGGTGGCGACAGCAGGCGCGGACAGGCCGAAACATGACTGAGGAGCACGCGTCGCATTGTGAGTTCCTTGTTCCTGTTCCTGTGCGCGTGAAGCGTGCAGAGGGTACAGCCGTGCGGCTGCGGAACGCTGTCGGCGCTCCTGCGTGCTCGTGGCAGGGCGAACTGCTCAGTGGTGGCACTGTACAGTTGAAGAGACTTGTTGGTCCATGTTGTGTCGGTCGCGACGCACTGGTGCCAGCTGTCGTGGGTTCCACCCGACGGCGGGCTCGCGGATGATGGTCCGTCCCCGTGCCCCTTTCGCCGGGCCGACGGATGGGGAGCGCGAGGCGCCGGACAGGGTAGAAGTGGTCAGGGGAGGGGTGCAGCCAGGAGGCCCCCGCGCCGGGGTTTGCGCCACATACGGCACCCGTGGACGCGGACAACGGCACTAAGTGCCCGCGAAAGACCGGGCGGAGGGAGCCACTGCGCCTGTTCGCGTTCACGGGGGGGACGTGGTGCGCCCGCGCTGTGCGGACGGCAGGAACGCAGCGTCGCGGCACCCGCGCCGTTTGCGGGACGTTTTGATAAGGTAAATCGCCCCGCTTCCCTTGCGTCGGTCGTGCACGACTTCTGCCTCGACGTTCCCACCTTTTCCGGCATCTTCTCCGATGGGGGACAGTATACCGCTCGGACGTAGCAAACACCACCGTGCGGCGATTCTACGTCACGATGCGAATCGACGCATGAACGGAGCGTCATGTGGTGCAATGAAACCTGTCGAAAAACGAGCTTCTGCGGGGCAACCGCGGGGAACGCGTGTCTGTACGTTTCCTCGCGGCGGAACCACGTCTTGAGCAGTTGCGGTCGCCAAAAGAACGCATTTTCTTGGCGCTTGCAGCACAAAGGCGAAGTTCTCCGACCGGAACCGGCAGCCCGAACCGCGAACGAGCGCCATGGAAGAGAGGCAAGCACCCCCCTGAAAACTGCGCGGTGCTCGCAGCACGAGGTCTCTATGCAGGTACTCACCCCGCAGGCCGGTTCCTACTGCAGGCGCGGTCCAGCTCGCACGCTCGAGCTCGAAGACTTGTGTTTCGGGAGCGGTGGCGGGCCGCTGGCAAGCATCATTGCCGCGCTGGGCGAAACAGACCGCGTGGCGCTGGCGGCGACGTCCTCCGGCCTCATGAAGGCCGTGCTGGAGTGCTCCGGGGACAACGTGAAGTGGAGGTCCGCCGACGAGCAGGCCGGGAAGGCGGTCGCCGAGCGCGTGCATCGCGCAGGGTGCGTCTCCGACGCATGGCTCGGGCGGTGCGAGAGAGCCGGGAAGTGGCTGACGTTCCGCCGCGCGAGGGACTCGCCGGACGGCGAGGCGTCCGTGGTCGCCGTCGCGCAGGCGAGGCACCTGCGGATCTTCGAATCGCCAGACTGCGTTGTTCCCGAGCCCCTGACGGCTCCCGAGCTCGAGGAGTTCCTGCCTGGCGACGGCGACGGGGTCGAAGACGTTCCGGCCACTGCTGGCATGACTGGGCTGCGGCACGTCTTTGTGTCCGGGACGAACGCCTGGGTGAAGACCGACGCGTGGCTGCCGAAGGAGGTCCGCGGCGGCGTCGAGCGACTAGTCGCACCCTTCTCCAACCTCCGTCGCGTCCCGGGCGACATGGCCTCGCTTGGACATCTCGACCTCGTCGGGTGCAACAACCTGGCCAGAAGTTCTTGGCTGCCCCCTACGTCCCGCGCGACGCTGAAGGTCCTGTGGGCCGACCGCAGCTCGGTCCGCAGCGTCCCGCCCGGACTCGCGCGCCTCGAAGATCTTTCGCTGTCCAAGATCAACGCTACCGGACACGCATGGCTGCCGCCGGACTCGCGCGCGACGCTGAGAGTGCTGAGGCTGTGGCACTCCAAGCTGACGCGACTCCCGCCCGACCTGACGGCCCTAGAGGAGCTCAGCCTGACGTCGTGCGAGTTCGCGGATGCCGCGGGAGACTGGCTGCCGCAGAGCTCGAGAGCGTCGCTGAGGGAGCTCGAGCTAGATTTCGGGCCGGCCATGAGTGCTGTGCCCCCCGACATGCCACAGCTCGAGCACCTGAGCGTCACCGTCGGTGCGTCGGGCCTGGCGGAGGACTGGCTGCCCCCGAGCTCCTCGGAGCGCCTGAAGACCTTGAACATCACCTACACCCCCCAGAGTGGCGTTCAGCACGACTTGGTCCTGCGGTCTCTTCCCGCCCTGGAGGAGCTCGTGTTCTGGTTGGACGTAGAGGCTGACGTGCATCTGTGGTCGGCCAGCTGGCTTCATGAGAGCGCTGCGCGCCGGCTGCGCAAGTTGGACGTCGGTGGGACGGACATCCTGCACCTACCGGCCGGCTTGGTAGCGCTGGAGGAGCTCATCATCTCCGACTGCACGTGCCTGTACGACGACTGGGACGCGTCGCTCACCGAGAGCTGCAGGCGGAAGCTGCGCAAGTTGGCAGCCTCGGACAGCAACATCAAGCGGGTGCCTGCCGGGCTGACGTCACTGGAAGAAGTGGAGCTCGCGCACTGCAAAGAGCTCGAAGACTACGACTGGATCGACGCGAGCAGCCGAGCGAAGGTTCGGACGATCAACGCGAAGGCGAGCAGGATCAAGCGCATCCCGTCCGGGCTGAAGGCTCTGGAGAACCTCGACGTGGCGCGGTGCCACTACCTCGACCTCGACTGGATCGACAACAGCAGCAGAGCCGCGGTGCGGCACCTACGCGCGAACAACAGCAGCGTCAGCATGATCCCGTCCGGTTTCAAGGCACTGCGGGAACTGTCGCTGCGGGGGTGTTCGGATCTGGACACGAGGTTCATCGACGCCAGCTCTTCCCAGGAGCTGCGTCGACTGTGCGTTGCGTACGCTCGCGTCCGGCGCATCAGGAGGTGTCCGAAGCTGGAGACCCTGGACCTGCGCGGGTGCAACCTCGAGAAAAAGTACATCGACGAGGCGTCGTGCGGGCGCGTGACGATGCTCAACATCAGCCACTCGAACGTCAAGTACGTGCCGGAGCAGATGCGTGCGCTGCGAAAAGTCAGCGCGTTCGAGTGTGTGCTGCTGGTTGGGGAGTGGTACAAGAAGCTGCCCAGGGGCGTCGTGGACGTGTACGGCCTCTGGAGCGGCGGAGCCCACAGGCACCAGAGGTTCCGCAATGGCCGTTACGTTCAGGACATCCCCGAGGCGGAGGACGACTTTTTGGCCGCCCCAAAAGTTGAGAGCAACATGTACCATTGAAAAGACATTATCGCTGAGCACCCGCGCTGTAGTTCTTCGCTGACCTACAAGCTGTAATCAACTACCACGACGAAGCGTGTCAGTTGTTCTTGTGCGGTGCGGACGAACGGCGGTCGCCGGGGCAGCGTCCGAAGTTTGATCACCGCCCACGCTCGGGCGATGTTTGGTAATTCCTACAAGCACCCTCACAAAGTAGTAATTCCTTCGCTCACCGCGAGGACGCTTGAGCGACCGACGTTGACGCCGTAGAGCACGCTGCGACGTTGGCAAGTTGTTTATGATGGATCACAGGGCGCCACGGAACACCGCGCGTTCGCATCAACTGCGCTTGAATATGAACGCGTCGGTGCACGGCGGCAAGCACCCTGCGGGCGGTCGTGGGACCTGCGGTGGAAACGCGGCCACTGTGCGTGCCCTCCACAGAGCTCGTGGAAGTGCATGGACAGGTTTCCTTGGTGATTGATGTGCCAAATCCGCCTCGGCAGATTTCGCGCGCATATACAGGTCGCCGCATCCTAGATCGAAACACGCGTCACCCGGTGGGGAGGGGGGGGGGCCTGGCCCGGCTCGGCGTGAGTGCTGCAAAGCGTTCGGTTGGTTCACCACTGCAAGAGAAGACGGGGGGGTTGTCGCCCCCGCGCGGCCCATCGGGTACGGAGCGGACTCCTCGCAGAGTCGCGGGGCACGGAGCGGACTGACTCCTCGCAGAGTCGCGGGGCGGGGTGGGGGAAGGGGGCAGGATGAGGGGGGGTGGGAGCTCTTCGCGACGTTGGCAACCATGTTTGGGAGATATGCACGAGTTGGTTGTTATTCCTCAGAGAGGGCTCGTTGCAGCTGCCAACGACGCCCTCGCGAGCAGTATTAGCGCAACAAGGTCCAGGGGGCTCGATTGGAGCTCGTGTCGCGTGGTGGGACTCAGAAGGGGCGGCAATAGCGCACCGTCGCGGTCCGCGTCCGCCAGGACGTGCAGCCAGGCGGAAGACCTTCGCGCGAGCGGGTGGAAGGGGGAACAGGCTTCGCGAGGGCCTAGATACGGCGTGGAATCGTGTCGCCGGGCGAGGGGCGTGAGCGTCGGGGGGTCGGGCGGGGTCGGCAGGGGGCTTCGATTGGAACATATAAGCGTGTGGAGGCTGTAACAAGGGGGGGAGACGGTGACGTGGACCGTGGGAGGCGTGCGCGTGCTCGGAAGAGCGGATGTCGTGGGCCGGTGAGGGTTACGAAGCATCGGGGGGGGGGGGGTTGCCCCGAGGTGCACAGCGACGTTGCGGATACAAGTCGGCGAAGGTTGCCGGTGCGCACAAGCAGCAGTTGGCGGCCGTGGCTGGCTGTCGGCGGTTGGGGCCGACGGAGGTAGTCGTAGGGGCACAGTCAAACTCGCGTCGCTGTGGTGGAGCTGGGGCGACTGACCAGCGAGCAGCTCCGGGGCGAGTGAGAGAGTCGTGCGCGGAAGGAGGGGGCGGGGGAGGGGTCAGAGGAGAAGGAGAGGGGAGAGGAGGGGAAAGGGGAAGGGGGGGGTTCCTACTGCTAGATGCCACTTAATGAAACAAATCCACTGCCAGATGTGCGTCGCGAGGACGACGCAGGAAGTAGTGCAAGAAACGTCAGGCAAGTGGTTAAATGCTGTTCCGCAGCGCTGCGTCGCGGCGGCTGCCAGGAAGGTGTGCGACGGTCGGCAGCGGCGGCCTAGTCGCCCGGCATGTCGCTGTTCACGCGCCGCGAGGGGCGCCCGACCTTGCGCGGCGGCCCCTCATTGTCGGACCCGCCCAGCGCGCTGAACACCCGGCGCTGCGGGAGCACGTGCTCTGCCCCGCCGCCCATGGGCACGTCGAGCGCGCGGGACCCCTCGAGGACGCGCACGTCCGTGAGGCGCGCCGTCGGGCGATCCTGCGGGTCCGCGTCGATCATCGCCTCGCCGTGCCCGGACCCGAGCACGCCCTTGGCCTCGTGGTGGTACGCCGTGGCCCTCTCGAGCGACTTCGCGAGCCCGTGCATCATCTGGAAGGCCAGGGACCCGCCCAGGGGCCTCATATCCGAGTCCTGCCCCATCGAGCGATCGATCGTGGCCGAGTCCGGCCGCGTCGGGGCCGTCGGGCGGCCCTGCTCGTCCGGAGAGGTCTTCTTCTCCTCGTCGCCGGACGACCCAGGCGGGGAGATGCCCCCGCCGGAGTCCACCACCACGCGCAGCCCGCGGCGCGCGCGGCCCACGGCGGCGCGCGGGGCGCCGTCGACCTCCTCGCGCTCGTCGTCGTCGCGCAGCACCGCGCCGCCATCCCCGCCGGTCGGGTTGCCGGGGATGGAGTCCATGAGGCCCCCGGCGGGGTCGCCCGCGGTCATGGTGTGCGCGTCCGCTGTAGGGAGCGCGGACGTCGTCGGGCCGCGCGCGCGCGTCGCGGGGAGCGGCAGCGGCAGCGGCGGGAGCGGCGCCAGCGGCGGGAGCGTCCCGGTGTCGTTCCGCAGGGCCGCGGCGTCGGCGTCCGACACGGCGCAGCGCTCGGGCACCGCCGCCATGTGCTGCGAGCCCGACGCGCACAGCCGCGCCTGACACGACGCCGTGCCGCGCCCCGCAGGACCGCCGTGCTCGACGTGCACCGCCAGCGCGCCCGTCCGCGCGCTGCCCACCGAGTGGCTCCCGGGCAGCGCCTGCTGCGGCGCCGGGACCGCTCCCGGCCGCGCCTGCATCGGCGCCGGCGGCTGCGCGGCGTGCTGCTGCGTCAGCGCCATGCCGCTCCCGGGGGACGCCGGCGGGCCCTGCGCGCGCGTCGGCGACCTCGGGCCACGCGAGGGCGCCCCGCCCGAGGTCGTCGTTGTCGTGGCGGGCGTGCTGGCCCCGGCCACCCACGCGGGCCCGCGGCGGCGGCGGTCCTTCACCGGGCCCATCAGGGCCGCCTGGACCGTCTTGGGCACCGCGGGGGGGAGTCCGCCGGGCAGCCACCACGGGTGCATGGGCTGGGGCGAGGTCGGCCCCGGCTGGCCGGCCGCGCGCTGCGGCGCGACGGGCCGCATCATGCCCGGCAGCACCCCGCCGCCGCCGGCCAGGGCCAGGGTCTGGAGAAGGGAGCGCACCGGGCGCTGCATGGGGAACGCGGCGGGCATCTGGCGCATCCCGAAGCCCGGGTTCCCGCGCGGGAACGCGCCCTGCGGCATCCCCGCCGGCCCGCCCCATGCACCGCGCTGTTGTTGCTGCTGCTGTTGCTGCTGCTGTTGCTGCTGCTGCTGCTGCCACGGCTGCTGCGGCGCCGCGCCAGCCCGCTGCGGCATGGGGCCGCCGATGTTGCTGCTCATGGCGCCCGCCGCGAACCCGAGCCGCAGGAGGTCGCAGAACGCCGGGGGGAGCTGGTTGCCAGTGAGCTGCTCCACCGTCCCCGGCGGCAGCCGCCCCGCCATCGCCGCCATCGCCGCCAGCTGCTGCACGCGGTGCTGCAGCTCCCTCTGCTGGAACTGCGCCTGCGCCTGCGCCTGGGCTTGTGCCTGCGCCTGCATCTGCGCGGCCTGCGCTTGCTGCGGGGCCATCGGCGGGGGCCGGTGGCAATTCAGCGAGAGCATCAGCAGCTCCGCGGGCGGCGCGCCGCCGCGCGCGAGCCGCAGGAGCTGCTCGATCTGCGCCGGGCCCATCCCGCTCGACCGCAGGAGGTCGTCCTGCTTCTGGGGGGGCAGCGACTGCAGGTGCGCGAGCTGCTCCTGCAGCTCCAGCTGCTGCTGCTGGACCATGTCGCGCATCTGCGGCGTCATCTCGATGCCCGGGTCCTCGGGGGACGAGAACGGCGGCGCCGTGGCACCGCCCACGTCGGGCCGCGGCAGCGGCGACGCGGGCGAGCGCGGGCCGTCCTCGGACGTGCACAGCGCGCCCGGCGCCGCGCACGCGGCCGCGACCATCCCGGGCGGCGCCTCGAGCACGTCGCCCGCGCCCTGCTCGGCCGCGCCGGGGAGCGGCGGCGTGGGCGCGGCGTCGGCGAGCACGTCCTCGATGCGGTCGAGCCAGTGCTCGTCCTCGACCTCCGCGTCCGCGAACATGCGCTCGATGCCCTCGGGCGTCATGACGGCGTTGAGGTCTGCGTCGAGGGAGCTGGCGAGCCAGTTGGCGCGGTCGTTGTCGCCGTTGGCCGCGTCGTCCGCGTCGTCGAGCACGCCGCCCGCCGGGGCCGCGGCGTCGCGCCCGAGCCCGGCCCCCGCGCCCTCGTCCTCGTCCATCGCGAGCACCGAGCCCGGGTCGTCCTGCACGGCGCCCGCGTTGCCCGCCGACTCGCGGTCGCTGTACGCCACCGCGCCCTGCCGCGAGATCGGCCGCCTCAGCAGCGCCGCGCCCCAGGACGCCGCGCCGTGCCCGGGCCGCTCCGCGCGGGGCCCGTGCGCGGTCCACATCATCCCGCCCGCCCCCCGCGCCTCCTCCTCGCCCGCCGCAGCAGCCCGCGCCGCCCGCGCCTGCCCGTGGCTCCGCGTCAGCATGCGCGTCGCGGGCGGCGCCGCCTTCTCCTCGGGCGGCCGCACGGCCGGCGTCGCGGGCGGCCGCGACATCTGCTCCATCAGCCACTGCATGCCCGAGGCGCTGGGCAGCGGGCCCGGGCCCAGGAGGTGCTGGTGCGAGAGGCCCCCGAAGCTCCGCGCCATGTTGACCACGTGCGGGGGCACCTCCGGGTACATCTGCATCGCGCCGCCCTGCACGTGGCCGTGTGCGCCGCGGCCCACCCGTGCCCCGTGCTCGTCGGCGCTGCGGCGCGCGGCCTGCGCGGTGCCGAAGGGCGCCCGTGCTCCCTGAAACGAGTCTGCGGCGCGAGGGGGGCGGTGGGGTCGCGTTCGGCGCCAGCGCGAGGCCGTGTCGCGCCCGGACAGCTGCAGCTGGGTTTGAGTGGCAGCTGGGCAGGGACAGTTTGGCGCCGCGGGGCGGCGTCCGCGGGCGCTGCGGGCGCGCGAGCGGACCGAGCTGGCGGCGGGGAAGTGGGGCGGGCGGGGCGCGCGTCGCGGGGCGGGGCGCGGCGGCGGGGGCGGCGGCGCACCGGGGAGAGGCGGGCTGCCGGAGCCTGGATTGGACCCGGCGGGGCGCCCGGGCTCCTGCGGGGTCGGCATGACCGGGTTGGAGACGGGGGCCGCGTCCCTGATGATCAGGGACGGCTGGCCCGGCGCCAGGTTCGCGCAGCGGGCGCACAGGCCGTCGTGCTCGTCGCCTATCTGCCAGGGGGTGGCCAGCTGCGCGTCGCACCGCCGGCACGCCGTGACGGCCGGGGGTGGGCCCGCCGCGCCCGGCGGGCCATCCTGCGGATCACGGGCGGTGGGGGGCGCGGGGTCGGTGCGCGTGCGGGGCTCGCGCCGGGCGTGGCGGGCCGGGCGCGTGGGCAGCAACAAGGTGGGCGAGGTGCACGCCGCGGGAGGCCCGGTGCGCGCGCGGTAGCGCATGCGAGCGCGCCGGCCGGGAACTTTGCGGGTTCTGTCGCGCAGCGCGCCCGGTGGCCCGGCGTCGCGGCCGTGTGGGGCGCCGCCAAGGCCACAACGACCGCGTGCTCAGAGTTTTGAGCCGTGCGAGCGGCGTGTACCGTGGAAAGCCGCAGCGTGGTGTACGGCGCCGGCCTAGCAGTCCGCACGCGCGCATCGCGCGGCCCCCCCGTCGGCCGGGGGCGCGACCGGCGCGAAACATCCTGCGCCAGCCCACCAAAGTGCCTTGCGGGCGCGCCGCGGGCGCTGCGGGCGCTGGCGGCCGGCTCGAAGCGCCCGCGGGACCGGAGAGGGGAGAACTACGCTGCGCGCGGCCTCCCTGGCGCGGGCGTCGCGGGCGCGGGGCGCGGGGGCGGGAACAGCAGCCTGTGCAAACGGCAGTCAACGCACGAGGGGCTCGCCGGAATCGCGCTCCGCACTCGCGGAGAGCAGAAAAGCCATGCACTCTGTCGCGTGTCGCGCGGGCGCTGGCGCAGCAGTGCGCGGCGGCGACGCCGCGAGGCGCAACGAACGTGCTCCGGATCCGCGCTGGCCGGCCCGTACGAGCGTGGTGCGAGGGCACGGGCGCCTTTGAACAGTGAAATGGGGCACGGAGCGCGCGGTCGCGCCGCGGCGGCGCGGCCCGGCGGGCCTGTGGCCGTAAAGCGCACTGCGGTTGCCCGTCCGCGCCTCGGGAGGCGAGCGGGGGCGCTGGTGAGGGCGGCGCACCTTCATTTCCGAGAACATCTGCGTCAGTGTTTCACCACGCCATGTAGACGCATGTTGGAAGCGCCGTGGGAGCGTCGCTTCGCCCCAATGGGCTTCGTCCTGCCGCGTTCCGACGGCCGGCTGCCAAATTGGCTGAGCCGTGCTGCGTCTCAGGCTTCCGTTTCGCTGCCGCGGCGCACGTGGAGACGGTGGCCACCGTGGCGAGCGCGCTAGGTGCGCTTCAGCAACGAGCAAACCGAACCGCGCCCCTGTCGGGTGTCGAGGTACGGGCAACGCTTTCTGTACAATCCCTTCGTTCAGGTTGATTGTGTGGAATCGGTAAGTGGCGGGCAGCGGGCCAGCGACGCCCTCTCGAGCCCGCACGCCGCCTTCGCTCCTGCGGGGTAGTTGACCTCAAAAGTGCAACTGGCGTGGCGTGCCGCATGCTGGATCCGATTCCGTCCGGTGCGCCGTTTCGGGCGCACACTGGACTGAATCATCCGAATAGTGCCGCACCATCCGGCGAGGGATCCGGCAGCGCGAAGGATTGCCGCTGGAAGCTGGAAAACCGTTACAGCGGGCAGCGACCGCGTCCCGGGCCCAGGACAGCCTCCCGCCCGGCCTGCAGCGCGCGCGCGCTACGGCCGGATCCCGCGCGGGCAGCGAGCTCCATCGCGGCGCCGTCCGCCCGGTGGCGGCCCCGCACACGGGCGAGACAGATGTGATGTGCTTTGCACGTGTCTCGCATCGGTGCGCCGGCGTGTGTTCGGTGGCCGTTCGGCACCGGACGCGCATGCGACACCGTGCGGCGCTGCCCGGCGCAGCCTCGCTCGCCATCGCGCGCGTGGCCGAGCGGGCGAACGCCCCGCGGCGCGCGACACACCGTCGTCAGGTGTGGGCCCCGCGCCGGCGATCCTGCGACGCGCGTCGCGTGCAGCGTCTCCTCCGGGTAGGTTCGGGCCGGGACGCGCGAGTCCAGCGCGTGCGTGGGCTGGGCCACGTGACAGGTAGCAATCTGAACTGACGTGGCAGCTGGACGCCGTCCCCAGAAGTCCCGCGCGCCGACACGCCGCAGGGACCGGCCCTTCGTGCACTCATTGCGCTCTCGGTTGAGAAACATCGACGCTTCGTCGCCTGCTCCGCGCGAGAGCGGCACCCCCGAGCTCAGCAGCGCAGTGCCCCGTTTCGCGCCAGCCAGGCCTTGACGGCGCGCGCGGCGATATCCGCAGCGACTGCTACGGTCGCGTCGAGCTGCCGGCGTTCGGCGCCCGCTGCGCCCGCGCGCGATGGGGCGGCACCACCAGCCTCTCAAGCCGGCGGGCGAGACGCTCTGCCGGTACTACCTCGCAGGATATTGCCAGTATGGGAGCAAGTGCAAGTTCAGCCACGACAAGAAGTACGAGACCAGCACGGTGTGCAAGTTCTTCCTGCAGGCGAGACCTCCCACGGCCCCCGATCGTCCAGGCGGGAAAAGTGCGCGCGCCGGCGCCTCGCGCAACGAGCCCGCGAGACGGCCATCGCCCGCTCCCGCATCCTCGCAGGGCAACTGCGCATACGGCAACAAATGCAAGTTCGATCACGTCAAGCCCGAGAAGCTTCGGCAGGCCAACGAGGCCGCAACCCCCAGCGCCGGCCCCTCCGCGGGCCCGGGAGCGTCCGCCTCGGATCGCGTCCGCGCCGAGGTCGGACTCCTCGCACGAGACGCTCCCTCTGAAGCGCCGGGCGCGGCCGCTCGAGCGCCTCGCCCGCCGCAAGCGCCCAGGCAACCAGGCGCGGCGCAGCCGGCCGCGTCGAGCGGGCAAGACGCCGCGACGGCGATGTCCCGACGCGTCGACGGCTGGGTCATCCACGACGACGACGAGGGCGGCGGCTGGGGCGAAACGGACCCGCGCGCTGCCGGCGAACCCCCGTCCGCGCCATCCGGGGCGTGGGCGCAGCGGCAGGCGGGGGCAGGAGGCGACGCGGAGCTCTGCATGCGGTACTGCTTCGACGGCGCGTGCGAGGACGGCGACGCGTGTCCGAGGATCCACGGCGCCAAGTGCCCGTGGTGTGGGCAGTGGCGGTCGCGTGGCGGGGACGTGGCGGTGCGGGACCCGGCGGCCGCGCCCGCGATGGACCGCCAGCACCTCGCGGAGTGCGAGGCGCGGCAGCGGCGGCAGGAGGCGGTGGAGTCGTCGAAGGACGTGGAGTGCAACATCTGCTTTGAGACCGTCGTGGAGAAGCCGCGGCCGTCGGAGCGCATGTTCGGGCTCCTGGCCTGCGAGCACCCCTTCTGCCTCAAGGTGCGCGCCGTGCGCCTGCGCGCGTCGCCCTGTGCCGGAAATCGCGCGTGGCTGCGCGTTGCGACGTGTTCTCGGTCGTGGTTGTTCTCTGTCTTCGTTGCAGTGCATTCGAGCGTGGCGGGCCAAGACGGACGCCGGGATCGACATCAAGGACGCGATCCGGACGTGTCCGCTCTGTCGCGTGGTGACGCACTTCGTGACCCCGAGCAAGACGTGGCCGAAGACGCCGCAGGACAAGGCCGAGGTCATTCAAGGATACAAGGACTACTTGGGAACCAAAGACTGCCGGAACTTCGCCTTCGGACAAGGAACCTGCCCGTTCGGGTCCAGCTGCTTCTACCGACACGCGTACAAGTGCGAGTCCCCCGCGCCCGTGGCTGGCGCCCCCGTCAACACGCGCACGCAGCTCTCGCGCGGAGATACGCGTCCCGATCTCGCGCGTGGCGCGATCGCCCGACGTCCGCAGGGACGGCACGGTGGAGGAGCACAGGCCCGACCTGATGGTGAACGCGGACGGGGAGGTGGTCCCCAAGAAGGCCGTCACGTTGAAGGGGCTCCTCGAACGCCCCGCTCTCGGCGGACGCCCGTGACGGTGTCCCGCGCATGTCCCGTGCCCTCTGGCGCTTCCGATGCAGGAACTCCGCGGCCGGCGACCCTGGCAGGTCGATTGTGAGCCGGGAGCACAACGTTTGACCCGGAGAGGGAGGGCGCTGCCGGCGACGGACCGTGACGGCACGCGCAGGGCCTCGTCGATGTCGTGGGCGTTCCCTGGCACGTGCACCGCAGGTTGAGACAGGTCGAAACGGCGCCCCTTGACTTCCATCACAATCTTACATTGGAGAGTGCTGTTGTTGTTTCTTCGCAGACGATCGGCGACCGCAGGTGCGCAGGACGACCCCCTGTGCGGCCGATCTCGCCAGATCGGCTCTCCAGCCGCAGCTTCGCGGCGCTCTGCGGCTGCGCTCGCCCCGCGCACCGATGCAGGCAACGGCGACTCGACTGCGACAGCAACGGGCCTGGCTTCGTCGTTGCAACGGCCATGGGCGGCGTGTGCGCGCGCGGTACGAGGCAGCTGCAGGTGCAGGGAGCGCGGGTGCGGCGCGGGGCGGAGGGCGGGCTGCACTCGGTCGGCGGCCGGCGGTCCTCGGGATCGTCAAACACATGGGGGAGCCCAAACGCCGCTGGGAGCCGTCGCACGAGCCAGGCGATCAAACGCCGCGCGGGTAGCCGCAGTAGGGCAATTTCGACCGGTGAGGGCGCCGAGTATCGTGTCTTCGAAAGCACTGGTCGCAGATCCACTGTCGAACTGCCAGCAGGTCTTCTTCCTGCCACCCAGGTGAGCTCCGCGCGCAACCTTGCGCGCGCAACTGCCATACCCGCGCCGCCATCGACGTCTGCGCTGACTTGATCATGCAGCTGCGCGCCCACCTCGTCCCCGATCGCCGCCCATGCCGCGTATTCCCGACCTGCTTCGCTCGAACTCGCCTCGCCCAGAGCCACCGACCTGAACGACGCGAGCCCGTGCGACTGCAGGCTGACCATCCGGTCGTCGCCTCCGTGCGGTTCCGCGCGCTCGGAATCCGATCGACGCGACGATGACGACGCGCGGACTCTTCGCTTCGTCGTCTCCTATGCGGGGCGCCGCCGCGTCCGACGCGCGCGATGCGCCGCTTCGTCCGGCGGACATGGACATCTGGGACTTGTTCGAGCTGTCCATGGCGCAGCCGGGCCACGCTGAGCGCCTCGCGGTCGTGGAGGAGCCCGAGGGCGTGGTGCCGTTGACGTACACAGATCTCCACGGGCGCTGCTGCCGCATCGCGAGGTGGATGTCGCTCGACGGGAACGTCACGTGTGGCTCCCGCGTCGCCGTCATGATGCGCAACTCCAGCATCGTGCTGCAGCTGCACTTCGCTGCTGGTACGTGCCGCTCCCACTCTCTGTCTGTGCTTGGCCCGGAATAGTCGCGCGTGCATCCGTCCCGCTTGCGCCGCTCCTGCATCGCTCCTGGTACGTCGGTGACGCGGCAGCATAACCAAAACATGCTGCACCATAATGCCAACAGCACACATGTTGAGTAATTGACCTTCCTCCTTCCTGTTCGGGTTCTCTGTGCTGACGATGAGCCTCGTGTGCCTGGTGTCTCTGCAGCGGCGATCCACGCGGCGCTCGTGAACGTCAACAATCAGCTCGCCCCTGACGAGCTGGTGCACGTCCTCCGCGAGAGCCTGCCGGGCATGATCTTCGCTGACGTCGAATTCCGCGACAGGCTTACCGAGGCGCTCGCGGACCTCAGCGACATCCTTCCGGACATCACCGTCATCTGGGTGGACCCGGACGCGCCTCGTCGCCGCCAGGCCACGGCGCCGGAGCTGCCTGGTGGGCGCGTGCGGCAGCTGTCCTGGCTCGACGTCGACCGCGCGGCGCCTGACGACGCGGCTGCGTTCGTGACGGCCGTCCGCCGCGGCGCCATGTCAGCTGCCGACGACTGTCAGGTCTACTTCACGTCGGGCACGACGGGCCGCCCGAAGGCAGTGGTCCTGAGCCACGCCCAGGTCGTCCAGCACGCTCTCGGCGCCGCGGAAGCCATGAACCTGCACGGTGGCGACGTGTGGGGCCACGTGGCGCCGATGTTCCACCTCGTCGACATCTTCGCTGCATACGCAATCACCGCAGTGGGGGGGCGGCACGCCATCCTGCGCTCGTTCGGGGCGCCGATCGCGACGCTGGCCTTCTTCGAGCGCGAGGGCATCTCGGCCACCAACCTCGCGAGCACGATGCTGACGGTCCTGGTGCGTTCGCCGGCGGCGCGCGCGTTCGATCTGTCCCGCATGCGCATCATCTCTTGCGGGGGCTCGATGCAGACGGCACGGGAGCTCCGGGCCGCGGTGGCCATCTTCGGCGGGTCGACCTTCCTCAGCTACGGCATGACGGAGTGTTGCGGCAAGATATCGATGAGCGTCGACGAACGCGACGTCGTCAAGGGGGGCTGCCTGGAGGCCGAGCTTGCCTGCGTGGCGACGGCCGGCCTGCCCTTCTCTCTGCTCGACGTGCGCGTGGTCGACGAGCACGGGCGCGACATCGACCCGAACGTGCCCGACGTGGCCGGTGAGGTCACCATTCGTGGCCAGACCGTGATCAACAGCTACGGCGGCGCTGCGGGGCGTCGATTCCGTTCCGACAACGATGGAAGCACGGACGCGTTCGGGTTCTTCGGGACGGGGGACCTGGCGCAGCTCGCGGGGTGCGGGGACCGCGGGCCGCTGCTCGCGATCGCTGGTCGCAAGAAGGACATGATCCTGGTGGGCGGCGAGAACGTTTACAGCTCGGAGGTCGAACGCGTGCTCGGCGAACATCCGGGCGTGCTCGAGGCCGCTGTCGTGGCCGAGCCGTGCCCGGTCATGGGCGAGAGGGTCGTCGCGGCCGTCGTGCTGCGTGCAGACGGCACGGCACCTGTGGTGGATGCGGGGGGCCTTCGCGCGTGGTGTGCGGAGCGGCTGGCGGCGTTCAAGGTTCCGGACAAGGTGCATATCGTTGCTTCGCTGCCCAAGACCGGCAGCGGCAAGGTCAGAAAGCGCGACGTGCACGCGCTCGTCAACGACATTGACAGCGCGCGGGGCGATCGCGGGGGTGCAGTGCCGCGTCAGGGGAGCGGCGTCTCCTCGCAGCGCTGCTTCGAGACGGCGGCGATGCTGTCTGTCCGGCTGGGCTGCGAGAGCGCCCCGAGGCATGATGTCGACGGCGCAGCGGCGGGCGCGGACTTGCATCTCGTTGCAGTGATCGACGACGTGGACGCAAGTGCGTGCGGCATGCTCGCAGCTGCCGTGCCTCACGGCTGGCAGAGCTGCACGGTCGTCTTGTGCGGCCCGCAACGGGCGCAGCCGTCGGAGCTGGAGACAATCGTCGGTGTTTGCACCAGCATTGCCAACGTCAACGTGGTGGACGCGACGGGGGGATCTTTGATCGACTTGAATCAACTCTGCGCGATTTTCGTCGGAACTACGGCGCGCTTCGTCGTCCTGGCGCTGCCACCGCCGCGTTCGCCGCCGGCGTTCGTCGCCACGGACCCAAGGGCTGCTCTCGCGGCAACGCCAGCCGCTGACGCAGCGTCGTCGACGACCGGTGCGGTCGCAGAGGTCGACCTGGTGATGTCAGCTGTCGCGGACTTGCTCGGCCACGGCCTGGACCCCAACCTGGGGTTCTTGGAGCAAGGACTGACGTCTGCATTGTCAGTCAGGCTCGTGTCTGACCTGGAAGAGCGTACGGGCTTGCAGCTGCCGCCCACGGCCGCCTTCGACTACCCGACGGCACAGCAGCTCGCGGATGCACTCGTCTCGCTGCGTCCGCCCGCCGCGCGCCTCGAGGGACAGCACGACACCGCCAGCAGCAGCATCGAGGAGCACGTCTTCGCGGCGGTGCAGGCCGCGCTCGGGTCGCGTCCTGCCGCGAACGCGCCGCTCATGCAGTCGGGTCTGACGTCGATGGCAGCCGTGTCGGTCATGGGCGCCCTGGAGACCGCGCTGGGGGTGTCTCTGCCCCCCACCGCCGTGTACGACTACCCGACGGTCGAGGAACTGTCTCGGTTCCTGTCGGACGTCGTCGGCGAGGCTGCGCCACCGCCTGCGCGGGTTTCGACCGGGCGCGACGCATCGCTGGCCGCACCATCGCGCGACGTCGTGGTTTCCGTATTGTCGATGGCAACGCGGCTGCCCGGGGCACCGGGGCTGGCCGTGTCGGACGCCGTCGTGGACAGCGTTGCAGCCGTTCCCTTGCAGCGGTGGGACGCGGACTCCCCCGCACGGGAGGCCCAGCTGCCAGGGGTGCGGTTCGGGGGCTTTGTTTCCAACATCGACCACTTCGACGCTGACCTCTTCTCGATGAGCCCCGCCGAGGCATGTGCCACGGATCCGCAGCAGCGCATGGCGCTCGAGGCGTACACCGAGGCCGCCGGCCGCGCCGGGCTCTTCAGATCGAACACCGGGAACGCAGATTGGCACGTGGCGGCCGGGGTCTTCGTTGGCGTGTCGCAGCTCGAGTACTTGACGCTGGCTGCTGCGTCCGGCGTTGCGCGGGGCTCCCCTTTCTTCGCGACGGGCAACCACCTCAGCGCCGCTGCCGGGCGCATCTCGTTCGTGTTTGGGCTGCGCGGTCCCGCGATGACCGTCGACACGGCTTGCAGCAGCAGTGCGACCACGATGCACCTCGCTCGTCAGGCTGTCTCGGCGGCGAATCCTGGGGCAGTAGCAGCGGCGATCGGCGTGAACGCGTGTCTGTCGTTGACTTGGACGGCGAACCTGGCTGTTGCGGGGATGCTGGCGGAGGACGGGAGGTGCAAGACGCTCGACGCCCACGCCGACGGATACGTCCGCTCGGAGGGCGCCGGTGCGGTGATGCTCGCCGCCCTGGACGTCCGCCACAGCCCCGGCGAAGCCGCCGCGGTGCTCGCTGGGACGGCGGTCAACCAGGACGGACGTTCGTCTTCCCTCACAGCTCCAAGCGGCCCTGCGCAGCAGGCGGTGATCCTCGCCGCACTCGCAGCTGCCGGATGCACCGGCGGCAGCGTGGACGCCCTGTCGATGCACGGCACGGGTAC